CCAGCCAATCATTGCTCTCTTCCAAACCAAGGTTTCCTACGAGTGCGTCTGATTGGTGGAGCCTGAGTCACACGCCTGCCCTGAGGCGCAAGGGAAGCTGGGAACGCGAGTTATGACTTCTGTGTCAGGGCGGCAGGTCTCACAGGGAGGGAAATTTTTCACATTTGGGACGGGAATTCCGAAGCCTAGGCAGGACAACAGGACGATAGCCACTGCCGGTCTCCTGTACAACAGACTGTTTTCTTCTCTGCGTGCCCAACACAGAGCAGAGGCTCAAGACACGAGTGCTTCTTCCCCGGCCATGCTTCCCTGCTGGGGCTCCTGTGAGGCTTTCTGCTCGGGCTCCTGCGCTTGGAATTTCCTCCCAGGGACCATGTCAGCGTCACCAGCGCTGAGAAAGGGGGGACGGCCCAGTTAACATGCAGACGTTTGCCTTACTCAGCTGCAGCAGCTGGTTTCTAACACGGATACTTGCACGTATTCAAGTGGATTTCAAAGATGCTATTCTCTAAAGCAAAGCTGGGTGCGGACAGTCACTATTATGTCAGGATCTTACAGTCCCTCACCCAACGGATGCTGAAAGACTGTATCTGTTTTGCCTGATTTCCATCCACCTCATGTGCCTACTTATGCTTTTTTTCAAGAAACACATTGAATAATTTAGAAGCAATAAGGGAAATTTTTGTATATAAAAATTAAAAACATTTGCATGACAACAACGTAAGAATTAAAGTGATAAATGTTACCCTTGGAAAATATTTGGAATTTAAAACACAGTGGCAGTGGCAGTGGCAGTGGCAGTGGCAGTGGCAGTGGGAGAACACCCCTGGAGGTGACCAGCGGGGGCAGGGGGGTGGACATTGTTCCTGGCTATTGTGGCCACCAACCCTCATCCTCAGGCCCTGTGGGGTGTGGGAGGTCCCTGATATTGCTTAATGCTGAAAAGCCTCTGGCTGTGCTCATCGTTGAAGGCTGGTCGGGAAGAAGACACTTCGGAAATGTGCAGCCGACGTGCAGCTTCAGCACAGCTACTTACAAGGAGTTGTTCTTAATATGTAAGTTTCTATAGAGTGTCCTAAAATCATAGGAGAAAGAAAAACTCTAGGGAAAGGAAAATGAGCCAAGAAATGACTAAGCAAGTCACAGAAAAGAAAAATCTAAATTGTATGAAAGAGACATCGCCTTGCTAATACGAGAAAACTAAATTATCTTTAAAACGACTTTAGCTTAAAGCTTATAACCAAGACCAGATTTACCCTCTCACTTGGATAATAATAAAAAAAATAGACAAAAGGTCCACAACAGTCACTTTCAAGACATGGAGCATCATGAAGGACAGGGACCCTGAAAGGCGGACACAAATGAGGTGAGGCCCACAGCTGTGCACTTCCTGCCCAGGAGGCCTCCTAGGCCCTGTTGTGGGGAGGGGAGCGGGGAGCCTGGAGCTCCTGGGGGCGAGGCCATGCAGATGAGAAACTAGAGTCCAGGTGGCCAGAGTCTGCCAGGCAGAGTGTGGAAGTGGACAGGACAGCAGGGCAGGACGCAGAGTCCTGCAAAGGGCCACCCTCCACCATCCAGGAGACCACGGTCAGCACATGCGTGAGAGCAAACAGTGCTGAGGCCAAGGAGAGAGCCCCCTGGAAGGTGCAGACTGGAAACCCTCATTGGTCAAGAGCATTGTCTCAATAATCCTATATAATAAAGATGTAATATGCAAATTGACCATCACACCCTCGCACAAGATGGCTTCCCCCAAGATGGCCAGCAGGGGAGGGAAGTTGTGGGTGATCAGGCTGGCAGGGGAAGGCAGTTGATGGCAATCAGGCCAGCAGGGGAGCAGTTAGGTGTTGATCAGGCTGGCAGGGGAGTGGTTAGTGGGTGATCAGGTTGGCAGGCAGAAGCAGTTAGGGGCAATCAGGCAGGCAAACAGTTAGGAGCCGGCAGTCCTGGATTGTAAGAGAGATGTCCGACTGCCGGACATCCCCCAAGGGGTCCCATATTGGAGAGGGTGCAAGCTGGGCTGAGGGACAACCCCCTTCCCCCTGCATGAATTTCATGCACTGGGCCTCTAGTGGGTTATAATGGTCATAGACTAGACACTGCCCTGGTCCCAGCTCACGACCTGACAAACCACACTCCAACGGATCAACATGTTTCTAAGTGCATCCCTGCACACCAGGGCACAGCTCAAGGCTATTTATAAGAAATGCAAATATATCAGCTCCTAACATGCTCATTGGTATTCAATTAAGAAATCCCAGGCATGTACAGAAGCAGAAAATATGATGCAGAATGAAAGAGGAGTCATCGACTGAACCGAACCCAGGGCTGACACTATGGAAATCTGTGGGCTGTTGCGAACACATTTCCTTGAGGGACATTTATAGCACTAAGTGCCTGTGTCAGAAAAGAAGACAGATTTCAAGTCTATGACCTCAGATTCCCCCTTAAGAAACTTGGAAGCAAAGAGGAAATTAAACCTGCAGTGCATTGAAGAAAGAACATAAGGAAGATAGAAGCAGAGATCAATAAGAGGAAAAACAGTGGAGAAAGCCAATGAAACTGAAAGCTGGTTCTTTGAAAAGGTAAATAAAATGGATAAGCCTCCAGCCAGGTTAATCAGTAAAAACCGTAATCAATGAACACAGATTATGGAGACCAGGACGAGAGCAACGGTATCGCTACAGATTCCACCGAAATGAAAAGGGTGACAAGGAAACGCTATGCACAGCTTTATGCCGATAAAGAACAGCTTAGACAACATGGAAACGTTCCTCAAAAGACATGAACTACTAAAGAGCATTCAAAAAGAAAAGGTAACCTGACACATTCTATATCTTTAAAGAAATGGAATTTTTAGTTGAAAGCCTTCCATTAATGAGAACTCCAGGCACCAAAATCCGCTGGTGAATTTGACCAATATTTAAGGCAAAAAAATAATTCCGATTCTCCTCATACTCTTCCAGAAAAGTGAAGTCATAATAAATATTCCAACTCATTTTATGTGGCCAACACCACCTTGACTCCAAAACCCAAAAGACATTTACAAGCAGAGACAACTACAGACCAATATTCCTCATGAACTTAGATGCAAAAGTTAACGAAGTTCTAGCAAATAGAAATCAATAATGTATTTAAAAAGGATAGTACTATATCAAGACCAAGTTGAATTTATCACAAGAACACAAAATTGATTTAATATTTTATAAAATCAACCAATGTATTCATCCTATAAAAGAATAAGAAAACCACATGATCATCTCAGACGAAAATCAGGCAGACTGGAAAACCTTGTAGGTCAAGGTTTTCATTTGAACAAATCCAACATTAATTCCTGATTAAACCCATCAGCAAAGTAGGACTAGAAGGGACACTCCTCCATGTGATAAAGGGCATCCATGCAGAACCTAAACCAACATCAGACTTAATGGTAAAAGATGCAACCGGGAAGAAATCAATTACATCTGTGCTAACAACATCTATTAAACATTGGGCTGGACACTAGCCAGTGCAATAAGGCAAGCTAAAAAAAAAGTGTCCAGGTTGGAAAAGATAAAAGCTGTCCTTACTCAAAGACTCCAGGATTGTCTAAGTGGAAAAACTGAAGAAATGTATAAAAAAGCCACTAAATCCAATGAGTGACTTCAGCAAGCTTGCAGAATGCAAGTAAACAAACAAAAACCATTGTATTTCTATATGCTCTCCATGGAAAAAACCAACAATCCAACTTTAAAAGCAATATGATACACAATAGTATTAAAATAGTTGAGACTTAGGATTGCGCTTCTATGTGGGAGAGAAATCTGAAACTCGTGGACACAAACAGCAGTGTGGCGGCCACGAGAGGGAAGGGCTGGGTGGGGGTGAAGGGGCCTCATATACCGCGGCGGATGATTTGACTTTGGGTGGTATAGCAAATGCTATACAGGATGATACACAGATGATGTATCATAGAACTGTACACTTGCAACCGATGTGATCCTATGAACCGTCACCCCATACATTTAATAAGAAATACTTGATATTTATGGGTAGACCTGCCAAAAAGCCACTGAAAACTGTAAGCATCACAATTTGCACCTGAGCTGTAACCGTGGCCATGGATGCACACACAGCATGTCCACAAAGACAGGTCACCTGTTGCCTGGAAACACACCCCCAGCCAGGTCCCTGTCCACCACGCTGCATGTACACTGAGGGGAACTGCATGGAAGGCCTGGCCTTCACGCCACCAGAGGAAACGGGGTGTCTTGGGCAGATGAGGGTTTGAAGTTGGGAGACCCGGGTTCAAAACCAGGCCTCCTCCCTCACAGGAGGTGTGACTGCAGGCGAGACTTGCTGGGGCAGGGCCGCCTCCTTGCTGGGGGCAGAGAGGGGTGCGAAGTGGGCGCAGCAGGGAGGGCCCAGCGGCTCGCATGGAACAGGTGCTTCCTCAGAGCCCTCGCCTTCGCTTCGCTGGGGACGGACTCCTTCCCAATCACCTCCTACCCACAGGAAGGGCCCATGGCGATCGCCTTTGCCTGGCTCTCGGGATGCTCACCCCACGGTCTGGTCCAGCCCCTGTGAGGCCTCAGGGGCCCCAGGCGCTGCTGTGAGGACCGGATTCCCTCATTTGTAAAAAGGAGAAAGGGCTCAGCTGCGTGGCTCAGTGGTTGAGCATCGACCTATGAACCAGGAGGTCACGGTTCAACTCCTGGTCAGGGCATGTGCCCAGGTTTCCAGCTCCGTCCCCAGTGTGGGGTGTGCAGGAGGCAGCTGGTCAATGATTCTCTCTCATCACTGAGGTTTCTCTCTCTCCCCCGCACCCTTCCTCTCTGAAATCAATAAAAATATTTTTTTAATAAAGAAGGAAAAGTAACTCTGATTTGAATTGGAGACGTGTCCTGGCCACTGGAACGAGAGAGGGCAAATCGCTGTGGGACAGGTCGCGTGGCCAAAATGCAGACGCAGTGAAAAGTGGGCGTTCCCACCTACAGTGGAAAGGAGTCCGCTGGGAAGCGCTTTGTGTAAAATACATTTATTCTTGAAAATTCCCCCGACAAACACAGAATATGTAAGAAGAGAGAGCCTTGCCTTCCACACCCAGCCCTTTCCGCAGCCGGACACTGGGGGACGTGCAGGGGGGCTGGTCACCGCAGGCCCTCGGGGTGCGGGGACCGAGAGCTCACGGCCGGTCCCCTCTCACCACGTCCCTCCAAAGGGAACGGGCCCTCTTGGAATTCATGAGAACAGAGCAAACTGAGTCCCTGAAGGTCGGGGTTTGTTGGGGTGTCTGAGTCTGCCACCTGCAGTTGACTTCTGCAGATTGTGGCCCATACCCAAACAGGTGGGCAGGAGAAAGCACGTCGTCCCGTCGTCAGTCCCTGGCGCCTTCCTGCTGGCTAGTCCACGCCCGCGGCCCAGGCGGCCTTCTTGGCATTCAGGAAGTTCTTCTTCTTCCTGGGAGGAACGCGCAGCGAGATCTCCGGCTCCGCGGGATTTCTGAATATAAAGAGCTTCTCGCCCGTGTTCAATAAATCAATGGCTTCTGCCCCGACGATGGGCACGGGGACCAGGTCGCCGCTGGACTCCAGGGACAGGTGTGGCCAGCCCCCTTTCCCTGAGCACACCGTCCGCTCTCTGAGAGGGGGGCACGTCTTCCTCAGTATGCTGCAGACAGAACGGAAGATGACATGAGTGTCCTGGGAGCACCCCCTTCTCTGTCCCTAAGTCCCCAATGAAGTACCATTGTACAGAGAGGCTTTCTTGTTGGTCACCAGATGGCCCCTGAAACTGGCTGCAGATTACCTGACTGACTCACAACCGTTCCATTTTCAGGAGTTTCACCTGTTGCCATCCTGTTGTTCGCTTGCAATGAGCCACGGTGGGAGTATTTACACCATGGAAATTGGCACATGCTACACATAGAGCCCCTGTCCCCCTCCCAGGACACCCCTGACTGTGGCCCTCACACTAAAAGCTGGTGGTAACACCTCATTACAACGCAACAGAAGTTGGGGAAAAGGTGCCTGAAGCAGGAGAGAGACACGCTTTGGGAATGCGGCCCAGGATGCCTTCGCTCGCCCATCCTGATCCCACGCAATCGACTGTTCTCTGGTGGAGCCCTTCACAGTTGGAACAGCTCGAATCTCCTTCTCCTCCTGGTTTGGGCTCAGTATCCGGATCTAATGTCTCGGGGACTAAGTTCTGCTCTGCAGCCTACCGCCCACGTCTCTGAGGTATTTCTCGGGGACACTGAGGGGCGCGGTCTCAGCACCTGCACCGGGGCTCTGAGAAATTAGGGAGTGGACACTCCCCTTGGGTTCCCACTGTTCCCAGGGCCCACGCTGGAGACCACGTTCTAATCTAGCCCATCATGAACCAGCTGGTGCTCCTTTTTCTCCATATCTTCTCCCGTGGGCATCACTGGAGACACTGGTCAACTGTTTGCAGCCATCTGCAGCCACTCCGCCCGCTCCCCTCTGCTCCCCGGGGTGTGGGCACAGTTAAAGGAGAAAGACACTTGGTAGAAAAGAAAGCACTGGCCTGGGAGTGTAGGGAGAAAAGGGGCCAGTTAGATGTCCCAAGTCCCAGGGCCACTCCTTACAGCGCAGACCGGGGCCTCTTCATCTGAGCTCCCTGAGCTCTGGGGTTACCGTCCCCACTTCCTGGGAGGCTCAGTGCAATAAGACGGGCTTCTCCAACCAGAAAGTCAACAGCTGTGAGGAGTTACCCTCCTTCTAATGATATCCCACTAAAAAAGGTCCACTGGTGAAAAGGCGTACAGTAATCCAAGTGCTAACGCAGGATAAGCGAACACCCCCCACTAGCTGGCGGCTCACCCTCAGCTCCTGGAGTAGGAGGAGACTGTGGTCTCTGGGAAGGATGGCCCCTTCTCGTCCGTGCCCCTTCCACCAGCTCCCAGGCTGCCCTCCGGCTCCCAGGCTGCCCTGGTCCCCGCCCCCCTCCCCCTGCAGCCGGTGCCCGTCATTACCTCTCCTTCCTCCGGCGCGCCCACAGCATCTTGTCCAGGCCGCTGCTTCTCAGTTCTCCGCGCAGCCTGCTTTCTAAGGCCTGCCACCAGCCCTGGTGCTTCCTGAAGGCAAGAAGGAGCGTCTATGTTCTCAGGAAGAAGAGACTCTCCCAGGGAGCCGTTACCCCGGCCTGAGGGGAAGGGGCCCCACTACAAGCCCAGTAATAGGGTCCCAGAGCACATGCACCTGGGGGAATATTAGGCAGCCGGTAAAAATAATACCTACAAAGGTGTTTCAACAACTGTGAAAAGCATGAATTTAAATTGTGAATAAAATAACAGAAAATATAGTCTAAATAGTGTGATAATCTATATATATAAAAGCCTAAGCAACCATTTGACCTTTCGACTGGTAGCTATGACGTGCACTGACCACCAGGGGGCAGATGCTCAACACACAGGCATGGAAACATGGAACAGGCGGATGAATCTCAGAGGGAAGCGGAGAGGGCGGGAAGAGAGTAACCAAAGATCTTATATGCATACTAGAGGCCCGGTGCACGGATTTGTGCACCGGTGGGGTCCCTCAGCTTAGCCTGTGGGGATCGGGCTGAAACCAGCAGTTTGACATCCCCCAAGGGGTCTTGGATTGCGAGAGGGTGGAGGCCAGGCCAAGGGACCCCACCAGTGCATGAATCCGTGCACCGGACCTCTAGTTATTATATAAAGTGACTTTGCACATCAATCAGAGTTGGAAGAAAATAAGATCAGCTTCCGCCTGAGGTTCTGGGAAGCAAGAGGCAAGGCTGTGCACATGGGATTACCACACACACATACACAGGCATGCACACATGCACACACACACATGCATGTATGCAGACACATGTGCACACATGGACACACAGGCACACACACAACCCAGCAGAGAAACACACGTGAGGGAGGAAGAGCTGCAGTCAAATCCCACCAGCCCTTTCCTCCAGCTGGTGGGGCCATGACTTTCCTGCTGTGTTTTCACACTGTTTCCAGTATGTGTGTGTTTTACATTGTCATTAACGTGTGTCCGGCACATCTACAGCCCAGAAACGTACTTTCTTTTTTTTTTTTTTTTTTTTTATTGATTTCAGAGAGGAAAGGAGAGGGAGAGATAGACAGAAACATCAATGATGAGAGAGAATCATTGATTGGCTGCCTCCTGCACGCCTCCTACTGGGGACTGAGCCTGCAATCCAGGCATGTGCCCTTGGCCAGAATCGAACCTGGGACCCTTCAGTCTGCAGGCCGACGCTCTAGCCCCTGAGCCAAACCACTGAGGGCAGAAACTTACTTTCTTAAGATCCTACTTGAAAAGTAAATTGGTGACAAAAGGAGAAAGTATGGACAAAACATGTGGGACCACCAGAATGGGAAAACGACCCATGACGACGGTCCTGGCAGCCCCTGCTCTGGGCAATGGCGTGCCGGCCAGGGAAGGCTGTGCCATGGGCCTCGCACCCTGCCCTCCATCTGTTCTCCTGACTCTTGCTCACTGCTCCCCAGGGGTGGCAGATGCTGACTCACCCCCTCCGGCCCAGGTCGGCCTGCTCCCCGCCGCCGTCATGCTCCACCGTGGGGTCCGGCTGCTTCTGGCTGAGCGACTCCAGCAAGGCCAGCAGCTCAGGCTGTGGGGCTGCGGGCAGAGCCACGCTCAGGAGGCGGCGAAGCGTGCCCACGGGCACCATCGTCAGCTTGGACAGGTACGAGGCCAGCCGCAGCTCCTGGGGGGTAAGGCAGCGGCTCAGGCCCCAGCTCCCAGGGGCTAAGGCAGCGGCTCAGGCCCCAGCTCCCAGGGGCTAAGGCAGCGGCTCAGGCCCCAGCTCCCAGGGGCTAAGGCAGCGGCTCAGGCCCCAGCTCCCAGGGGCTAAGGCAGCGGCTCAGGCCCCGGCTCCCAGGGGCTAAGGCAGGGGCTCAGGCCTCAGCTCCCAGGGGCTAAGGCAGCGGCTCAGGCCGCAGTTCCTAGGGGGTAAGGCAGCAGCTCAGGCCTCAGGGCAAAGCCTGATGAAAGGCAAGTTCTAATGGATCACAGGCTTAGGATGCCTCCTCCCAGGGAAATGCATAGCCCAGTAGCTCAGTCTTAGAAACCTGTCCTCAAATTGCAGACCTGGCTCCCCATGACATTTGCACAGCCTTCGCCCATCCCTTCCGAGGACCCCCAGCTCACCCGCCGCTAACGCCCTGGCCTGCAGCAGCGACAATTACTAATGTCCCTTCTCCTACTCATGTTTGCGGAGCCAGGGTGGGGCCAGCACAGGCTCCAGAAACAATGGAAACGTCCCAAAATTGCAGACAGTTAAAGAAACACACTGTGGCCTCCACGGGAACAGCACCGGGCGGTGAGGAAGCGGGTGGATTCGGGGCCGTGCACTGCGTGAAGAAAGCCAGGTTCTGCGGGGCCAGCCTGTGTGACTCCCTGTGTGTGACATTCCAGAACCGAGGAGCGGCCACCAGGGCTGAGGGATGGGTGTGCCCACCCGGGGCGGCACAGGCAGACCTTTGTGGCCCTGGGACAGTTCATCGTGGTGTTGGCTACGGGACTCCACATGTGATGATGACAGATTGTGTGACAGATTCTGGCCCAGGTGTTGTGTTGGGTTTGTGAGGTGCAGCCACTGGGAAAACTGAGGGAAATGTGGGAGGGGCACGGGAACCCTACGGGCTACCTTAGCAACTTCCTGCGAATCTAATATTATCTATACTAATAAAAGGGCAATATGCTAATTAGACCGGACATCTTCCGTACATCCTTCCGGACAAAGCCATGGTGGCAGGAGCCAAGGCAGAGGCAGTTAGGGATGATCAGGTCTGCAGGGGAGGGCAGTTAGGAAGCAATCAGGCCAGCAGGGGAGGGCAGTTAGGGGTGATCAGGCCAGCAGGGGAGGGCAGTTAGGGGTGATCAGGCCAGCAGGGGAGCAGTTAGGGGCATGAGGCCAGCAGGCAGAGTGATTAGGGGTGATCAGGGAGGCAGGCAGGTGAGCGCTTAGGAGCCAGTGGTCCCGGATTGGGAGAAGGATGTTCGACTGCCGGTTTAGGACCGATCCCAGTAGTCGGACATCCCCTGAGGAGTCCCGGATTGGAGAGGGTAGTGGCCGGGCTGAGGGATACCCCCTTCCCCCCGACCCCGTGCATGATTTTCATGCACTGGGCCTCTAATTTCAAAATAAAAGGTTAAGAGGGAACAGGCTCTGCATCCCAAAAGCCTGGGCCAGCCCTCAGCCCCCCACAGGAATTGCGCGTCCTCGGACAGCGTCCTTACTCTCCTCAGTGTGAACCTGGACAAGTGTTGCCTCCACAGGACCTGCCTGGAGGGGCGATGGCAGGACCGGCCCGACAGTGAGGTCCTGAGTGTCCAGTACTCGCTGGGTCCTGTCCCAGGGCAGGTGGCCCCTCCTTTAACCATCCCCCAGCTCTTCCCCCGGTTCCTGCTATCAGCCCGGTCCTCAGGCGGGAAAGTGGGCTCTGAGCACAGGGAGTGACGTGCTGGCAGGAAACGGAGCCAGAGCTCGGCCCACGCGCCCTCACCTGGCTGTACAGGCCCACGAAGGCGTCCGCCTCCATGCGCTCCAGCAGGTCTTCGAGCACGACGCTGAGCTCCTGCTCCTCCCGCAGGCTGCAGGGAAGCGACACCCGCGTGAGCCGTTTTATGACAGAGCGACCCCGTGAGATCGCTGGTTATTTAACGAAGAATCGCCATCCAACCCACGCTGTACTGTGTTAAGGCCATGGAGACTGGGCCAGGGAGGAGGGGCTGCCTCTCCTCGCCCAGCCCGCTCCCCACTGATGCACCCGAGGGCTCACCTCTGCTGCTGGCGCTCCAGGAGCTCCTGGCTCCGGCCCAGGGCCCGCCGCAGCGCCGCGGAGACCTGCCCTTCGGAATCCGCGTCCTCAGGCTCGGTCAGGAGCCCGGGCCCGTCCTCTGCCCACTGCTGCCGCCTGGCCAGGGCCCGCTGCCGCTGGGCCGCCTCCTGGTGGGCCAGCTCCTCCTCCAGCTTCCTCTCCAGCTCCTGGAGCTCCTGCACGTCCAAAGTGTATGCAGCATTCATTTCTGCCCCACACAGAGGGGCAGGTGGTGAGCACGACGCAGGGAGGGGGCATGGGGGGAGAGGATCAGACAAAACCCCACCTGCTCGGCCTCCCCATCCAGCCCTGGAAAACAGTGCGATGAGGCTGCCCCAGATCTCACAACCCCTGGCTTTTGCACATGCTGTCACCACCGCCACCCCCCCCCCCCCCCGGCCCCTGGTAGAGCCTTCCCTGTTTGCCTGGCTAATTCTGGGTCTTCCCTCCAGCCCTGGCTTAGGAGAAGGGGCCCCTCGGTGCGAGACACAGATGCCTCCTCACGTGCCCACTCCCCACCCATGCCTGTTACAGAATGAGTGCTCTGCCGCCCTCAGAATCCAGGTGATGGAGCCCGAAGCCGCAATGGGGTGGGATCGGGGGGCGGGCCTTTAGGAGGTGAGCAGCTTCACTGAGCTCACTGATGGCGGCGGGCCCTGGGATGGGACTAGCGCCCTGTGAGAAGGGAGGAGACGGCGCTCCCCCTCCATGTGGAGGTGTAAGGAGGCAGCGGGCTGCACCAGGGAGAGGCCCGCACCACACACAGACTCTCCTGCAGGTCAACTATGAGCATTAGTGCGATCTCCAGGTCGCGATGCCTCAGAGCCGTGAGAGAGAGAGAGAGAGTTCAGACGGAATGGACAGATGGGTGAGGAGCAGCAAGTGGGCAGGAGCCCGAGGGGGAAGAGGAAGACACGGTCACAGCTGGGGAGGTGGACGCCAGCAGCGTGAGCCGCAGTGCAGACACGGGGTGCAGTCCCTTTGGCCACATGGCCCGCGGCACCAGCCCCACCGCCTTCGTTTGCCCATCACTGCCCGTGCCCAGCCTCAGTGACTCCTCCGCACACGTTCCAGTTCCACAAGACCCGCGACATCTTTTGTCAAACGAGGTGCACTTGGTAGTTTTTCCAGGAGTCGTTTCTTCCAAAGCGTTTCATTCATGCTTTGCATCCTCCCAGATGCTGAACAGCGTGAAAGCCGTGCAGTGCCATGTGCTCCTGGAAGTTACCTCCTGAACCCTCACCACGGCCCAGGCCCGCCCACTGGCTGGTGGGGAACCCGGGTGGGCCGAGGGGTGACGCCCGCCCCGCCCGCCCGGGCGCACTCACGGGGCTGTGGGACTCCAGGATCTGGGCGCAGGCCGCCGTGGTCAGCGTCTCCGACTCGCTCAGCTCCTCCAGGAGCAGGTGCTGGACGCTCAGGAGGGCGGTGTAGGCCCACAGCGTCCGGGCGGCCCCCGCTGCCTTCTGGAACTGCAGGGCGACCAGGGACTCGGCGAAGCGGCCCTCCTGGGCCTCCAGCTGCTGCACCCGCTCCCGCAGCAGCTCGGCGCGGACCTGGGAGGGCAGGGCCAGAAGCCAGAGGGGTCAGCGGCCGGAGGGGCAGCGAGAGCAGCCGCTTCCGAAGAGCAGGCGTTAGATTTCCATCTTTAGTTCAGGACCCTACGCAAGGCCTCCAATATTTGCTGAGACACGGGCCTGGAGTCTGCAGTTTCAGACCCCGGGGCCTCTCCGATGACCCCCCAGGGGCTTTGGGGCCTGGCTGCTCATTCCACGCTGACCACTCCTGAAGGTAAACCCAACCTCGCTGCCATCTGGCACAAAACCCTCCACGGCTTCCCACGGTAGAGGATGCGGTTCAGGCTCCACGACCCCAGCCAAGGTCACCTGGGGGGGTGGGGTCTGTTCTGCACCTGCACCCACACCTGCGACTTCCACCCTCGCCGACCGCTCACAGCCTCACACTCCATGCTCTGCCTCTACTGATGGCGGACATGTCCCCCCATCCTCAGCCCATGAAGCGTGCTCACTCTGCACGTGTGTGTCACTCTTCTCTGTGACCCCACATTCCACGCTCTCCGCCCAGGGGGACCCTCACCACACCGTTCACCCCACCAGGACACGAGCTCCCCTGGAGGAGCTGGCAGCCAAGGGGCTCAGTAACTTCTAGATGAGTGAACCCATTCCCTCCACCCACACCCTGGGGGCATGGCAGCCCCCATCTCCTGTGAGGCCTCGTCCCCGTGGAGATGCAGGGCAGCTGGAGTGACTGTGTGGGCTACCTCTCAAGTTTATTTATGCAGATGCACACCTAAAATGGGGGAGGGGGGGCCTAAAGCCTTCCGTATGTGCTTAAGAACGTGGACCGTGAGATTAAGGGAAGAATGGTTCTTGAAAGCCCTTCCTTCCCCTTCTCCCTGGGAAGCTTACTTAGTGAATCCCAGCGCCGGGAGAAGGTGCGCCTGAGGGCTCATCCGGTCGGAAAGAGCTCCGGGGAGAGGGGCAGACCTGCCTTCCCATGCGGCAGGTCTAGACGGGCTGCCTGAAACAGCCCCGCTGCCCGCAGCAATGAAACCGCATTTCCCGCACGTGCTGACCCTGATCCCTACTGGGAGGTCCCAACGCCTTCCGCACCAGCTGCCCTGGGGACACTCCTCAGAGAGCAAAGCAACAGAACAAAGGGCAGGCACAGAGTGAGAAAAGAAAAATATGATTTAAGAAAAGTTCCCAGGATTCCAAGATTGGCCAAACTCTCTGCCCTGTAAGGGGCAGATGAAAGCACGGCAGCCTTAAACACTGCCAACTGTCCAATCGCCCATGTGCCCTTCCTAGGACACTCCCGGAGCGGGTGCGTCACTCAAGTAAGAGACGTCGGGAGAGCAGGTGAGGGGGTCCCAGCGTGACGCCGGAGGGCTGTGCACAGGCTCCGTGGGCACCGTGCAGGTGGGGGCGCAGCGGGCACAGGCGACGTCCTCCCGACCACGTGCCCCAGGGGGCACGGCCTGTGTGCGGTCCCGGCAGGATATCTGGTCAACTGTCAAGAAGTGGATGGAAGGACGGATAACTGTACAGAAAAGTGACCAGGAAGAAACCAAAGGATAAGAACAACTCCAAGAAAAACAAAAGGCTGCACAGGGGAGAAATGAATCTTGGTTTTTTTGTGGCCCAGATGTGAATGATATTTAAATAATCATCACAACAGCCATCTTAACTACGGATCTAACTGCATCAGGAGTTGGGTGACAGGAGGCCTGTGTGTTTGCAGGTTGAAAGAAGGTATCGAAATCTTATCTCCCATAAAGAAAGTAAATAGGTTATGCCAAAGGCAAGAAACGGAGAAACAGCAAGACAAGTATATCATTTCGAGACATGGAAGTCAACATGAAAAGGTCAAGCCAAACACTGAAGAGTCGTTACCTCTGTGGATTTAGAAACGGGGGTGTCTGTGGCCGCAGGAGCCTCTGCTTTTGAAAGCACAAAACTGTAGAGCAGTGGTTCTCAACCTTCTGGCCCTTTAAATACAGTTCCTCATGTTGTGGCCCAACCATAAAATTATTTTCGTTGCTACTTCATCACTGTCATGTTGCTACTGTGATGAATCATCATGTAAATATCTGATATGCAGGATGGTCCTAGGCGACCCCTGTGAAAGGGTCGTTCGTCCGCCAAAGGGGTCGTGACCCACAGGTTGAGAACCGCTGCTATAGAGCTATTTGGCTCTCGAAAAGCATGTGTGCACAAGCGCAAGAGTGTGAAAAGTAGAATTTTCTAGTGGACAACGTAAAAAAAGTTACTGCAGTGAAACCAGGCAGACAGCCGTGGTGCCGTTCAGTGCCTGGAAGGTGGGCGTGAACTCGGGGTTAGAACGGGACGCTGAGGCTGACGGCGAGGCCTTGAACGCTGTGCTTAGGAGTCTGGATTTTGTTTGGGGGCAGAGGGAAGCCAGTAGATCTCCCTCCCAACTACGCTACGTCCGTCGGAGACCACCTGGACAGAGGCTGCCTCGGGAGAAAGCGGGGCAGGAGACGGGGAGAGACCCGTGGGATGGATGGATGGACAGAGCCGCCCTCTTCCTAGAGCACCTTCCCTCCCACACGCCTGCTAGTCCACGCTGCTCCCTCTTGTGAGGTCGTCCGAAAACGAGCACATTATCCTCATGCGTCAAGTCTAGTCACTTCTGAAATGACGCAGGGGCAGCAGCCACCTCCATGTCATTGCCAGGGCGGCGGAGGCATCACAGCAGGACGGCGGGCTGGCAGCGGCTGTGGCGCTGAATGAAGGACCGTTAATGAGCCGTGCAGGCCTGGCTCATCCTGGGACCGGCACGCGGGGACTGCATAATGAATGAGAGCTCGGACATGTGGCAGACATGCCACCCAGGCGCAGGGCAACGCCATTAAGACCATCCGGAAAGAGCGGGTGAGTGGGGAATGCGGGCATGTCATTTTCACTTACATTTAAATGCTGTTGAGGAATATTTATGAGAAATGTAGATGTGCCTTGTGCACAGACAGCAGGAGACTACCGCAAAGACGCACTGAAATCGCCCCTTCGTTTCTGGGTTCATCAAGCAGATCTGCTACCTGAACACAGGACCTGCCTGTAGGCCCCTCCGCCCGCCAGCTGCGTGATGGTGGCCTGGCCTCTCCGGGTCTCAGTGTTCCCAGCTCTGAAGTGTACGCAGCAGTAGGGGCTCTGCGAGCCTCGCTGCAGAAGGCTGTGGGGTACGGGCAGACTCCCCAGGTCACTGCAAATAGGAAGGCACCGGAAAGCCTCAGGGCTCCCTGACGGAGGGCTGGCTCAGCCTGTGAGGACCACACGTGCTGTGCCGTGTGATGCTGAGAGAGACGCTAGAGGAAACCCTGCACCGAGTGGAATCCTCACGTTTCAGTCCTGAGTGAAAAGCCGACGGATGAGCGGATGGGCGGGTGGGCGGATGGGCACGCAGACAGGTTTCGGCAGATGGACAGAACATCTCTAGTAGCTGGAAAGCGAACATGAGCCACATAACCTGCGTGGTGTCTGCACTGCCTCTCAGGACAACGCCATTAAAGCTGACACCTTCCTCCATCAGCTCCGAAAAGGCAGGAAGCGCACGCTGGTCTATGCGTCTGTCTGCCTGTCTGTCCTTCTTCCCCAAATCAATCACACAACCGTTCATTCAGGGAAGGGCTCAGGTCGGTCAGGCGGATGGGACATCAGACGGCCGGATGTAAACTCCAAGATGCCGAGGCGCACAGCAGCCGCTCTCTGAAACCGTGAACACGCCAAGGGCGTGGATCTAGAACAGCACGTAGATCAACCATGGCCCAGAGAGCACGCCCCAAAACGCCCCTGTCCGTGCAGGCACTGATGGCGGTCTGTCACTTTAAGGCAGCGGTTCTCAACCTGTGGGTCGCGACCCCTTTGGCGGTCGAACGACCCTTTCACAGGGGTCGCCTAAGACCATCCTGCATATCAGATATTTACATGACGATTCATCACAGTAGCAACATGACAGTGATGAAGTAGCAACGAAAATAATTTTATGGTTGGGTCACCACATGAGGAACTGTATTTAAAGGGCCAGAAGGTTGAGAACCACTGCTTTAAGGGCTTCTTGCCCCCCTCCCCAGCTTGAACGTGTGCGCTGTGAGAGCAAGGACTGAGCTCCTCAGCAGAACCTGGGGCACGGCTGCCTCCTCGGACACGAGAGGAATGAGTGACATGCACAACGCATGTTACCACAGACAAGAAAGGGAGCTGAGGGTGGGGGAACACGTGGGAAGACCGGGTGTTCCGATAAGCCTTCTTGAAAGAGGGGCCCCCCCCGAGGGCAGAGGCCACGCCTGAGGGCAGCGGAGGATGAGTCATCTGTCCAGGTAAAGGCAGGCGGGCAGGGAACCCAGGAGAGGCAAGGTGGACGGTAACACCAGGCTGCCGCGCGTGCCTTCTGCAGGGACAGGAAGCCTGACCGGGGGCGGTGGGAAACGCGTGAGGGACGGAGGCCAGGCTGCTGTGGGAGCCGGAGGGCGAGGAGGGTGCGGAGGGTGAGGAGGGTGCGAGGAGGGTGCGGAGGGTGCAAGGAGGGTGCGGAGGGTGCGAGGAGGGCGCCTAGATAAAGAGCAGACAGAGTGATGCATCCCATGTGAACACCTCGGCCAGGCTCAGGGCCAGGCATCAAGGTGGCGGCAACCTCGGGCAGCGGGGACAGCAGCTGGGGGGGCCTGATGGTGACCCGGAGACCTCCGGGCGCACAAGCGGAGGAAGAAGGTTCCAGACAGAAGGAGCCGGGGCAAAGGCGTGCGGGAAGGGCAGGTCCACCTGCGACAGTTTAGAACCTCGGCGTTTGGTGGAGACGGACAGCCGCAGCCGGACAGTCGCAGCCGAGGGCTCCGTGCGCCCTGCGGACAGCCGCCGGCCCTGCCCAGTGCCACGGGCAGCAGGCGAGGGGGAGCACTGACCTTTTCCAGCAGGTCCTCCGGGGCCGGGCATTCAAAGAGCTGGATTTTATCTTCAATGCACTTCCTCAGAAGGTCGGTCTTGCTTTTACTCTTGGTGCGTGGCTTCCTCGCCTTGGCCTGTGGCTGGAGAGGGGAGAGAAAGCACGTGGGCACATGCATGCAGCCCGCCTCCCAAAACCAGGCCCCGAGGGCCGAACAAGCTCGGGGGCTGGAGGGGACCAAGGTGAGGTCACGGTGCTCAGCAAATTGTGATTCGGTTAATGATCGAGGGTAGCAGATGAGACCCTCTCTGAGCCTCACTTTGCACACCTGCAAAATGGGTATCTGCCTCATTAGATGACTGCAGGAACCTAACAACACTACATAACAACATAAAAACAGAAAGTAACACAAGACAGCATGACATAATGCACCGCAGCATAACGTAACAGCACGACATAACACAACAGAATGTAACATAGCATAATGTCAGGACTGGACATGAGAACATAGCAAAACACAGCCCAGCCCAGCCCAGCACAGCACAGCTGCGAGGCTCAGTACAGTACTACCCATGACCGCTGGCCTCCTTCCCCTCCCAGCTCGCCCCCCTGCCCTTCCTCCTCCCTGTCACATCCCTGGAGGTCCCATGATCTCCTCCTCAGGACGCGGACACAGGCCTGCCCACCAGACTCGGCCCTGGGCTCCCGAACAATCTCTCTGGCTGGCCATGGGATGGTGGCCCGTCCCCATCCCCTCCGAGGAAGAAGGCACAGACCCGGAAATTCACGGAGTTCAAAGCACCCCCATTTGACAGAGGAGGAGACTGAGGCCAGGAGAGCAGACTCGGTGGCCTCAAGCCACATCATGGGGGCCCTGAGATCTAGGTCTCAGGTTTCCTGACTCCTGGGCTCAACTCTTTAAATACTCAGGCTGGACTCAGCTAATCTCATGAGTTAACTATAGATTTCATTTCCTGATCTAACGGGGATAATACAAAAAAATAAGTAATTGTGGGTCAAGGCCTCTTAGGAACAGAGCCAGGCTGGTAGGGAAGACCTTGGAGCCCAGAGCCTGGATTGGGGCTGGGAGGGCATAAGGCTGAGAGGAACAGGGGAAGGGGCAGGGGAAGGGGCGTGGGGGTGGGGGAGTGAGGGGAGTGGTGATCCTGTGCATCTCCCCAGCCCCACGCCCAGTGATGTCAAGCCGGCAGATTGAAATTGGCCTTAGAAGTATTTACACCAGGGAAATGGGCAAATGCTACAAATCGGGACAGCCCTCCCCGGCATGTCCCCGAACGTCCGCTGAGAGCCGGTTCACCAGCATGTGCCTGAGACCGTGGCAGAGTGTTTATCCCGGCAGAGAGCCACGGGAAGGCTTGAAGAAGGGGGGGGGGGGGGGGGGGGCAGAATCTGACTTAAAGACGGCGAGGTCCTCAGGAACTCATTTATTAATAAACAAAATGTACTGCACACCTGCCAGGCGACAGGCACTTTCTAAGTTCTAGGGTCATGGCCGCTGGCGGACGGTGCAAGGATCCGGGCAAGGGGATCTGGGCTGGGCACCAGTGTGTGCACTACAGACCTTGAGGTCAGGAACAGCTTGGCGGTTCCAGGAACAGCCGATGCCAACACGGCTGGAGAGGAGGATGGGGGCCAGTGAGGTGCGGTGAGGCCAGGGTGTGCGTTGGGGCCGGGCCCCACGGCATCAGCAGGAGATGCACCACCTCTGCCATCAAGAGGCCACTGGCCAGCTGGCTCAGGTGGGTGGAGCATCGTCTCATGCACCAAAAAGACGGGTTCGATTCCTGGTCAGTGCACGTGCCTAAGTTACAGGTTTGATCCCCGGCTGGGGAGTGTACAGGAGGCAACCGATCGATGCTTCTCTTCCCCCCTCTCTCTCTTCCCCTCTCTAAAAAAAAATCAATGAACATTTCCTCCAGTGAAGATTAAAAAAACCAATCCACCAAGATGTCCATCCTACCTGCAGCTCGGGGGCAGCCAGGGCCTGGTCCAGCTTCAGGAACTCTGCCTCCCGCCAGGCCGTGTGCAGCCGCTGCAGCAGGACGCGGGCCCGGATTCGGGGCAGGGCCAGGCTCCTGTCCATCTGAGCGAAGCAGCTGTGCACGTCCTGCCGTATCCGGAGCAGCTCCTCCTCGGACAGGGAGAAGGGGGAGCCGCAGAGCCTCCTGGGGGGCAGGGACAGGGCGTGGCTGGTGACATCCCCTCACACACAGACCACGCATCTCTACCCACTCGTCATCGTGGGACCCCGATGCTTCCCTCCCTGGCCTTGTCGGTAACGGCGCCGTGAACTCCTGCCACCCAGAGGGTGTTATGTTCCAAGAAATAAGTCAGACAGAGCAAAACAAATACTATGCAATTCCACCTATATGTGGAATCTAATAAAACAAACAAATAAAACAGAAACAAGCTCACAGACACAGAGAACAAACCGATGGTCGCCAGACTGGATGGGGTGGGGGACGGGTGAAAAAAGGGAAGGGAGTTAAGAAGTACAAATGACCAGTTATAGAAACAGTCACAGGGATACAAAGTACAACTTGGAGAACACAGGCAATAATCCTATATAATAAAAGGCTAATATGCAAATTGACCGAATGCCGGAATGACTGGTCGCTATGACGGACACTGACCACCAGGGGCAGACACTCAACACAGGAGCTGCCCCCTGGTGGTCTGTGCGCTCCCACAGGGGGAGTGCTGCTCAGCCAGAAGCTGGACTCATGGCTGGCGAGCACAGCGGTGGTGGCGGGAGCCTCTCCTGCCTCTGTGGCAGTCAAACATCCTCTGAGGGCTTCTGGGCTGCGAGAGGGCACAGACCAGTCTGAGCCTCCCCCCGCCCCCCGCCCCCCCCCCTCCGCCACCCCAGTGCACAAATTTCGTGCACCAGGCCTCTAGTACTGTAATAACTACGTGCGCCGTCAGGTGGGGACTAGCCCTCTCGGGGCGGCCATTTCATAAGGGATGTGAATAGCTAATCACCATGTGGGACACCTGAAATGACTATGATATCGTACATCAGGTGGAACTGACAAATAAATTTAAAAAAAAATAAATATTATACTTTTTACTTTAAAAAAGAACAGAAGTGTGTTCTCATCCATAGAAGATAGCGGGGTTGTGCTGGGGGTGGGGGAGCTGAAGATTCAAAGGGTAAGCGTCACTAGTGAAATTCACGTCTGCAAATGACCTCATGTCCTTCCTCACGCCTGTGCTCTGCACGGATTCCCTGAGCACCGCACGCCTGTCTGAGGGACGCGCCATCACACCGGGCCGGGAACCCAGCGTCCAGTGCGCGAGGCCCGAGGCTGCCTGTGGACGGGCAACCGGCTCCCGGCGTTCATGACCTGGCGGATAACAGACATGGGAGCAGAGGCTGCCCACTGACCCCGGCCAGCAGTTCCCTGCAAACGGGACGAGGAGCCCACCTCCGCTCCGGTGGGCCAGGGACGGGGGTCCCCCGCCTGGGTCCTAAATGCTGATGGTCACGTAGAGCAGTGGCTTTCAACCTTCCTAATGCCGCAACCCTTTAATACAGCTCCTCATGTTGTGGTGACCCCCAATTTCATTGTTACAAATTGAACATAATGAAAGCATCGTGATTAATCACAAAAACACTATGTAATTATATACGTGTTTTCCGATGGTCTTAGGCGACCCCTGTGAAAGGGTCGTTCGACCCCCAAGGGGGTCGCGGCCCACAGGTTGAGAACCGCTGACGCAGAGGAAGCTGTTCCGCATGGAAACCTCGCTGAGTGGCCGACTGTGATGGGTTGACGTCTGTGGCCCCTAAAAGGTGTGTGTTTGAGTCCTAATTCCTATTACCAGGGAGTCTGACCTTACTTGGCAATAGGATCTCACAGATGCAGTGGAGCAGTCAGGGAGGAGGGCGGGCCCTTAGTCCAATAGGACTGGTGTCCCAGTAAGAGCAGACAGACAGACAGACGCACAGGAAGACAGCCATGTGGTGACAGAGGCAGGATCAGAGCGATGCGTCTGCAGCCACCAAATGCTAAGGATGCAGCCACACAGAAGAGGCAGGAAGCGACCCTCCAGGAGCCTGGCGGGACCATGGCCCTGCTGACACCGCCCTTTAGACCTCCGGCCCCAGAGTTGTGCGAGGAGCCATCTCTGGCGCCTTTTTTGATGCTTTTTTCTTTTTTAATATACTTTTGTTGATTTGGGAGCGGAAGGGAGAGGGAGAGAGAGATAGAAACTATGATGAGAGAGAATCCTGGATCGGCTGCCTCCTGGATACAGCACACTGGGGATCAAGCCCGCAACCCAGGCATGTGCCCTGACCAGGAATGGAACCCGGGACCCTTCAGTCCGCAGGAGGACGCTCTATCCACTGAGCCACACCAGCGATGTGCGTTCATTTCTTTGTTGTGTGTTAACCCCCACTTGAGGGTATTTTCCCATTTGCAGACCATACACAATATCCACTTAAAACTCAGCCTGCTGTGTTTGGTCAAACAGTTAATGAACTCACCCCAATGCCTTGGCAGCGCCAGACCACATGACTCCGAGGGCCTTCTTCATACAGCCCGCGGGCCGGACGCCCCCCCACCCCTACTCCGCACCAAGAAAAGAGCAGGGGAAGGGTCTTGGTTTTGTTTCTTTGCTAAATGGCGTTTTTTAGGTTGACGGTTGGTCCGTTTGTTGAAAGAAAAAGCAGCTTGAAGGCATATTGATCGGTAGGACCACAGGTTACAGGACAAAAGGGCTCCTGTCCCTCATCAAACATCAGTTCTCACCCAGGGAGCAGGCGAGGTCCCTGCGTAGCCATCCGTCCTGGGTTCAATTCCCAGCTGCCCACAAACTTATTCAAACTCAGCAATCACACCTCCCGTGGGAACGGGCACTGCACCCTCTCGTCACTACCAGGCCTGCCTCCCGCAGCCCCGCTTGTTCCGTGCAACCCCCACGCGAACGAGTGGCCCTGGGCGTCGCGCAGGGTCCTCCTCCCTGGGCTGTGAGTCATGTGACTTAGAAAGAGCTGTCCATCTCGCCTGTCCACCGCCAGAGGTCGGGTGCCCAGCGTCCCATCACCCCAGGGTGAGCCCCTCCCTCACCTGGCAGGACGGGACCGTGACCGTGGGGACAGCAGGGGGACTCACAGGAAGACCCAGCGCCCCCAGTGCCGCAGCTCCGCCTGCTCCTCCGCCGAGGCCTCCAGCGCGTCGTCCTTGAGCCTCTGCCGCACGCTCCGGACGCCCTCCTGGTCCCGGCCCCGCTCCTCGGCCTCCAGCTGCTCGGCGCGGGCGGCCAGCTCCCGGGCGTGCTCCTCCAGGATCTGCTGCAGGAAGAGCCAGGGCACGCCGCGCCTGAGCAGCTCCTGCGTCAGCGCCGAGCTCTGCAGGCGCCGCAGCCCCTCCGTGGCCTTCTCGAACAGCGACAGGGTCAGCGCCCGGAGCTCGTCCAGCGCCGCCTGGTCCAGGCGCTCCTGCAGCTCCTCCAGGGCGGCGCCCTGGGCCGCCACCAGGCTCCGCCACTGGCCCAGGTACTGGCCCGCGTCCTCGGCCGCTCGGAAGGCTTCCCCGAGGGACAGCTGCTCCCTGCGCTGCTCCTTGTGCTGGCGGGAAGTCAGGGGGAAGGACGGGGGACACGCTCAGCCCAGAGCCCTGTGGGCAGGCACCGTGGGGTTTGCTGAGGAAGCGGAGCACGGGGAAGCCTTGGTCTCCACAAGCTCACGGGGAGAAAACTGTCCGGAAGGAAACACCCCAAACACAGTGGAGGCTTCATTTGTCCCACGTGCAGCAAACCCTCGTCTATGGACTTGGTGACGCCCAGGAGGCAGACCGGGTCCCGATCCTGCTTCTCCACTGGCAGGCGGGGTGGCGGGAGCAGCGTCTCATCCTCGCCGGGACCCATTTCCTCGCCTGTGAAGCGGGGATTACAGCGTCCCCCTCGCAGAGTGGTTGTGAGGATTCAATGAGTTGTTGAACACACACAAACTGAATCCGGGGGACAAGCAGGCATTTGCTGGGCCCAAGGCCAGGAGGGACAGGCAGGCAGGGGGGAAGTATCTTATTTAAGGTGAAGCACTCAGACAGCAGGGACCTGAGAATGTGAGAGCTGGGGTGTGTGGAGGGATGAGGGCAGGGCAGAGGGGGAGTGCCCAGGACTGAGGGCATAGTGTGCCAGGACACTATGGGGTGTGGCAAGGTGGCTCATCTGCATCCTAGGACAGTGGGGTACGGTGAAGGGTTTTTGAACTCACTAGAGGCCAGGTGCACGAATTCGTGCACCAGTGGGGTCCCTCAGACTGGCCCGCGGGATCGGGCCGAAACTGGCTCTCTGACATTCCCCAAGTGGTCCCAGATTGCGAGAAGGCGCAGGCAAGGCAGAGGGACCCCACCGGTGCACGACTGGAGCCGGGTAGGGACATGGGAGGTTGGCCAGCTGAGGAGGGACCGTGGGAAGGCTCCAGGGCGTGTCCGGCCCGTCTCACTCAGTCCCAATCAGCCAGACCCCAGCAGCAGGCTAACCTTCCAGTTGGAGTGTCTGCCCCCTGGTGGTCAGTGCACATCACAGCAACCGGTCAACCAGTTGACTGCCCTTAGTGGTCAGTGCACATCATAGCGACTGGTCAACTGTCTGCCCCCTGGTGGTCAGTGCACGTCATAGCGAGGGGTTGAGCTGCCTTAGCATATCATTAGCATATTATGCTCTGATTGGCTGAACAGCCAATCAGACGACCGGACACTTAGCATATTAGGCTTTTATTATATAGGATGCTCGGTAAAGCCTTCCCCTGCAGAGAGTAACTCCTGTCTGTGCTACTGGAGTGCACCGCGCAATTACATGTTTTTCGGCAGGTGTTCAGAATGGTTGCACGAAGAGTAAGTGGCAGAATTCCTTACGTACCTTTTGCAGCATCTCTCGTCTTCTCTTAACGATTAATTTTTGGTGGAGCTTTTTCTTTTCCTGCTTTAGGTCGTTGTCCAACTTCTGTTTAATGGAGAAGACTTCCGTCTGAGCCCGCTCCATCAGCTCCTCCGTCTGCTCTTCATCCAGGTACCCTGCTCTAGGCGAAGGAGACGCGGGGTTAACGCCGCCTCCACATTCTTACTTTGGGTTGAATAAGAGTCTTTACCCTGAAGGAGCAGGAGGTGGGTAGAGAGACAGTCCTGAGATACAGGAAGGGCAAGGTCGGCATCACCGTGGACCACGGCGGAACTCAACACCAGGAGAGATCGCCCGGGAGGCAGAAACTGGGCAAGACCCCCAGGAAGTCAGTCTGCCTGTGTAAGGCAGGATCTCCAAGGAGATGGTGGGCTAGGAAGTCCTGGTGACAAGCAGGGCACCAGCAGAGTCTAAGAGGTAAGCGTAAGGAGTACTCAGTGAGGGTAATTCTATGAGTCACCGTGACGGGCCACGGTGCTGGTTACACATGGATCTGGGGGTGTCTGTGAGGCTGTTTCCGGATGAGATTACTCCCCACGCACAGTTGTGTGAGCTCCACCACCCATTTCCCAGTGAAATGTCGGGATTTGCTTTAAAATAACCCGGGGTGGAGCTGTAGAGCCCCGCTGGCCATGAGTTGGCACCTGTGAAGTTGTGATGAGCATTTGGGTTGTCTGAACTATTTCGCATATTTTCTTGTGTTTTTGTTCATCCTCGCCCAAGGTTATTTTTCCCATTGATTTTTAGAGAGAGTGGAAGGAAGAAGGGAGAGAGAGAGAGAGAGAAACATCGGTGTGAGGGAGACACATCGATTGGTTGCCTCCTGCACGAGCCCCATGGGGGGCCAGAGATCAAACCAGCAATGTAGGTACATGCCCTGCATCAGGAATCGAACCCGAGACCCGTCAGTGCATGGCCGATGCTCTAACCACTTAGCACACCGGCCCGGGCTATCATGCATGTTTTTAAATCCTACAGTGAACCAGAGTCTTACAATCAGAGGATTTTCTTAAGACATAAGCAAGGAGCGGACGGTGCCTTTGGTGAAAGAACAGAAGCAGCGGCCTCGGGCGAGGAATGCGGGGCAAGGCGGCTCGTCTGCATCACTGGGACACTCAGGGGTTTACCTCTCGTGTTTCTGGATGAGGAGGGTCAGCTGAGCAGCGGCAGCGCTCAGCAGGCCCTGCACGCGGGTCTCCGCCGACTGCATGTTCTGCACCAGGTACTCCCTGTGGCCGAATCTCTTACTCAGGTGGTACCTTTTACTGGCCTGGAAAAAGTCCATCAACTCTTCCACTTCCTCCTGCTCGAAAAGGAAACCAAGAGCATTTGCCTGATTAAAATGTAGAGGAAATGCTTTCTAGACGCTTAAAATAGTCCATTTCCTGTTAAAGAGAATACACCTGAGACAAACTGTAACCCTCTCTGCCCTTAACCAAGGCTTAGAGCAGCGGTTCTCAACCTGTGGGCCGCGACCCCTTTGGGGGTCGAACGACCCTTTCACAGGGGTCGCCTAAGACCATCGGAAAACACATATATAATTACATATTGTTTTTGTGAATAATCACTATGCTTTAGTTATATTCAATTTGTAACAATGAAAATACATCCTGCATATCAGATATTTACATGACGATTCATAACAGTAGCAACATTAGTTATGAAGTAGCAACGAAAATAATTTTATGGTTGGGGGTGACCACAACGTGAGGAACTGTATTAAAGGGTCGCAGCATTAGGAAGGTTGAGAACCACTGGCTTAGAAGGAAACGAAAGACGACTAAGAAATGAGGACTTTGAAAAGTGCCCTGGACCCCGATGTCATCAAACATCCTGGCCGCCCTGAACTTGACTCCACCTGGGATTCACCTTCCCCACGCACACTGCGCACCTGAGGCGCTCCCAAAGCTGCACCGGGACAGGTGTGCAGCGCCGGAGCAGTCAGCCACCGGCCCGACCCCGAGGCCCCACACTCACGGCGACGAGATGAGCTCAGTAAAAAGCACAGCAAGAACTCTTCCTCAGTCTATGAAATGAACAAACCCCAGCAAACACAACGGTGTGGCATAACCTCGCTTATGCTGGTGTCCTTCCTGGGCCCAGCGCATTTCTCACCGTTTCTACCTTCACCTCGGGAGAGAACGCTATTATTCCCATTTCACAGATGAGGAGACTGAGGCCCCCTGGCATAGCTGGCAAATGGCTGAGCAGGGATGTGAACTCAGCAGTGTAACTCTGGGGCCTGTGCTCTGACTTCAGGGCGGGCTGCCACCAAATGCAGCCTTAGCCCCCGGCATAGTCATTGGATCAGCGGGAACGAAGCCCTTAGCCTCAGTGGCATCAGTGCACTGATCAGCTCGGCTGGCTTTTCCATCCGGGGAAACGTGGTCCATGCAACGGGCACCGAAAACATCAATGCTGTGTTCAACAAGATACACCTGGTGCCATGGACAGTCCCCTTTCCGCACAAAAGCTGTAACGTCGCCAGTTCCCGCCACCTGAGAATTCGCACTGTCCCGACAGCAGAAGCTGAATGGTCGTCCCATATGGCCCCATAACAGCATCTCCCAGAGAGGTCCTGTTCCATGGTCCTGTTCCCTACGGAACTGGACCCACGTGAGCTGTTGATGGGGCCACCAGGTAAGGAAACTCATTGTTACTCTAGCAGCTCCGGTCAAAGTCGTCTACGCCGTGGCACCTGATCGCCACGGTGGTTACTTCTTTGACCCCAGGTGACTGACAGTAACGTGCGTCCTTCCTAACGCGACCGTCCCAGCCCTAACTCAGCCCCGGCTCCATGAGCAGGAAAAGGACCGCAAGACCTGTCACCATCCAGGTGATGCCACGCGTCCGAACAGCTAGCGAGGAGGGGGATGGAATTCCTGCTTTCTCCCTCTCACTGACCTTCTGGTGAGAAAACCTAGAGCAAATGGAGAGGCTGGTTGTTCTCCTCCAGTCCCAGTGCCTGCTGGGAGTGGCCTTGTCCTCCCACAGGCTCAGGATGGTCACCGGTCTCCTCCCAGCGCTGTCCCGTGCTGTCGCAGCCTCATGCACTGGGCCTTGCCAGGACCAGAGCCTGGTGTGTGCCTGCACATGGTGACTGCACTGTGCGTGTGGGTGCGTGTGCGTGTGTACCTGTGCTTACCAAGTACCTCCTGCCGGCCTCATGAGGAATCCCACAGCCATGTCCAGTCTCAGATAAACCACCTTCACGGTCGTCTGGAAATGTATTCGGTCTGCACCAATGGCATTCACACTCAAACTGATGTGCAAAAAGTGACACAGATTCTCCAGGCACATCTGGACACAGGTCGCAAACCCCACACGCACCAAGTTTACGCACACATACCCTCATGTTATCTTAAACACTGTGCCGTGCATGGCTTTCCCGAGTCAGCTCGCTAAGCCCCCGCCACTCCCCTGTGAGTGCGGGTACTCTGTTACCCATTTGCAGATGAGGAAACCGAGGCTCAAAGAAGCTGGGCAACTTACTTAAATTGGCACAGGCCGGGGGCGGGGGAGGAGGGGGACTGGAATTCACATTCGGGTCAGCCTGAGTCCCAGGCCTGTCTCCAGGCCCCCACTTCCCGTGCTTTCCGGAAACTCATGCAGATGTTAGTAGTTGGGGGGGGTGGGGGGAAGGAGGAGAGGCGGAGGAGGGCCCTAGCTCCTCATCCATAGCAGGAAAGAGGCATGGTCTCAGCTCAGAGAGGAGACATTCACCAGGTGGCTCAGGAAATGGCTCCCCGCAGAGCGAGCCTGCCCGAGGCCTTACCTGTATTCTGGAGTAATCTTGCAGCAGCATTTTGGCGGCCTCTGGCTGCAGGTCTCCTTTGAAAATAGCACTTTTGATCTGGGCGAAGAAGATGCTGTGCAGCTCGCTCCTCTGGAAGACGGCCAGCTGCCTGTGCGCCTTGGCGACGTCCTCTTCCTGCTGCAGAGCCAGGGAGCGCCGCAGCTGCTCCTGCTCCAGGCCGTGCAGGGTCCGCAGGAGGCTGCTGCACTCGCCCGCCGACTGCGGAGAGGCCACGTGAGAGGCTGACCTGCCAGGCAGGCACGCACAGGCAAGTGCACACACACACACATGTTTACACATGCACACACAGCAGACATGCATGCACGCAGCCACCCACCATGCACACACGTGCACATAGCATATGCACACACACAGCAGACATGCACACACGCAGTCACCCACCATGCACACACGTGCACATAGCATATGCACACACACAGCAGACATGCACACACGCAGTCACCCACCATGCACACGCATGCACATAGCATATGTACACACACGTAAGCACACAGCATATGCACACACACAACCATCCACCATGCACTCTCCATGGACACACGTGTGCACAGGGCACGCGCACACTATGTCCCACGCTGACCATGATGAGACTGCTCAGCTGGGGATATGCTGTTGCAAGCTCCCTGTGATCCTAACGTTTCCCAGAGCCACCAGCGGAGAGCGTGCACAGGCAGGAACCTGCAGCTCACATGCCTGAGAACAGCTGCAAAACGGAAGCTCCAAGGGCTGCTGCCGGGCGCTCAGGCCTGTCGCCTCGTCTTTCCTTCTAACTCAGGCGGAGAGCAAAGTGCCAGCAGTCAGGCCCACACAAAGCTCAGCTGGTGAAAGGGCGGCAAAGAGGAGGGACGACGTGGCCAGGTGATGCCTGCACGTTACATGGGCCGCGCGAGGAGAGGAAGGAGACACGTGGCTGAGTCCTGAGGACGCACACCCGCGGAGGGGTGCTCTCCATCCCTCGGGGAGAGACGGACTCTAAGGCAGCCCGCCAGACTCCTGCCCCCGTGCAGAGTGGAGTGTCCTGGAGACGTAAATCTCCGCCCGGGTGCGCATAAACCCTGAATGTGATGGGACTGTCACTCCTGAGACCAGGTGATTATGTGGCAAAGCAGCGGGGCCTTCATGATGGACATACAGTCCCGAACCCGTGACTCTGAGTAACCAGGAAGGGGAGTATTCTGCTGGGCTGACCTAACCAGTGAGAGTCCTGAGAAGAGGGACGGGTGCTCCTCGAGGGAGAGACTCCCTCCCACGGGCCTTGAGGGTGACAGCAGTCCTGCTGTGAGCTCCTGTGGGGGAGGGATGCCTGTAGGGGCAGAGGGTCTCCCTTCTGCAAGTGCAAGGACGTGGATTCTGCCAGCGACCGAATGGAGTGAGCTCCAGGGAGAAGGCAGCCCAATCGGGACCTGGATTGCAAGGTGGGGGTGGGGCCTGAGACTCGCTTCACAGGAGCAGAGCAGGAATGTTCTAGAACTGGAGGCCCAGTCTGTCTGACTCCCGAGTCTGTGCTGGAGAGAGCTGTGCTCTAGCGACTGCAGTCGAGGGACACACGTGCACACCAGCATCGCGACCTCGCTGTGGGTGCGACCTCCTGGGAATGAAGCCTTTCTATTCCCCTGGTCCCCCCAGGGCACAGTGGACATAGCTCTACCATAACACAGTGAACGATGTCTCATTTTTATACGTAATGATCCTTCTTAAACCAGACTTCTTTAATGCAAAACCCATGTCTCATTTCACTCTGTACCTTCATGGCCTATCCCAGTGCCTGAAGACAGTAAGAGATTAATAAATGCTTTCTAAATGAATTCTGGATGGATGGGTGGTGGGTGGATAAGCATGTGGATGTGTAGACAGACAGATGGACAGATGGATGAATGAATGGATGGTGGGTGCCTAGATGCACACACGGTGGATAGATAAATGGATGGGGAGATGGATGCATGTGGAGATGGACAGGAAGATAGATAAATGAATGGATGTGTAGACAATGATGGATGGATGGATGGGTAGATGAATAAGTGGATGGATGGGTAGATGGATAGATGGGTAGGTGGATAGATAAATGGGTAGATAAATGGATGGGAGGGTGAGTGGATGGATGGATGGACGGATGGACGGACGGGTGGGTGGATGGAAGGACGGATGGACGGACGGGTGGGTGGATGGATGGGTGGATGGATGGATGAGTGGGTGGATGGATGGATGAGTGGGTGGATGGGTGGATGGATAGATGGATAGATGGGTGGATGGATGGATGGATGAGTGGGTGGATGGATGGATGAGTGGGTGGGTGGGTGGATGGATGGATGGATGGATGGATGGGTGGATGGATGAGTGAGTGGGTGGGTGGGTGGGTGGGTGGATGGATGGATGGGTGGATGGATGGGTGGGTGGATGGATGGATGGATGAGTGGGTGGGTGGATGGATGGATGGATGGATGGATGGATGGATGGATGGGTGGGTGGGTGGATGGCTGGCTGGCTGGCTGGCTGGCTGGCTGGATGGATGGGTGGGTGGATGGGTGGATGGATGGATGGGTGGATGGATGGGTGGGTGGGTGGGTGGATGGCTGGCTGGATGGATGGATGGGTGGATGGGTGGATGGGTGGATGGATGGATGGATGGGTGGATGGGTGGATGGGTGGATGGATGGGTGGGTAGGTTGCTCGCTGAATGAATGGATAAATGATGATTCCCCAAGAGGAAGGAGAGAGGTAGAGCTGCCTTACCCTCTCGCTAACATGCTTCAGCAGTTCTTCCGCCTCCTCCATCGCCGCTGCCTCCCTCTGGAACTGGTTTTCTGTCCTTTTTCTTGTTTCCAGGTCGCATTCAGCCGTCAGAGCCACCATCTTGCGATCATACTCCTCTTGTATTTCTTTCTCCAGCATCAGAAACTGCTTTTTAAAGGCGGCGCCCATCCTCCTCTCCACCTGAGGGGCGAGGTGGCCCCCGCTGCTCAGACCTCTCAGCAGAAGGGCGATGACGTCCTTGCTGATTTGGGTCCGACAAGCCTCCAGATCTGCGTCGGCCCGATTCAGGGTTGCAATCTCCAACCTGGGAGACACACAGGTCGGGAGAGTTCCATTACCTAACGTCCGACAGAAGCCAGAGGCCCTGGTTGGGAAAGCTCTGCGGTTTCCAGTTATCCGTAGATCAGGCCTTCCTCTTTCCCTTCCCCGCCCCCCCCCCCTCCTCCTCCTCCTCCTCCTCCCCTCCTCCCTCCCTCTGCCCCATCCAGTGACTGAACACCAGTGGCTGAGTAGCAGATTCTTTTTTAAAAAAATGTTTTTTATTTATTTTACAGAGAGAGGAAGGGAGAGGGAGAGAGAGAAGCATCGAATGAGAGAAGAGAGAAGCATCGAACAGCTGCCTTCTGCACACCCCCTACGGGGACTGAGTCCACAACCTGGACATATGCCCTGACCAGGAACTGACCCCAGTGTGGGATGTGAGGAGACAGCGATCCATGATTCTCTCTCATCATTGATGTTTCTCTCTCTCTCCCTCTCCCTTTCTCTCTGAAATCAATACAAACATTTTTTTAAAAAGAGAGAAAAGGACATCCGTGTTTTTTCATATTTATTTCATATAAAAATTAATCACGTTTTCACCAAATGGCACGCAAGGTGTCAGAGCAGCAATCGGACAGGATGTCATGCTCGGGGCAGTAAATCTCCCTGAATGTGAACTGTGAGCGAAGGTCGGTAATCAGGGCGATGGAGGAGAATTAACTCCGAAGGGAAGTGAAAGGGCCCTAGCCACGGTTTACAATACACATCTCGCGCCCACGAGTCAGCTCTGTGCGTGTATTAGACCCACAAAAGCCATCTCCGTGGCAGTGAGCGTGAGGTTTGCCTCCAGGGGCCGTCTCCATGGAGACAACCTGCGGCGAGGCCCCAGGTGGGGGCTGTAAATCATATTTACATACTGTCCTGTGAGGGGCTGGACAGTGGAAATTCCCCCTGATATCTTCACTGTCACAACTGTAACGGAGGAGAAATAGTTACTGTATGTGAGCAGAACATCAGTGAAAGTTAGGATAAGCCGTAGTATTTAGTTTTGTAGAAACTCAAATGTACTGTAGGATACAGGGTCAGCCATCTAGATCCTTCCTCCCAGACGGTTTCCTCTTACAGATCTTCGTTTACGCCCGGCCAGCTTGGCTCAGTGGATGAGTGTCAGCCCTCGGACTGAAGGGTCCCAGGTTCGATTCTGGTCGAGGGCATGGACCTAGGTTGCAGGATTGATCTCCGGACTAGTCGGGGGCCAGCCAGAGTCTCACATCGATGTTTCCCTCTCTGTGTCTCTCCCCCTCCCTTCCACTCTCTCTAAAAATCAATGGGAAAATGAGGAGTAACAAAAAAAAGATCTTTGTTGAGAAGGCACATCGGCCCCTCTCCAGCCATGAGCGACTCCCTGAAGGGGCTGCAGATGCAAGAGAGGCGCTCACTCCTGACCCGGGGCTCCCATGTCACTGCCCCCTACGACCCCCCTCCCCCACTTGCTGGCCAGGCCCGAAGGACAGTCAGCTCTGGAACAGACAGGAAGGCGTGGGAGCTTCTCTCCACCTCAACCCCCGCCCCCCTCCCGCTAACTTCCTCCTGCCTCCCTTCTGACTCTGACCTCACGTCATTGCATCTGGAAGCATAACAGGCCTGGAGTCTCACACCCCAAGTTTCCAATCTGGCTTCGCCCTTTCTGAACTGGGCGCCAGAGGTGTCTGCTGTCTGAGCCCCGTCCCCCGACTGGCTAACGGGAACCCCGTCCCCGACTGGCTAACGGGAACCCCGTCCCCGACTGGCTAACGGGAACCCCGTCCCCGACTGGCTAACGGGAACCCCGTCCCCCGTGTCAAGTGCAGGTCCCTGCGGAGAGGAACCTGCCTCTGCGCGCCGCTCTGCTTTGGCAGCTGTCGGACTCTCAGGCCGCTCACCCCTCCTGCTCAGCTGGGGAAACCGAGGCACAGAAACTGCCATTCCTTATCCAAAGCAGCGGGGCTGTTCAGGGGCAGAGCTGGGATCTGAAGCCAAGACGTGTGGCTCCAGGGCCTTTGCCCTACCCTTCCTCCTACCGCCTCGCGCCAACACGCTCCCGCTCCCGCTCCGCCTCGCAGAACTGGCTGTGGGTCTGTCCCTCCATGACCGGTGAGCACCAGCAGCTGGAGCACTCCGCACCTCCTGGGCACCCGCACCCCCTGGGCACCCGCACCCCCTGGGCGCCCGCACCACCTGGGCACCCGCACCTCCTGGGCACCCGCAGGCCTGGGCACCCGCACCCCCTGGGCACCCGCACCACCTGGGCACCCGCACCTCCTGGGCACCCGCAGGCCTGGCCCATGGTCCTGGGCACCCGCACCTCCTGGGCACCCGCAGGCCTGGGCACCCGCACCTCCTGGGCACCCGCACCCCCTGGGCACCCGTACCACCTGGGCACCCGCACCTCCTGGGCACCCGCAGGCCTGGCCCATGGCCCTGGGCGAGCACCTGCTCAGGGACAGTGGCTGGCGAGGGAACAGAGGAGCGGATGCAGGAGAGGGCGGCGCAGGGCTGACCTGGCGCTGTCACGGAGGCACACTGGTCACCTTCGGTGGCAATACACCCACTGGACCGCTGACCCCCCTGGCACCAGATGCCCGTGACAGCTGAGGCATCTCAGGCTGGCGTCCCCGCCCACTCAGACCGCAGTGGGCAGGAGGGGCTGTCCCCCAAAGACACCTGAGCGCGTGAGCGTCAACCACACATCTCGGATGTTTTTATGTGTTCGTGAAAAAATAGAAAAAATAGCAAAAACAGCAAAGCAAAAGTTTTCCTGGAAGCAAAGACATCGGAACTGAACCCCTGGGTGAGTGAGCGCTCACAAGGAAAGGAGCCCAGGGTCCCGCTGGAATGGAAGCGGCGAGGGGGTGCGAGCAGGTCTGATCTCGGCGGCAGCTGCCAGACCCCTGTCCAAATCAAAGCCCATAGCCCACACCTGGCAGCCCAGCCCCACACCTGGCAGCCCAGCCCCACACCTGGCAGCCCAGCCCCACACCTGGCAGCCCAGCCCCATCCCTGGCAGCCCAGCTCCACACCTGGCAGCCCAGCTCCACACCTGGCAGCCCAGCCCCACACCTGGCAGCCCAGCCCCCACACCTGGCAGCCCAGCCCCACACCTGGCAGCCCACCCCCACACCTGGCAGCCCAGCCCCACACCTGGCAGCCCAGCCCCACACCTGGCAGCCCACCCCCACACCTGGCAGCCCAGCCCCACACCTGGCAGCCCAGCTCCACACCTGGCAGCCCAGCCCCACACCTGGCAGCCCACCCCCACACCTGGCAGCCCAGCCCCATCCCTGGCAGCCCAGCTCCACACCTGGCAGCCCAGCTCCACACCTGGCAGCCCAGCCCCCATACCTGGCAGCCCAGCCCCACACCTGGCAGCCAGCCCCACACCTGGCAGCCCAGCCCCCACACCTGGCAGCCCAGCCCCCACACCTGGCAGCCCAGCCCCCACACCTGGAAGCCCAGCCCCACACCTGGCAGCCCAGCTCCACACCTGGCAGCCCAGCTCCACACCTGGCAGCCTAGCCCCATACCTGGCAGCCCAGCTCCACACCTGGCTGAACCCCTCTCCATCTCATCCACCCAGCCACACACAATGACCCCCCTAAAGTTACCTGAAGTTCGTGCCTGTGTCTAAGCCACTGCTTCCCTGATAGCTGACCACACACGGAACCTCGGCCTGCAAGTCTCTCTGGGCAGGAGGGGCCCTGTAGGAGGTTCCCACGGCACCATTTGGTGAGACTGATCTAAGGGGCTCTGCTGGGAGGTGGTGTGCGCCCTCCCTCCTCTGGCTCCGGAGGACGAGCTGAGGGCTGAGGGCTGGGGGCTGGGACTCAGCACAAGCAGCCGTGGGCCTGGTGGTCGGGGAGGCCTGCAGGGTCTCGCTGTGGAGCTATGCCTGCAGGCAGGGGCCACCTCCACCAGCCTGGCTTTTCTGAGCTAGAAAGCGATGGCGGCCAGGTTGGAGAACGTTCCTGCTCTTTGTCTGTTTCCCAGCTGGCCCAGAGCTCAGGGTGGGGGAGAGGAGAGCTCTTTATGACCCCCTCGGGCACTCCCAACAGCTGAGGGGGTTCCTTTTATTTCCAAGAAACCGCTAAGAGGAGGATGAACCTCAGGGTCTAGATGGGGTGTGTGGGAGGGGAGATGCCAAGTAAGACAGAACATCCGTCGGCAAAGGTCACGGTGCACAGCAGAGGGGCCGGTGGGGGAGGGGGTGGGGAGGAGGCATTAGTCCAGCTCGCGCTGTCTCACTGCCCCGTGTGTCTGTGTGCGCTGCTTCTCCTGTGGGCGATGGGCATCTTGGGGGCCTTGCTTTTCTCAGCCTCCTCCCTGGCACCGCGCACAGCGCCAGGCGCTCGGCGGGAGCTCAGGCCACCCTTGCTGAGAAGACAGGTGTTCACTGGACACAGGACTGCTCCACGAAGCCTTCCCTTGCTGGGAAGATGACAGTGCGGGTTGCCATGGGAACCAGAGGCATCACAGCTGCTCTGCTCTGGAGCGGTCCTCTTCTGTCCCCCATAAAAATCCCTCCTGGCTGGTCAGACACGCAGGAACCCACACCCTGCAGGGAAGCCAGCGGCGAGCGAGGCCCAGGTGTGAGGAAGGGCTGCTGCCCACCTTCGCCGGACAGCGGAGCAAGGACGCTGTGTTGGCCGTCTGGTGGTCTAGGTCTGTGGTCGGCAAACTGCGGCTCGCGAGCCACATGCGGCTCTTTGGCCCCTTGAGTGTGGCTCTTCCTAAGCCTTAGGAGGACCCTAATTAAGCTAATCACAATGTACCTACCTATATAGTTTAAGTTTAAAAAATTTGGCTCTCAAAAGAAATTTCAATCGTGTACTGCTGATATCTGGCTCTGTTGACTAATGAGTTTGCCGACCGCTGCTCTAGGTGAACCCTGATGTCGATCCTCCAGAAACTTAGCAATGACCTAGACACCTGTCATCCATCTGATGGTCACACCGCTCCACCCCTGCTCCCCCATGGCGATGCACCTTCTAACAGCAGCCCCCACCTACTGTCACCGTCACTGCTCCCACCGCCTGCCCCTGCCTCCCCCACACCTGCTCTGGTCACCCATAGCGTCCCCGTCATGAAAATCAAGACATTCCTCCGGCCTCAGGTGACTAAACTCCAGCAAAGTCAGGCACGGCTGCCCACCCCTTCTTCTGGACCCCCTTCTCTCGCTTTCCTGACTTCCCCGCCCTCCCGGGTCCCCGACTTCTAAATGTGGGAATTCCTTAGGGCCCCATCCCGGTTCCCTCTCCTCTCTGTCCTCTCTCGGAGGTTCCTCCCTCAATCCCATCTGCAGCCCAGAACTCTCTGAGAACAGACCCACACGCCTGCCCACTGACACCTCCATTCGGGGTCTCCCAGGCATCGCCACCTAAAGCCCGACAAGAGTGGCTCCCCCCGCGCTCCCCCAGCTGCTCAGCCTGAAACTCAGGGTCAGTCATGCCGGCTCGCGAACCCGCTCCCAACCATCGGCACGTCCTGCTGACTGTCCCTCGATCGCCTCGATTCCACCGACACATATGAGCCCGTAGATGGATGCCAGACAGGCCTACATCCTGGGGGACCCTCCGGGAGGACGGCCGCACTCCACGCCGAGCAAGGGGCGAGGGAGCAGCCGAGGGATGGACAGTCGCGGGGGGGCGCCGTGTGTGGGTGGCAGAACACCCGCCCTCCCCCCCCCCCCCGTGAGGGTGTCCCCAGACACGGTGACGTCCTCGGGCGAGCGCTGAGCCACCTGTGAGGCCGCGTCACACCTGGGACATGCTGGGTTATCTTCTGGTTTGAGAAACCTCAAAGCTTCTCGCAACCTTCGCTGTCAAAGTCACCGGACAGTGACTGTCCATCACGGCCATCACTGTGGGTGTCTCCCACCCCTCAGGATCCCACTGTGCGCCAGGCACCGTCCGCGGCATCGGGGACACATCGGAGACCCGTCCGTGTGAACGGACTGCCTGGGCGGGCAGCCACATTACAACAAGCAGGCGGGGTGCCTTGGACAGCCTGTGCGACGCGAAGAAAACTGGTTTTTAGGATAAAGACCGGAGGCGGGGCTGCTCCAGGTAGCACTGTGCACTGGCTGTGCGACCCTCCAGCCACCTCCCCAGGCTCCTGCCACCGACCCTGGCTTCTTAATTTTCTTTTTTTACTATATTTTTTAAGTTGATTTCAGAGAGGAAGGGAGAGGGAGAGACATATAGAAACATCAATGATGAGAGAGAATCATTGATCCGCTGCCTCCTGCACGCCCCACACTGGAGATGGAGCTTGAAACCCGGGCATGTGCCCTGACTGGGAATCGAACCGTGACCTCCTGGTTCATAGGTCAACACTCAACCACTGAGCCACACTGGCCGGGCTGTCCTGTCCTCTTTTTGATCGTCAAATGCCTCCCCCTGAGCTCTGCACATGCTGCCCCCCACGGAGTGCCCGTCACTGAAGCCTCCATGCAGCCGACCTCCCTTGGAGGGTCCTCCCCGAGCTCCCGAACTAGAGCGGCCATGCCCGCTGCTGCCCTGCCCTGGCCACGGGGACGCGTGCGCAGCTGCCGGGGACGCGCCTGCATTTTGTCGTGAACTTGGTGGGGACAGAAGCCAGGACTCTGGAGCACCCGCAGCCTGGCACCGCGCCCACGCAGAAGGGGCCCCGGGAGCTGCTCTGAGCGATCCACTTGGAAATCACCGCACCGCGAACCAAGAGCCCAACCAAAGGACAGGCGAACAACGGAGACCTGGGCGAGCGGCCTCAGGTCTGAGAGGAGGAACAAAGCCACAGCTCGGGGTGCTTCTACAGACGCAAAAGAGCGGTCACAGGAGCACAGCCCACGGGCGGCACAGACCCGTTCCCAACAGGCGCCGTTCAGCAACGGCGCCCGGAACCCCTGCTTTGCACGAAGCACAATTCTGAGAGCTCAGAAGGCGGTGCTGGTCGCATCAAAAGACAGCGATAAGCGTGTGATACAGGCCTCACAGAGGAACAGGAAACAAGCGGGCCTGGAACTCCGTTCTCATTTTCCTTGCCTCGCCGGGAAAACCTAAGTTCAGGCTTTTTAAAAAGCTGTTGTATCAGGCCGGGGCCCAAACCCATGACCACGCGTGTGACCTTGGGCAAAACCAACAAACCTTTCTGAGCATCAGCTTCCCCCCGAGAGTTGCTGCCAGAATTAAGGAAGATCTCGGGCTAGCGGTGCTTGGTGGTGGTCAGGCCAGAGCGAGGCCCGAGCTCAAACCCTGCTGGGACCAGCCAGTGCGCCCCGTTCCTCCTTCCTCCTGTCCCAGCATGCCTGGGGCTGAGCCACCTCCATCAGGGCAACAGTCAGGGAGCCTAATATAAATTTCAAAGGAGCCCGGGCTGGTGTTTCTCAGTGGTTAGAGCATCGGCCCTCGCAACCTAAGGGTTACAGGTTCAATCCCCGGTCAAGGGCACGGACCTGGGTTGCAGGTTCAATCATGCGGGAAGCAACCAATCGATGTGCCCCCTCCCCCCTCCCCTCCCCTCCTTGCCTCCCTTCCATTCTCTCTAAAAATCAATGGAAAAAATATCCTTGGGCGAGGATTAACAACAACAACCATCTAAGGAAATATCCCCTCCTCGTGTCCTCTCCGCAGAGCTGGCCTCCAGAGAAACAGCCACGCAAGCCAGCAAATGCCCTTTGTCAAAAATCAGCCAGGGAGCCTGGCCAGTGTGGCTCAGTAGTTGAGCAACGACCTATGAACCAGGAAGTCATGTTTCGATTCCCAGTCAGGGCACATACCCAGGTTGTGGGCTCAATCCCCAGTGTGGGGTGTGCAGGAGGCCGCCGATCAAAGATTCTCTCTCATCATTGATGTTTCTCTTTCTCTCTCTTCCTCCCTCTCTGAAATCAATAAAAATATATTAAAATAATAATAATAATACCACCTGCTCCGGGGAGCATTCCCGTGACCCTCTCAGAGGCAATTACTTCTTTGGGCTCAGCTGGCCCTGGTCTTCCCCGTAGCGTGCTGCTCATCAAACTCCGACGGGCACTAGGTCAGCCTGTCTCATAGCACAAACGATGTCTTATTCACCTCTTCTCCCAAGTACCAAGCATAGCGTTCAGTGCATGGCAGTTGCTCGATTATGACTACTGAGTAATGAGTGCCTGCATGAGTTCATGAATGAATGAAACGTGCCCAGCGTTCGCTCTCATGCCTCTCCCGTTAAGCCACTCACCACAGCTAAGAAAGCATCATGGGATTAGAACTCTTACTCTTCCAGGGCTTGCAGCATGCTCCCGGGGTCCTCTGAGGACAGGATGCCGACCACCTGGTCATTCAGAGCCAGATCTTCATTCACACCGTCGGCCGCCGTGAACTGGGAGTGCTCCAGCCTGCTCTCCTGATGCCGAGCCTTCGGGAGAATTGCAGAAATAACTGAGTAGGCCTTGTCGCGAATGTCGCGTGTGGAAAGTCAGGAGGGAAGGTGGGGACTCATAGGCCTCACCTCTGTGAGCAGGGTAAACTCATCAAAGAAATGGGATCATAATTCCAGGAGCCCTGCACAGAGTGACGTGGCTAAAACAAAGCAATGAATGGATAGACCAGTGGTCGGCAAACTGCGGTTCGCAAGCCACATGCAGCTCTTTGGCCCCTTGAGTGTGGCTCTTCCACAAAATACCGACTTCTGCGCATGGGCCATGAAGTTTCAATCGCACTGTACGTGCGCGCCCGCACGTGGTGTCTTGTGGAAGAGCCACACTCAAGGAGCCAAAGAGCCGCATGTGGCTCACGAGCCGCAGTTTGCCGACCATTGGGATACACCATTGCAACCAGTCAAGACCTATACAAATACTTCACCATCACCACCATCACCATCATCACCATCACCCACAGCACCACCACCATCACCATCCTCACCATCACCATCACAATACCACTATCATCACACCACCACCATCACCACCACCACATTATTACCATCCTGTCACCATCACCACCATCATCATAATCATCACTATCACCATCATTTCCTCACCATCACCACCATCATCGGCATCACCATCAGGTAGAGAAAAATTACAGATGGCAGATGGACTTCAACATCATGAATCTGCCACGTTTCTAATCAGCATATACAATTGTAAGATTGAAGTGACATCAGAAATAATTAAGCCCAACCCTCTGATGGGATCGATGACACGTCTGTTTTGTCCCTGCCGGGGTTCTTGTTCCAGCATTAAGACGGGTTCATCAATCTGGAGAAGGCTGTGTGTAACTTAGAGTCCAGAGACGAAGCATAATTTTGAAAGGCGTATGGGGGTCAGAGGAGCTTAGCTAAAAGGAACTAAGATCTCCTTGTCTCAGGACCCCATGGTTTTTATTAACACAAATTGTCCTGAAGCGAGGTGGAGGTACACACTTCAGAGGGTCAGGGTTGCGTATACAGAGTCCATTGTCAGAATGGGGAGAATTAGCCTGGCTGTTCAGGTGTTTGGCCAGTAGGAGGCAATAACATATAGATTAAGATGCCCTGAGCTGTCTGGCAGCAAACAATCATTCCTCTTCACGTTTGGGGAAATGCCATCAGCCATTCCCAACAGGTGACAACATATGTGACTCAGCCCTTGTTGAGTCCCCAAGTTCCATCAACCTTTTGATGAAACTCTTGCAATTATGACCTGCTGGACCTGGCTTCCAGCAGTCCCCAATATTAATTCTGCAGAAATGGGTGATAACTATAGCTAACATTTAACAATAACTCCTGCCCCTGTGCCTTGTATGTGTTATATCATGAAACTATCACAACAAAATAAGTGTTGTCGCCCCCACTTTACATATGAGGAACCTGCAGCTCAGAGAGGTGAAGTAACATTATATGAGTTGACACAGATCATAAAGGGCCAGGTGGGTATTTGATCCCAAGACAATCTAACCCTAAAGGCTTCTTCTGTTTTACATAATGCTGTCTTATCGGTTGCCACCACGCTGGCAAAAACAGAGAAAAATGTGAAAAGATTTCATTCTGTGCTGCAGGAAAAAAAAAAATACCGCAAGTGTTTTCAACCTTAAATCAAATTCACACTTTGCTTTCCTCTCCGCGGTTGTAATGATCAGCCTTTAATCTTCAGGAAATGAATCCTGCTCGTACATCAAAGTGAAGGATGAGTTTTGTTCTTCTGTGACTGATAACAGCTTCGGGAGAGTGAGCAGGACGCCTGATGAGATGGCCATTTTTCTCCTCACTCTTGCTGCCAAGGAGATTGTGGGCTGACCTCACACTGAAACGACAATTCTCTCCTCTGGGGAAGCAGAAGCAAATTGAACAAGGGGGCAAGCCTTCCAGCCTCCAGAGAGAGGGGACCTCCAGAAGCCAGCCTACATTTGGCCACTTAAAGCAAGTTGTTTAACCTCACGGGCCTCAGTTTCCCCAATATAAAGGGAGAAAGATGACAGCTGTTCCTTCAAGTTGTTGGGCCTCTGGGTAACAGCAGCTCCAGCCCTCATGGCCCTGAAGAAGCACTGACTCCCAGCAGTGCCTCTGGCAGCAGTCCCACAGAGCTCCTCTCACTCAATGAGTGCTGTCCTGCTTTCCCCAACACCACCAACAGCATCACCATCATCACCATCACTACCATCACCACCACCATCACTACACCATCACCAGCATCATAATCACTATCACCATCATCATCACCATCACTACCATCACCACCACCATCACTACACCATCACCAGCATCATAATCACTATCACCATCATCATCATCACCATCACCATCACTACACCATCACCAACATCATAATCACTATCACCAATCATCATCACCATCACACACATCACCCGCATCATAATCCTTCCCCATCATCATCACCATCACTACCATCACCACCCACCATCCCTACACCACACCAGCATCATAATCACATCACCCATCCTATCATCACCTCATCACGACCATCACCAACATCATAATACTATCACCATCATCATCATCCACCCTCACTTACCATCACCACCACCATCACTACCCCATCACCAGCATCATAATCACTATCACCATCATCATCATCACCATCACTACCATCACCACCACCATCACTACACCATCACCAGCATCATAATCACTATCACCATCATCATCATCACCATCACTACCATCACCAACATCATAATCACTATCACCATCATCATCATCACCATCACTACCATCACCACCACCATCACTACACCATCACCAGCATCATAATCACTATCACCATCATCATCATCACCATCACTACCATCACCAACATCATAATCACTATCACCATCATCATCATCACCATCACTACCATCACCACCACCATCACTACACCATCACCAGCATCATAATCACTATCACCATCATCATCATCACCATCACTACCATCACCAACATCATAATCACTATCACCATCATCATCATCACCATCACTACCATCACCACCACCATCACTACACCATCACCAGCATCATAATCACTATCACCATCATCACCATCACTACCATCACCAACATCATAATCACTATCACCATCATCATCATCATCACCACCATCACCACCATCACTACCACCATCACCAACATCATAATCACTATCACCATCATCATCATCACCATCACTACCATCACCACCACCATCATCATCATCACCATCACTACCATCACCAACATCATAATCACTATCACCATCATCACCATCACTACCATCACCAACATCATAATCACTATCACCATCATCATCATCACCATCACCATCACTACACCATCACCAACATCATAATCACTATCACCATCATCATCACTATCACCAACATCATAATCACCATCACCAACATAATCACTATCACCATCATCATCACCATCATCATAATCACCATCACCATCATCATCATTACCATCACCAACATCATAATCATTATCACCATCATCTTCATCACCAACTTAATCACTACCATTATCATCATTACCATCATCAACATCATAATCACTATCACCATCATCATCATCACCATCACCAACATCATAATCACTATCACCATCATCATCACCACCATCACTACCATCATCATCACTGTCACTATCACCAACATCATAATCACTACCATCACCATCATCATCACTAACTATATCACCACCATCACCATCGTCATGTAAAGGAAAATATAGTCGGCGGATGACTTCAACATCAAGAATCTGGCAGGTTTCTGATCAGAATACAGAACTGTAAGATAGAAGTGACTACTTGCCTGAGGCCTTATTCATTCCTTCACACATGTACTGAGTGCCTTCTAGGCACTAGGCTCTGTTGTGGGCAATGGGGATGTAGCAGACACCATCTGTTTTCTGCCCATATTCCCTCACCCTTGCCACTTCGGTGCCCACCAGCCCAAGATCCACCAGCCTTCAGACCCATGCCTGGGAAATACCACTCTTCATCTTGCCCCCCACTGTGGCCTCAACCAATAACCATTGGGCCTTGGTGGATAAATACCCCAGCTCCTTCCCTGAGGTTCATTCCACTGTCCCCAGAGTTCCTGAGCACAATAAAGCTCCAGGTGCCCACAGAGGTAACTGGATTGGCTGCCTTCCCTTCCTGCCTCACTCCCCCAGCCTCACCATTATTCCCTGGGGTCCCTTCACATATAAACTACCTGCATTTGGATCCTGGTCTCAGGATGTGCTTCTGGGGGAACCCAGACCAAGACAGGAATACGGAGTCTGAGGAGTTCAGAGGGGCCCAGCAAATGAGGGAAGTGCTGCATGGGGTCTACAGAACCTAGTGTGGGAACCCAGGGAGAAGCCCCTAACTCAGCCAGGAAGTGGCCAGTGCTGACGTCCAGGGACAGGCAAGGCCCGAGCTGAGTCTTAAAGGACAGGTCCAAATGAGGCTCAATGAGGGGCAGAGACCGAAGAAGCCCTGAGGCGAGCTGGAGGGCTCGGCACTCCCAGAGAATGCCAAGTCACGGGGGGAGGGTTCGGCTGCAGTGTGAGGCGGAAAGTGGCAGGAGCGGTGGGCAGAGGCAGGGCCCGGGGGCTGTATAAGCCGTGCCAGGGAGCCCGGCTTCCCCGAGGATGAAGTGAGTCTCCAACGGCATTTCAGCGGGGAGTGTGGAACAGGACCTGAGTTAGGGTGTGGCAAGACGACGGAGCTGGCCACACAGGCGGGCACTCGGTTACTCAGCCAGCCCGCAGGGGTTCTCCACACTGGCCACTCGCAGGGGCCTGGACATGAGCGCTTGTCCGTAGGTCCCCAGGGGATTCTGATGTCCACCAGGACTGAGACCCACTGAACTGGAGGATAAACTTCAACTTCACAACCATCACCAAGCAAACGACCCCCCGGGAAGAAGATGCGCGCGGAGAGCCACCTGATATCTGGTGAACATGCTTCTCTTGAAACACTGATAGCGAACCATGAAGAAAAGCGTGACCCAGGTCAGCACAAGGGAGACGACGAAGGCCACGAAGAAGCCGGCTGCGTGAAGGCCATGGTTTGGTAGAACCTACGGGGACAAGAGCACGACAGGGATTCATCTGCGGTCATACTTTACATCTTTCAAGTTGAGCTACAACTTACTTATAGCAAAACAAGCATGGAGTCAGCGAGACCAAGCTGGGGTTGGACCCAGCTTGCCACCTACTAGCTGGTGCCCTTAAGACAGCGGTTCTCAACCTGTGGGTCGCGAACCCTTTGGGGGTCGAACGACCCTTTCACAGCGGTCGCCTAAGACCATTGGAAAACACATATATAATTACACATTGTTTTTGTGATTAATCACTATGCTTTAATTATGTTCAATTTGTAACAATGAAATTGGGGGTCACCACAACATGAGGAATTGCATTAAAGGGTCACGGCATTAGGAAGGTTGAGAACCACTGCCTTAAGAGAAGTCTAGTTTATCGATTTTTCCTTTTGTCGCCTGTGCTTTTGGTGTCATAGCCAAGAAATCATTGCTAATCCAATGCCATGAAGATTTCCCTCTATGTTTTCTTCTAAGAGTTTCATAGTTTTAGATCTTACATTTGTCTTTGATCATTTCGGGCTAATTTTGGTAGATGCCGTAAGGTTAAGGGCTCAACTTCATTCTTGTGCATGTGGAGATCCAGTTTCCCCAACACCATTTGTTGAAATGACTGTCCTTGCCCCCACTGCATGGTCTTGTCGCTCTTGTTGGAAATCATTTGACTATACATGAGGTTTTATCCTGGGCTTTTGATTCTATTCCATTGGTCCATGTCTGTCTTTATGCCAGTACCCTGCAGGTTTGATGACTAGCTTTGTGGTACGTTATGAAGTCAGGAAGTGTATGACTTCCAGTTTTGTTCTTTTTTAGATTATTTTGGCAATTCAGAGTTCCCTGGGAGTCCATATGAATTTTAGGATGGGTTTTCTTATTTCTACAAAAAGATGCCATTGGCATTTTGACAGAAATTGCATTGAATCTGTAGATCAGAACAACATGAGGTCTTCCGGTCCTCATGCAAGGATGGTTGTGTCTCCTCTCATTTCCCGCAGCGGCACTTTGTGGTGCTCAGTGTACAAGTCTTTCTCCTCTTGGTTAAGTTTCTTCCCCAGTACCCGATTCTCTTTGATGCTACAGTAAATGAAATTGTTTTCATAATTTCCTTTTTGTATTGTTCATTGTAAGTGGACAGACATGCAACTGATTTGTGTGTGCTGGATTTTTAATAGCATAATACTTATGTCCTAATGTAACATTTTTAAAGAAGATACAAAACTATATACACAAGAAAATTCCAATTTCATTAAAGTAAAAATAATATCTATGCACACAGACACGCATGTAACCCAGAGCTGGTCCGCAGTGGGCCTGGGATGCACAGCCGGCAGCCTGGCTGTAGTCTTCGTGCCACAGCCACCTCTTGGGCTCCGGCCTCAGCGGACCTTCCCCCAGGAGCCCTGCCCCTGGGTCCTCAGATGCATGCAGCCTCAGCCTGCTGTGGGGCACGGCCACCCCCACCCCCCCCAGGTTCTGCGAGGGGACTGCACCCCGTGGGCATAAACACACCCAGGGCAGCAGGAGCGCCCAGGCTGGAACTTCCTCTTACCGTTACTGTTTCCTCTGCTGTGATGGTGAGCAGGGCTCTCAGCTGTGTTCTGTTCTAGAAAACAAACCAACAAAAAACGTGTCGGTCAGCGGGTTTTGGAGTCTGACGCGTGGGGTAACGTTTGGTGTACTTCCCACCCACTGTGCCCAGAGCCCAACGGGGCCTGACTGTTGGGGTGTCAGAGTGTGCAGGGGTCTTAGTCCCGTCAGGGGGGGAGGTGGGACCTGGGAAGCTGGCTGCTCTCCCAGAGGCGCTGTGGCTCCTACCCCGTGTCCTCACTGAGACACTGGCAGCCAGCTGCGGCCGAGCGCGACGGCCAGGTCCTAACCGGCTCACACTGCGCGCTCCTCTCCCTCGGGCCCGCCCTGTCTTCCCACACCCAAGGCCCAAGCAGACAGGAGCTCCAAGCGCCGCGGAGCTGGTCTTCGCCCTGCAAAACGTCGGTCCTCACCCGGGCTCACGGCAAACACTCCGGGCTGGGAAACACGTCGGTCAGCGCGTGAAGTCAGAGGCGCGGCCGGGGCCTCCCTGCAGGACCCGGGGCTGCGCTGCCACTGGCCCCAAGTTGCAATGTTGGCTCTGACAGCCCTGTCATCTGAGACTTGATTTAACCCACCCGGTTGCCAGGCCTCTGACATCGGGAGTGCTTCTTCTAGGCCGTTTTATCTCTATTTTTTACTCTTCTCTGTCCTCCGGCCTTGACTTTGTACTGAATTATTTTCTGAGAGATCTGTCTTTTCACACGGTTTCCTATCGTTTTCTTGTATCCGGCCCTTCCCTTCTGGAATCTTCCCCCTTTGCAGCAGCAACGCCACACGCAGGTCCGTCAGCCTCGGGTGCGAGGGCCTGGCAGCTGTGGGTCTGAGTCTGCCGCTGCCGTGACCTGGGCGTCCCCTCTGGTCTTGTTTCCCAGGCCCATGAATATCCTTTCTCCAGGGGCTGACGCCAGAACTGAATGGCCAAAGCAACTAGCACGGGAGCTGCTTGAGGACAAGGACGGACCCTCCCCCTCCCCGGCCCCCAGGGTGTGCACAGCGCCTGCCACACGCCACACAACCAGAAAGGTGAATGCGTGGGCTGAATCGTGCCCCGCCCTCCCTCCTCCCCCAAATCCCCAGGGTGAAGCCCTACCCCAGTGAGACAGGATGTGACTGTGATTAGAGATGGGGTCCTCTCAGGGGTCATTAAGGTCATCTGAGGCCATCAGGGTGGGCTCTGTCCAGTGGGCCTTATGGGGAGGGGAGGACACAGAGGGACGGCCCAGTGGAGACCCAGGGGACAGGCCTCAGAGGGAACCACCCTGCGGACACCCTGACCTCGGACTCCAGCCTCCCGGTGTGAGGGCGTAAGTTGCTGTTTTAAGCCATCTCATCCGCTGCACTTGGTCACGCAGCTCCTGCAAACCAACCAGGGTGAAGGCCACTGGCTGGATGCTCGTTCTGCACACGGCACGGCACGGCACGAGCATCAAAATCTAGTACTAGTGATCCTCCTAAGTCTGCCGCAGGCCCACGGCGTTCAGTGATCACTCGGGGTCATTACGAGGGGCTCAGGGCCCAGGCTCGCGGCAAAGTGTGTGAGATGCCTGGGCCTGTGCACTTATCCGGAATTTGATGTCATTGAAGGAGGAAAGCAGGAGGGAGGGAGGGAGGCAGGGAGGGAGGGGGGAAGAGTCAGGGGAGGGAGGAACAGATCCTGTGCTCTATGTGTGGATGTTGCTAAAACCACCTCCCGGGCAGTGAGCAGGCAGACAGCAGAGCGACGCAGCCATACGCACCGCGGAGGCACTCTGGAAGGTGAGCAGGGCCGGCAGCACCAGGACCTCTCCATGGCCAAGGTCCCCGGCCTCCAGCGAGGCTGTGTAGCTGACTGAGAAGGAGTCTCCGACTGCTCAGAGAGAAGGCACAGGGGTCACGATAGGGTCTCTGCCACGCAGCCACGTCCACCTCACCCCAGACACCCATGTCCCACCACCAACAGATAGCCACACCCAATACCCCGACAGCCACGCCCGACACCCCCAGGCACCCATGTCCCACCACCCCCCAGACACCCACGTCTTCAAGAGGAGGTGGCCACCGAGGCCCACGTGGGCAGCAGGGGAGCCTTTGAGACTCCCCCACCTGTTAGCGGGGAGAGCATGCCCATCCTTGGCGCCCTGGCTTTTCCTTGGGAGGGGCTGTGGGCAGGTGCCAGGGGCAGGAGCCCCTCTCTGCTCCTGTGATGTCATACCTGCCCCTCCCCCCCAGCACTGCCTCAGACGGGGTCTGTCTCCCGGGGTCTGCGCACAGCAAGCGGCGCCAAGCCAGGGCCTGCAGGTCTTACGTACGCATGCCCTCCAACTTCGCCTCCCTGTGCGACAGGCTATACCAGCCTAGCATGGGCTCCACCTCTCTGTACTCACACCTCTCTCCGGCATATCCCGGGACGGGCTCCGCTTACTGGGTGATGGAAGTACTGGGGTTCACTATAAATCCATTTTGCTCATGTTTGAAATAAAAATGAAATATAGCCCTGGCCGGTTTGGCTCTGAATAGAGCATCAGCCTGTGGACTGAAGGGTCCCAGGTTCGATTCCGGCCAAGGGCACATGCCCGGGTTGCGGGGTCGATCCCCAGTGGGGGGTGTGCAGGAGGCAGCCGATCAATGATTCTCTCTCATCATTGATGTTTCTATCTCTCTCTCCCTCTCCCATCCTCACTAAAATCAATAAAAATACTTTTTAAAAAAAGAATGGAATATATATAATACTTTAAAGACCCTTTCCCCAAATCCTCTCTCTCTGTAAGTGAAGTAACAAATCCAGCCTATCAGATGCTGATACTGGAAGGCGGTCCCCTCCTCTGAGGGCCCAGCCGCAGGGAGGACTAACTGGGAGAACACGTGTGCCGTGTCTAAGCGCACGCCTGTGGACGACCCCGTGCTCCGCGGGCCTGCCGTTCCCTCCCTGCCCGGCCCGCTGCCACCACCTTGCAGAAACCGCCGCCTGAAGGCCTGCAGCCCTGCCGACGTCTTGTTTCCCGCTGACTCCCTGACGGCGAGGCCGGTGATGTTGTCGAGCAAAAGCAGATCCGACAGATTGGCGGCCCCCGGCGCCGCGGTGTTGTTCACCAGCAGACGCACCTGGGCCGTCTGCGCCACGCTCGGTCCCGACACCTGCGGCGGGATGGAGGGAGGGCAGATTCAGCGACAAGGCCCTCTCCCTAAAATGGTGCTCCGGCTCGACTTGGGCACGTTAGGTCAGGCAGAGGTCCGTGTACGCATGCACGTGTGTATACATATGTGGAGGGGCACACACATGTGTGCACTGCTCATACTTGCATGCACATGGCACAAAACGCCCCTAGGACAGAGGGCATGAGGGTCTCACATTCCCCAGGCTGATCTCAGAGGCCCCGGAGAGTCCTGGCACAGCCAAGCTGTGGCCTGGTGACAGTTTGCAGTAACCGGGACCATGGGATGCGGTGAAATTGTCCCTAGGGAGAAAGCATCCTGGCACAGAACCAAAGTCAGGCTGGGGAGAGCGACACTGGGTGCCACGAGAGAAGCAAACAGTGGGCTGTCTCACTGCCTGATTTTGAAGAGTTGGCCCCAGAGCCCGCCTGGGGCCTCTGCCTGCCATCTGGTCTCCAGCATCGCCCGACCTGGGCTCCTGCCTGCAGGCCTGTCCCCCTCCAGGTTCTACCCGGCCATGTCTGGCGTGGCTGTTGGAAGCAGCCAGTGCCCAACAGCTGGGCTCCCCACCCGGGCTCTGCAAGCTCACCCTGCTCCCCTCTCTAACTCATCTGCCACCCTCCCTACCCCTCCTTTGCCCGGCATGTCCCCAGGAAAGTGACTCAGGGATATAAGCGCAGAAAGCAGGTTGGAGACTGTGTGCCGTGCACGCCACCTGTGTAGGGGGAAGAGAAAGGTGTGTGTCCAGATACACACAAGTACACACATGCACACTTAAGATTGCATGCACATAGAGAAAACATCCTAGGACACGGAGGGACTGGAGCACTCATTGTGGGGGCCGGGAACAGGACACCCGCGGGCCTGGGACAGGATGAGGGCTGTGCACAAGGGTTCGCTCAGAGGGCTCGGGCTGCCCCACCCTGCACATCCCAAGGGAAGGCTGGTCCGGGACCAGCTCCTGCGGGACTGACCTCCAACGCCCTTGGAACACCGCCTGGAAGGGGGTGCTCACACACCTGTGGACACCTGTGGCCTCGGACTACAACAGGGAGTGCGATTCCTGGTGGGGGCCTCGGGCCACGCTGTGTCACGATGACCTCTGGGGGGGGGCTGGAGACTCAGTAGCTGACCCACCCCAATATAAATCCGGGACACCAAGGCTCAGGTGAGCGTCCCTGGCTGACGTCACGCTTCACTGGAAGATTAAACACTGTCCATTCAATTCTCCAGGAGAGGACAGCGGGCAGCTATCCCTCCGGAACGCTGCCCCACGTGTGTTTTCCTTTGCTGAGCACAACCTCTTTGCTGAGTTCTGTGAGGCCTCCTGTTTGTTTTGTTTTGTTTTGTTTTGTTTTGTTTTGTTAATCCTCACTTGAGGGTATTTTCCCATTGATTTTTAGAGAGTGTAAGGCAGGGGGAGAGACAGAGAGAGAAACCTAGAGGTGAGAGAGACACATCAACTGGTTGCCTCTACACATGCCCCGATCAGGGCCGGGGACCGAGCCTGCAACTGAGGCACATGCCCCTGAATGGGGAGCGACCCTTCAGTCCGGGAACCAATGCTCTAGCCACTGAGCAAACTGGCTAGGATGGTAATGCCTTCTATTGAACCACTGAGCCTGAGGGTGGGCTTGCAGGCCCCACCACAGGATGATGCAACAGCCGTCTCGTAGGATTAAAGACCTAGAAGATGGTAAATAACTCTTTAACCTGTCAAGCACCACAGCCATGTGAAAACCTACGCTAAGCGATCCCAGTGGATTTTCACTAACAATAATTTCATCGTCACCAAAAAATTTAGCCCTGGTGAAATAAGATGCAAATCCCTCGTCACGTCAGCTCATCACTCACGTGCCCAGACCTGGGTAGCTAACCCTGCGGTCTCCCCGTTCGTAAATGCGTCACCTCGCTCATCGATGATGTGGGCAAAACCCAATTATCTTCCCTCCGAGTGTGAGCCCCCTCCGAGCACTCACCACCGCACATTTCTGAAAAACCACTCCGTCCTCAGAAGTTCCTTGAGTGTCTCTTGAAATGTCTCCACGCTACAAGGAAATACAGAAATTATTAGGGAATAAAAAACCATGTCATGCCGCATGCATTTAGGAAAAGTGCAAGGTGCACTTTTGAGGGGGTAAAGAAATGCCTTCTGCTAGTCCAGCAACTGCCTTATGTAACCTCAGAGATTTCTTTTAAAGAGCAGCAAAGGGTTGGAACCTAAACCAAGGAGGAAAGAGGAATGCGGGCTTTTCCTGGTCTGGGTGCATGGGAGCGACACCCGCTGTCACAGGGACGCCACAAACCAGGGCTGGCATTTTAGCTGGAGGCATTAATGACTGCTCACGCCTCCTGAGTGTTGGCCCACGGGACACACCAGCCCACACAGCGGTGACGGAGTGGACGCGGGTCGCTGTGCACTGGGCAGCCTCCCGTCAGCTGGTCCATCATCCACGTAGAGAAGGCGCCCAGGTCTGGCCCCCTCCAGCCCTGCCATGGCTCCCCTGGAAAATCCCAATGGAGAGCCCGGGCTCGCCCACCAGACGCCAGCCCTGCCGCCCCTCATCCTCACAATGTGTTCATTCTGCCCTTGCCACTTGCCCCCTGACCCAGGCCTGGCCCCCATAAGGACACACCCTTTACCTACACACTCTGAATCACAGACCGGGCAGGGCAGCTCTCAGTGAGGTCAGTAACTATAATAATGGCTATTATTTCCCTTGTGCTAGGTGCATGCCCATCACTCTATATACCCAAATTCTTTTTATTTAAAATACTAGTGGCCCAGCACGCGAAATTGCGCACAGTATGCCGCCCGCCATTTCCATGGGAGCTGGCAGGAGCCAGAGGGAGGAGGTGCCGGGGGAGGGACCAAGAGGTGCTCTGCGATGAAGCCAGTCACGCACACAGCCCCACCCACCCACACACGCCTGCTGCACACGCAGCCTCCTGCTGACCGGTCGTTATGCGTGAGGGCATGGCGACTATTTGCATATTAGCCTTCTATTATATAGGATATTTTTATTGATTTCAGAGAGGAAGGGTGAGGGAGAAAGACAGAAACATCAATGATAAGAGAGAATCATGGATTGGCTGCCTCTTGCACACCCCACACTGGGGATCGAGCCTGCAACCCGGGCATGTGCCCTCACTGGGAATCGAACCGTGACCTCCTGGTTCACAGGTTGATGCTCAACTACTGAGCCACACCAGCCAGGCCGTACCCAAATTCTATTTCTCCCATTTGAGAGATGAGGAAACTAAGGCTCATGGATGCTAGCTCACCTGCTCAAGGTTGCACAGGCAGGAAGCTTGGACTCTACCCAGGCCTGTGTGACTCCACACCCTATGATCCTTCCACAATGCACACCCCCTTTCCAGAGCGTTGCCCTCCCGCTGCCCAGGGGCACAAAGATGCACAGAGGAGAAGCGATGCTCCCGAGGATGCCTGCACGTGCAGCAGCATCAGCCGCCAGGCCTCTGCCCCACCCTATGCTCCCAGCTCTGTGACATGCCAGCACCCCAGCCAGTCTCTGAGCCCTCACGCAGGGTCCTGGCTGGCGAGTCCTCTGATGCTCACATAGCATCCTGCAACCAGCTAAGAAACACAGCTTGGCTGGGCCAACGTGGCTCAGTGGTTGAGCGTCAACCTATGAACCAGGAGGTCACAGTTCGATTCCCAGTCAGGGCACATGGCTGCTTCGTGGGCTTGATCCCCAGTACGGAGCATGTAGGAGGCAGCCAATCAATGATTCTTTCTCATCATTGATATTTCTCTCTTCCTCTCCCTTCTCTGAAATCAACAAAAATCTATACAGTGGGGCCTTGACTTACGAGTTTAATTCATTCCGTGACGGAGCTCGTAACTCAAATTACTCTTATGTCAAATCAAAAAGTGAACAAGTGAGACATGTGATGCTGGGCTGATGTTGTGGCGTTCACTGTGGCATTCGCTGCGCCAACTAGCGGTGGGGTATCTGAAGCTGGCTCGTAACCTGAATTTTAGCTCGCAACTCAAAGCAAAAAACCGGCCGAGACGGCTCGTATCTCGAAAAACTCGTTAGTCGGGACACTCGTAAGTCAAGGCCCCACTGTATATATAAAAGGCTAAACGAGCAGCCGACCAACTAACCGGCCAGTAGGTATGACACACACTAACTACCAGAGGGTAGACACTCAAAGCAGGAACTGCCAAGCAACAACAATTTTGCAGAGTGCCCGCTCACACTCAGGGACCCCTCAGGGGATGTTGGACTGCCGGTTTCAGCCCGATCCCCATAGGCCGGGCTGAGGGACCCCACCTGCCTAAGGGACCCCACTCACTCCGCAGACGCCCTTCAAGCCCCAGTCCTGCTCCAGGTGTGGCCGGCCAGGGAGGGACCGAGGGAGTTGGCTCCAGGGCCGAAGCAGCTGCTGGGGCTACTGCCTTGGCCTGAGGCAGCCGGGGCTGCGAAGGCCTACTCTTGCACAAATTTCGTGCATCGGGCCTCTAGTCTATAATAATAAAAGGGTAATATGCTAATTAGGCTGGATGTCATTCCAGATGAAGCTGGGGCTGGAGGGAAGCCGCCTGGGTCCCGGGTCCCGGAGGGAAGCCGGTGCTGGCAGCCGGGGGAAGGAAGGCCTACTCTTGCACAAATTTTCGTGCACCGGGCCTCTAGTATATTTATAAAAGAAAAAGAAACACAGCTTGTAGAACAAATACGCGCAGGGGGGGCAGCTGAGCACAGAGGTGCTGATGCAGGAGGGTGGCAGACATGGAGGCGCTGCCGTGAGGGGCTTCTGCAAGTTAGCTGAGGACTCCCCAGCCTTCCATCTGCTCAGGCCCAGGTCTTCACTTATTAGTACATCCTTGACCCTTCTCTGTCAACCCACACCCACTCCCAGCAAATCCCACTGCCTCTACTCTACCTTAAAAGCATTCCCACAACTCAGCACCGCTCACCGCCCTGTCCAGCTCGTCTCCATCGCCTGCCTGGTCTCCACCTGCCTCCTCTCTTGGTCTCCTGGCTCCCTCCGCTGCCCTGTGCTCTATTCTCACCCCTGCCATAGGGATGCTTTAATAGGACGGCTCAGAGCACGTCACGTGCCGGCTCCCATGGCCTCCATCCTACTCAGAGTACCAGCCGGAGGCCTGACCACTGGCTCTACTCTTCCTGTGGGGCCTTTTCTGGGCCCCTCCTCACCCTCTGGCCTCACCACTCCCCTCCCCCTGCTCTGCTCCTGCTGCACAGGCCTCCTTGCTGGCCCTGGACCACACCAAGCAGACCCACCAATGGCCTTGGTCTCACTATTATCTCAGCCTGGAAAGCTCTTCTCCAACATGACCTTGACCTCATTCATCCCATACAGGGAGGGCTCTGCTCAACGGGCCGCCTCCTCAAAGCGCCTCCCTGGCCACCCTGTCTGGAGGGCACTCGTCGCCCTCTCTCGATCCCCTTTGCCCGCTGTATTGCTCTGTCGCCTCAACCACCATCTGTCACATCAGGGCGACAGCATTACCTAGTGTCCTTCTCCTGCCCCGAGAAGGCAGGTCTCCTACGAGCAGGGACTGCCCTGTGCTCTTGTGTCCCGAGCCCCCAGAGCCCCCAGGGGGCCCTCCGGAAGCACTGGGGACGAATGGCCCTCTCGAAGCCCCTTGTCCACTCCGCCCTTCACCCTCTCTCCTTCCAGCAAACCTGCAGGAGAACTGTCCTTGGGGATGGGAACATTCTATGGTCCGGGCTTCCAATACATCAGCCACCAGCACAGGGGCCACCGAGCACTTGACATGTTTACATTTAAACAGCCACACGTGGCTCTGGCTACCGACGTGGACACAGCAGGTGGTGACCGTGTGGGAAATGGGGTGAGTGCCTATTGGCTCACCTCTGCAGGAGGAGAGAGAGGGAGGATAGGTTAACAGGGAGCATTTATGTTCAGGTTTTCAAAGCACTTTCTTGCAGAGCCGAGCAACAATCTTCTATCAGAACGTTCTGGCACTGGCTTCCCAAGGGAGGAGCAGGTGCAGAACAGCAAGGAGGGGGGTAGAGGGGGCAATGCCTCTGGACCGGGGCCAGGGCCTGAGCACAGGGCTCCCTGCAAAGGCAGGCCACCTCCTCAGTGGCAGGAACAGGCAGGGGACCTGTGGAATGTCTGGCAGGGTACTTTTTAAAAGCTCAGTAATTGACACCATGGTATCACCTTTGTCTTCTCTAGGAAAAACCTGAGAACCAATATTAGAAAGTGAAGGAGACCTCATTAAGAGACCTGCTATCTGTAGCCCCCTCCGCAGGTGCCCTGGGGCAGCAGGTAGAGACCCCTCCTGGACCAGGGGGCTGGGTGCAGGAGGGCCGAAGGACCCCAGGGTGGGGATAGCTCCTGAACCCACATTCCTGGGAACAGAGGCTGGGGTTTGCCATGAACCTCGGGGTGTACACAGGGGAGGGACGTGGTCAGAGGTATACACCTGGACAGGTCACCTAGAGATCTGGGGGAGACGGGTGGGAGAGAGCACAAATCAGGGGGCGGGGGAGACCCAGAGAAAACAGTCCCGGAAGGCCAGAGGGGAAGGGGTGGGGACTGAACCAGGGCAGGTGGCCCTGCGGGAGGGGCAGACATCTGGCCTGATCAGGAGAAAAAGGCAGCAGAACTAGTGACCATTTCGGGGAGAAGAGGTGAAATCTAGGGTGACAGGGCTTCGCGCCTTCCCAGTTTGGGGACCGCAGAGGGAGGAGCAGGGTGGAGAGGGAAGTGGCTAAATCCATCCACCAGGAGAGCGGTCGGTCGGGCACAACTCCAGCCCGTGGTCCCCAAACTGTTCTCTTGGCAACCGGCGCTCTTGGTGGAGCGCTCCCTCCCTAAGACGCTCTGGGCCGTGAACTCCCCAAACTCTCACACTGCCCCCTGCGCCCTCCCTTTCTGCTCAGATCCCGGGCTCCACGGAGCCCAGCCGCCCGAGTCAGACCGGAGACGGGCGCCCTCCTTACCTGCGCCGCGCGCTCGGGGCCCGCCCCGCGGGCTGCGCGGGGACCCGGGGGCGCCTGCGCGCCGAGGGGATGCTGGAGGGGACCCGGGCCCGCGGGGAGCCGGCCTCGGACCCCGGGCACAGCGGGCAGCGCCAGGGCGGCGACCAGGAGGCCCCCAGCCAGCACCCAAGCGGCGTGCCCCGGGGAGGCCGCCCAGCCCATCGCCGCCCCGGCTCCGCGGCTCCACGGTGGCGGGCGCGGCGGCGTTTTGTCCGCTTCCGGCCCGGCCCGCCCCGCCGCCCCGCCGCCCCGCCGCCGAGCATGCCCAGTGCGCGCCCAGCCCCGGGAAAGTTTTCGGAGACGCCAGGGGCTGGGCTCGGAGGGCGGGAGGCGGTCCCGGCCGAGGACGGGGTGGGAGGGGCGGGCCTGGCTGGCGCGGCGGCGCCGGTGGCCACACTGGGGTTAGCTCACGCCCACCCGGGGGCTCGGCACTACCCACCGCAGACCCGGAGACCCCCCTGCTCCCGAAGATTCCAGGGGCTCCCAGTGCCCCTCCACGAAGGCCCACATTGTTCTCTAAGTGTGGGGCGTGCAGGAGGCAGCCAATCAATGATTCCCTCTCATCGCTGATGTTGTTTCCATCTCTCTCTCTCCCTCTCCCTTCCTCTCTGAAATCAATAAAAATATATTAAAACAACAACAAACTAAAGCTTGGGTAACCAAAGAAATAGCCCCCACAAAGCAAGAACCCCAGGTTATTGCCCCCACAGACCTCCCCAGGAGTCTTGGAGATGCTTCTAAGGACGCATTTAAGAAGTGCTACATGGCATCATGCAAGCCCTGAAGCCAGACAGGACCAGGCGTCAACATACCTGTCCCATCGCTGCCTGGCAACACCTGGGGGAGCCACTTTCCCCTCTAGTGTCAGTTTCTCCATCTATAAAAACTGAATCTGGATAATAGCTCCCAGCCTGCCCCGCGGAAGGGCTGATGAGGAAACGATGAAAAAACTAGAAGTTTGAGCTGCACGTCCAGGTTAAGAACACGGAAGCCATTCTCTGCTGTAGCAGCTCCCGGTGGTCCCCTGCCCCAGCCCGCCTAGGGAATTAAGCTCCAACCTGTAAGAGTGTGTATGTGTGTGTACACACGTGTGTTCCCCGCTGTGCCCCCCGCCCCAGGACAAGACTGGCACACAGCAGCTGCTCAGCTAATGTTTGCTGCGAGAAAGAGCAAGCTGGACACATCTGGTTGTTTCTCCCCACACAGGCGTGCGATCCTCCAGGCCCTGGCCTTGACTGGGTCCTTGCTGGCCTGGTGCTGGTTGGAGCTGCGCGTTTGCTGTAAATGCCCAGGAATGAATGCCCAGGCTGCCTCTGGTTTCTCCAGGGGCTGGCTGGGAGCACACTGTCTTGAGGAAAGAAAAGGCATTGAGACCCGATTCTGAAGAACAAGTTCAGAGACAGCGGTGGCCTGTGCCGCCCAAGGTGGCCAGGCTGGAGTCACGTGGCTCTCACTTTGTGCCTCCTCCATCCCCAGGTTTGCTGAGAAAGTTGGAGACCCTCAGACTGAACGCTTGGCGGACTGTAAGCGCCCAGTAAACTTCTCCAAGCAACGCCCTCCTCCGCTGCAGGGCACCCCTCTCCGCTGAAGTCCGGGGGCCCCGGGGAAACCAAGAACCCTCCCAAAACTTCTCCGGCTGGAAAACGGCTCCCTCCGGGCATGCTCAGTACAAAGGCAGGGCTGGGGCGGGGGCGGCTCAAAGTTTTGGGCGGAAGATCCAGGCTCCTCCCTCCGGCTCAGGCAGCGCCGGGACCCGGGGAAGAAGACCCGGGCAGGAGACTACACAGGCCGGAAAGTCCGGAGAGCGCGCAGCGCCCCTGGCCCGCCCGGGCTCCGGGCTCCGAGTCCGGCGTCGCCGACCTGGCGGAGACGGTGCACCGGACGGCGGGCCGGAGCGGTGCCTGCCGGCCGGCGGGATGCGGCCGGGCCGCGGCCTGAGCGCCCCCGATGGCCCGCGGCGGGGCGGACTGCGGGAGCGACGCGCGGCTGCTGCTGGGCCGGGACGCGGTGCAGCCGGTGCCCGCGCTGCTGGCCCCCGCCGTGCTGCTGGGCGCCGCGCTCGGCCTCGGCCTCGGCCTCGGCGTCTGGCTTGGCTGCCGCGCCGCGCGCCCGCGGCCCCGACACCAGGTAGGTCGGCCGAGCCGGCAGCCAGAGTGCGGGGCGCACGGGGCGCACGGGGCGCGGGCTTCCTAGGCCCCTGGGCTGCGAGCCCGGGCTCTGCGTCCCCTGGACGGGATGGCGGGCTTCGCGCGCAGCTGGTCCTTGCTCGGGGCTCCCTTTAGGTCCCGGAGGATGCGGGAGGCGGTGCCTGCCACGTGATGTAAACAACCGCTCAAGTCCTCCGGCCTCGGCCTGGGCCTCCATCAGTAGCACCCGGGGCTTCGCCTGGAGCTGGCAGGGGCCCCGCGCGGCGTGGAGGACGGGAGGGCTGGGGAATCCCCGCCCGTGGATCCCTCTGCTTCCTTGCTCTGTGCGTCACTAGTTCGCCTCTCCTGAGTGCCCGCTGCTGCCTCAGGCTGCCCTCCTGCTGTCATCCATGCACTCACTCTTGCACCTACGGTAAACGTTTCGTGGCACCGCTCTACTGCCAGCCCGTGGCCGGGTCTTAGAGCCGCCTCCGTGAGCAGGGCAGGCCCTGCCCTTGGCTGGGAGGCCCGCAGCCTCCAGGAGACAGAGGACAGTAACATCCGAGTCTGACAGCCCCCTGAGCTCCGGGAGGGAACAGGACCTTCACACTGAGTGCCGACTGTTCTTCCCTGCCCTCAGACGTCCCCTGCTTGTCCCGTCCTGTTCTTTTGTGAGTGTGACCGTTTCTCACATCTCTCTGAGCAGCTTGTCGTGGCTTAAGTTTTCTTTTCCCCCGGGCAGTGTCTGCCCTGGTTACTTCTTCCTCTTGTTTGTTTGTCTCTCGTGGAAGTCTGTAACCCAGTGGCTGGTGACGCTTGGCCTCCTGGTCATTTCTAACTGAGGAGCAAAATCTTGATGTTCCCCTGTGGGGAGGGTGAGACTTCCTCCTGGAGCAGTGCTGTCCCTGCACAACCCCTTACTGGGCCGCTGTGACTGTTCAGCAAACGCCCCTACATCCCTGGCTTCATCATCTGCCCCCCCTCCCCGACCCACCCCCACCCCGCTATCCCTGGGCATGCTGAGCATGCTCCTGCCTCGGGGCCTTTGCACTGGCTCTGCCCGCTCCTTGTCCCCAGGGTACCTGAAGGGCTTGCTGTCTCACTTCCATCAGGTTTCTTCTCAAATGCCATCCTGTCCAAGAAGGCGTCCTCCCATCGCCCATCCATTCCTTTCTCTACAGCACCTGTCACCTCTGACATACTATTTACTTATTCTTTGATGACATCTCTCTTCTGCCGCTAGAATGGGAGCGCCAGGAAGTCAGGGGCTTTGTTTTGTCCTTTACTCTCTTCCCAGTGACCAGAGAGAAGAAGGCTTGACACCCGCCAGTGTTAGATGTTCCACAGCAGTAGCTGACTAGCTCAGTGACAAACAGCTGATATTTCTTATTCAAAGATGGTCTCCGTGAGCAGACAGTGGTCCAGGAGGGACTGGGTCAGTGTCTCTGGCATACTGGGGTTTAAAATACATCGGTGCTTATGTTCCCTGCAAACACAGAGTTAGCAAAACTGAGTCAGTGCCCCGAGAGGATGGACAGGGCGAGGCCCCTGCGAGATTCTAGTCATAATGTTTTTATTACCGATCAGTACGTGGCCTTGTCTTACATGTGCTTCTGAGTAAAGACATGCTCTCAATATGTATTGTTGGTAACACTGAACTCCTGGTCCACAGCGCTGTAATTCAGGCCTGCGTGAAATTTATCTCACGCATTTTCTCTCCGAAGCACGCCACAGCCTTCTGGTGCTCTGGGCGCTAGACCACACTGCAGCCTGCACTTAGAGGTCACTGCAAACAACAGAATTGCTACAAAAAAGAAAAAGAAAAGGCACTAGGTCAGCCGTGGGCAAACTACGGCCCGCGGGCCGGATCCGGCCCGTTTGAAATGAATAAAACTAAAAAAAAAAAAAGAGACCGTACCCTTTTATGTAATGATGTTTACTTTGAATTTATATTAGTTCACACAAACAATCCATCCATGCTTTTGTTCCGGCCCTCGGTCCAGTTTAAGAACCCATTGTGGCCCTCGAGTCAAAAAGTTTGCCCACCCCTGCACTAGATAGAACACAGAAAGGACGCTTGTTTGCAGTCTGAGCTGAGCAAGAGGCGGTTCATTCTCAGGTGGAAAAGGCACGCCAGGCGACTCGAACTTTTCACCGCCCCGCACGCCCAGGGAGGACCGCAGCAGCACCAGGTGTTGGTTTTGGGTTACAGATAAAGGTTAGCAAGCTCTCGAATCTGCAAATGCAGAATCTGCCAAGTGCGGTCACCGGCTGTTCACATAAAGCCATTCTGTGATTCAAGGCAATCTAGCATATTTTCTGAAAAGTCATCCCGTGACATCACTGGGAATAACAGGAAAATTGATATTTAGGTGCCGTTTCCTGAGTTAAGCGGCTAAGCATTCAGGAGCGCCCAGGTTACGGGGCCACCGCCCTGAAGGACGATGGAATGCGCTTTGACCCAAGTGTTGCCTCCGGGGCCTGAGGACATGCTGAGAGGGGGTTCCGGGGCTCCTCAGGGTGACCCCTGGACAGCCTGGCAGGATGCAGCTGCCCCCGAGTGGGAGTGAGAGACGGGGCAGTGCGCACAGGCCAGGAGGAAGCCCGGAGCCGAGCAGGCATGACCGCTGGGGGTGGGGGCCTGATGGCCACCGTCCCTGGGGCCCTGGGCTGCGCACTTCACCCCGTCCCCCACTTTGGTTTTAGGTAGACGACGTGCAGAGTCTGCTCAAGAATTTGGAGTCTAGAGCACAGACCCCGTCCGAAGCCGGCTCCCCGCCCAGGAGGAGGAAGAGTGGGGCGCGGACCTCAAAGGATGCAGAGGCTCTGGACGTAAGTGGGGTGTGGGGTGTGTCTGCCCAGGTGCATGCTGGGGTCCTCCGTCCCCCCTGCCAGCACAGGTGTCCTCCAGATGACCCTCTGACAGAGCTGAGGTCCCAGTGGGCTTCCTTTTGAGGCATCATTTACACACAGGACCAGGCAAGGTTTTCAGCTTAGTTTGATGAGTGACAGCTGTGTACACCCTTGTCACCGATACCCCAGTCAGAGACGCTGCACCCCCTGGAAAGCTCCCCAGCACCCTGCGCCCCTTTCTGGGCTACCCCCCACCCCAGCCCCTTCCCGAGGCGACCACTGCAGCATTGCCAGCGCTGTCGCTGGCCTCGCCGTTCCAGGCTTTTACACGTGCGTCTGGTGCCTGCGTTTCCTCGTGTCTCGCCTTCGAGATGCAGCCTTGTCCTTGCACCTGTCAGTCGTTTGTCCTTTGGTCGCGTGGCCCGTCGTGGGGATGTGCCGGGCGTGGCGCTGGCCGTGACCGCCATTCCGAATAAGGCCTCTGTGAATGAGTGTGTATAGGTTTGTTTGTTTTCCTTTAGTTTTATTTCTTTTAAGTAAAAACTAAGTAAGCATCTAGGAGGTGGAGTCCTGGGCCGTGGACGGAGATATTCAAAGATGGATTTTCCCTGGACCCCCTTCCTGGCCCCACACTCAGTCCAGCCCACGCCTCCCGGGGAGCCTGGAACCCAGGCCCAGCTCTGCCACCGGTTTGCTGTGTGAGGTGGGGCAAGAAACATACCCTCTCTGAGCCTCCGGTTTCTCAGCGTTACGAGGACGGTGATCCGCCGGCTCCCGGGGTCCCCGTGAGTCGCCTGGGATCATTCCGGCCGCGGACTAGGGGCTGAAGCAGCGTGTGCAGGGAGCGGCGGCCTTCCCCCTCCCAGCAGCGTGTGCAGGGAGCGGCGGCCTTCCCCCTCCCCGGAGGCACGCTCATGTTTTCTCCCTGCGGACTGTTTAGCTGTGCCCAGGCCACGCCCTTGCCAGGCTAATGATTGCCAGAGCTGAGTTAAAGATCTGCCCGCTCCGGGGACTGGCTGCCCGGGTGCCCCTGCCCTCTGCAGACAGCGCCTCAGAGACTGGGCAGGGGACTGACTCTGACAGGGCGCGTCCAGCTGTGACCCCCGTGTCCTCTAAGGCACAGAGGACCGAGGCACGGTGCCTCCTGTCACTCCTGGTCTGAGCTCCGGAGAAATAGCTCACGTCAGCCCAAAGCAAACACAATCCCGCGGGCTCCGGGCGTGCGGCCCCCAGCCCCGGCTCGCTGCTCTGCGTCCCGGCCTGGCAGTGGGGAGAGGGCCTCTCCGTCCCTCAGTCCTGCTCTCGGTCATTTCTGAATAATGGCATTGCTTTGGCGGAAGAAGTTTTACATTGAAATTTGCGCTGCATCCAGTTTCCTGAATGACCGCGTGGCTGCCGCTGGGAGGTCGTCAGAGCTGGGGGGAGCTCTGAACTGGGGAGCCCTGACAGCCCACACAGCCGGGCCCCTCAGGCTGCGGATGCCTGTGCTCTGCCCCAGGCCATGCTAAGTGCTCTGGGCCTCCGTCCGCCCTGGGCCTGCCCTCGAGGGGATGGTGCACCCAGGGGACAGGACAGAAGAGCCACAGCAGTCTCAGGTCTCCCGCGTGGCTGGGGTCACACCATCAGCTGGGACTGTGTTTTCCTGCACAGGCCCGGGCGCCCCATCCTCTGGTCCTGCTTCCACAGGTGTCAGGTGGACCAGCCTCTACATCCTTTTCTTCTCATAACTATGGGTTGTTTTTATTGATTTCAGAGAGGAAGGGAGAGGGAGAGAGAGAGAAACATCAATGATGAGAGAGAATCATGAATCGGCTGCCTCCTGCACACCCCACACTGGGGATGGAGCCCGCAACCCGGGCATGTGTCCTGATCAGGAATCAAATCGAGACCCCCTGGTTCATAGGTCGACGCTCAACCCCTGAGCCACACCAGCCGGGCAATGCTTTCCACAGGAAGCGCAGTTTTTGCTTTGTGTCTCCCTGCGGAAGATGAACCCCCGGGAGGCAGGGGCCAGGCCTTCCTCCCACTGTTCACCTCTTCTGTTCTGTCCTCTCGCTCGATGAGAGGAGGTTAAAGTGCCGCGCCCTCCCTGCTTTCGCGTGGAATTCTCAGCAAGGGTGTCTCCTCTTGTACGCCAGCCAGGCCTGTGCCGTCACGTGGCCGCGTTCCGTCGGGCCTGCCCCTGCTTCGCAGACTCGGCTGTCTTGAACTTCTTAATCGTTTCTGAGTAAGACCCCCCGTATTCATTTTGTACTGAGCCCCGCAAACTATGTCACCAGTTCCGAAGACAGGCTTTTCATCTTACTGCCCTTCTTCGCTTTTGTCCTAAAAAAGCAGAGAGCGAGACTGGATGCTGGGGGCCGGGGGGCGGTCCTCCCCTGGGGTCAGCGGGCAGCCAGGAGGGTTGGCAGCTGGGCAGTGGTGGGAACGGCATGTTTAAAAGGCCATCTGATTGCCCAGGAGGGTGAAATGGAGGGTATCAACCTCTCGACCTTGGTTTGCCCCTCTGGAGCCAGGGATCTGAGTTCAAATCCCAGTTCTGGCATGTATTAGCTGTGCAGCCCTGGGCACATGGCTTAACCTCTCTGTGCTCATCTCTCCTGTGTGAGAACTGGAGACGGAAACCTCTGTCGCCAGACCCTTGGGAGCTTGAGGAGGAGGCACATGTGGGAGGTTTCCCATTCTTGTCACCTAAGCCTATTTCTGCGAGTCGTAAGGGACGAACAGAAATGACGAGAACCGGGCCCCTGCCCCTCCCTGCCCTGCTCAGTGGGGCAGCATGGGGAACCCTCTCAGGAGACATAAGGGGCCTGGTGCTGGCTCGGGCAGGTGCTGTTCCAACCTTCCACGTTGTGAGGAAGCGGAAAATCTGTATTTTTCGCTCGTTGTCATGGACCTCGTTCTTCAAGATTCAGCTGAGAAGCAGGGAAGTAGGAGTGGGTGCGGTTTTCCCCCACCAGCCTCTTCGAACTGGTGGGTGGAGATGGCTCGAGGTCTGCGCGCCAGGCTCCTGACTTAGCTGCCTGCTCACCTTCGTCCACGTGCTGGTTGTTTCCAGAACATTCATTCAGCACCGACTCTGCCACGTGCAGGGGGACGTGCTGGCAGGGGAGAGACGTGAGAGACGCGGGATGGAGAGCGGCTGGGAAGAGCCGTCCAGCTGCGGTCAGGAAGGCTTCCCGGGCGGTTCCTGAGCAGGGCCTCGCTCACGGGCTCCTCGCCGCCCCTTCCAGCTGCGTGGTCTCACTTCTGTCCTGCGCGGCCACTCGCTGGGCGCTTCACCTGCGCGGTCCTGGGGTCAGGCACCCACCTGGGCACTGTCCGGGAGGACCAAGGCTCAGAAGAGTGAGAAGACCGCCCACCTCTGCTTTTTGTGTGAGGGAGGGTCTAACCCCAAGTCTTGCGTGAATATTGCCGCGTGTAAGTGTTTATGCCGGCGGCACAGCTAAAATTATTCTGTCGGACTTTTCCACTAAAATTTGCAGTTTTAGGAGCGCTCTTGTTCATTATTGTCATAGTATTTAAATCCTGATTTCTTCCAAAGGTGAAGACTTGGAATTAAATGCATGTGCTATTTAACATCTGTCTGCCCCTCCATCACCTGTCAGTACATCCATCCCTCCCCATCCAGCCATCCACCATCCACCCACTTGTCTATTCATACCTATCCATCCATTCATCTGTCCATGTACCCACCCACCCATTTGTCCGTCTGTCTAGCCATCATCCATCCATCTATTCATTTACCTGCCCATCTATCTTTCCAGCTGTCTGTACATTCCTTTACCCATTTGCCCATTAATTCACTCATTCATCCATCTGTCCACCGACTTATTCACCTGCCCATCCATCTACCCATCTATCTGTACACTCATCTGTATACTAATCTATCCACATATTTGTCCATCCATCCATCCACTCACCTGCCCATCTATCTATCCATCCACCATCCATCCACCCATCCATCCACTCACCTGCCCATCCATCTATCCATCCACCATCCATCCACCCATCCATCCACTCATCTGCCCATCCATCCATCCACCACCCACCCATCCATCCATCCATCCATCCATCCATCCACTCACCTGCCCACCCATCTATTCATCCATCCATCCGTCCATCCATCCACTCACCTGCCCACCCATCCAACCATCCATCCATCCATCCATCCATCCACTCACCTGCCCACCCATCTATCCTTCCCATCCATCCATCCATCCATCCACTCACCTGCCCACCCATCTATCCATCCATCCATCCATCCATCCACTCACCTACCCATCCATCTATCCATCCACCATCCATCCATCCATCCGCTCACCTGCCCATCCATCTATCCATCCACCCATCTATGCATCCACCCATCCATCCATCCACTCACCTGCCCATCCACTTATCCATCTGTGTGTTCATCTGTCCATTCGTCCATCCACCTGTTGTCTGTCCATTCGTCCATCCACCTGTTCCCCCGTCCATCATCCATCCTCTGCTGAGGGCGTGCTCACTTTGGCCTGTGTGAGCCTGTGGTCCCTTTGCCAGGCGGCTGTCACAGCGCGGTGCGGCACTTTGGAAACCCTTGGCGTTTATCCTCTGTCTCGCGGAAGCTCCCCATGCCGTTTGTTCTTCTTCCCAGGAACGCGAGCCGTCCTTCAACAGCAACGTCACAGCATTCGCACTGAAGGCGAAAGTGGTCTATCCCATCAACCAGAAGTTCCGGGTGAGACACCCACGCTCCATCTCGGGAACCAGTCACTCAGTGGGTGGAGGTCGGGGTGGAGTCGTGGGGTTCGATGTGCAGCTCAGGCTCTACTTGCGGGTTTATGGCAGCCTTTGTCATAGGGTGAGCGTGAGGCTTTGTCACCGAGCAACACTTAGGGGTGTGATGGCAGTGTGGTCAGGGCCAGGGTGCGCCTGGTGTATCAAGGTAAGGAAATACCGTGGTGTGTTGTACCCCAGGCACAGCAGGGACAGCACAGTAGGACGGCGCCCACCCCGCTCGTGCAACACTAATACAAATACCGATACTGACACGGCTTCCAGCACCTCGATCCCAGACCCTGAGGCTCACGCCAGCAGCCGACACTCCTGAACACTTGCGGTGGGGCCGGCCTGGTGCTAAGCGTTTGTCGTGCATCCGGCATTCCAGCCTCACAGGCTCCGATGAGATAAATAATACTGTCGTCTCCACGTTGCGCAGAGGAAACTGAGGCCCAGAGGGGCTAAGGACCTCCCGAGGTCGCTGCAGAAAGAGGCGGGCCAGCCACCCCCCCACCTGGCTACAGGCCTTACACCGAAGGCCGGCGTTCATACCGCAGCCGGCCGGGAGCTTCGCAGAGAGCGGGCTATCCCCTGGCGCCTCAGGAGCCCCCAGCCGGCGAGATGCTCTGTGGGAAAAGGAGTTTCCTGGTCAAGAAAGTTGAGGAAAATGCTGGCGGGAAAGAGGACAGGACCCCGACTCAGTCCCAACTCCCCCCGGCCCGCCCCCTCGCTGTGTACTGCAGGCCGTTTCCTGACTTCTGGGGCCTCAGTTTCTTTATCTGTGAAATGGGAGCAATGGGCCCTCCTGCCTCACCCAGTAGTTTGGGTTAAATCGGACAGTAGACGTAAGGGCTGAGGCCCGTGTGTGACAGCTAAGCATGCACCCGTTCTGTTCCTAAATCAGCACTTGCCTGGGAACAGCCAGAGCATATCGAAGGCTCTGAGAATTCCCGCACCGAGGAAACTAGTCCACTCTGGCTCATGCAGACTCTCCCAAATTAGATTCTCCGGGGAACCCTTACGGTGAACAGAAACGGGTGGCAGTTCATGGACCTGTTCCCCGGAACACACACTGGGAACCACTTCCTTCCTTAGCTCTGTGTGTGGTGGGGCGGGGGGGTGGGGGTACACTCCCAGAGCAGGGGCCTTTCTTCAGCACCACACCCACGCTGGGCCGCCTCCCCAGTGGCCACTGGGCATGGCTGGGGTCAGGGGAGCATGGTCCTCACCCTGGAGGCTGCCCCCGTCTGGGAGGGACACGGTGTGGTGTCAGGCTGCACAGAGAGGACAGGGGCCTGTAGGAGCTGGTGTGGGCTGGGCGTCGGAGAAGGTAGGCTCTGGGCTCTGTGTCTGGGGTACAGCTGCTTCTGCCCAGCAAAGGACAGGGAGAGGGTTTCAGCCTGGGGGGCAGAGCCCTGCTCAGGCTGCGCCCTCTTGAGGTCATGGCAGGAACTGCATTTCTTTGAGCCAATTCCAGGGCCATGGCAGGTCTGGGGAGAGGAGGTGGCGCCCATGTCAACGCAGGTGAAGAAGAGCTAGGTGGTCAGCGGGTTAGTGGACAGAGCTGGCCCCGGGTCTGAGACAGCAGCAAGAGAGGTGGGCCAGGGCCGGGGGGCTGCTGTGGAGAAGGGCAAGTGGGCAGCCGAGTGCCAGGTGCAGGGGTCATCGGGGCAGAGGCAGGCTCCTGGGTAAGGGGTGGGAGCCTGGTGCAGAGCCTTGGTCTCTTGGGGACAAGAGAGCTGTGACACGGGTCCACTCCCACCCCTGCCCAGCCTGCCCGCCTGGCCGCCCCGGGAGCCGCCATTCTGTGTTGCGGGTGGAATTACCGCGTCAGACTCCTGATGGTCACGTGCACTGAGTCCCATTTCTCTTCTGCTGCCCCAGCCTCTGGCCGACGGCTCCTCCAACCCGTCTCTGCATGAAAACTTAAAGCAGGTAGTTCTTCCCAACCAGCCGGTGGAGGCGTCGCCTTGCAGCAGCCTGGGGAGCCTGAGCCAGGCCGAGAAGGACGAGTGCAGCTCCTCGTCCAGCATCCACTCGGCCGCCAGTGACGACAGGTTCCTCCGCCGCACCTTCCTCCGCGTCCACAGCTTCCCCGAGGCCCTGACCTGCGAGAGGTGAGGAGGGCCGAGGGAGGACGCGGGCCCATGAGGCATGTGGTTGTCAGAGGAGGAAACAGAGAATGGAGGCCCAGAGAGGTTAAGCAACTCAGCCAGGGACACACAGCCGCCCCGTGTCAGAGTGGGACCCTGTCTCCCTCTGTCACTTGCCATGTGGTATCGATCCGCATAGGAGTTACGGAGTCAGGCTCCAGCCACGGAGAGACTTCAGGGGACCCTGATGCGTCACCAGCATGCCTGTGCATGGCATCGCGGCCAGCACTGAGCAGGCGCCTTCCAGAGTGTCTTTGCATGGCATCGCAGCCAGCACTGAGTAGGCGCCTTCCAGCGTGCCTGTGCACGGCATCGCGGCCAGCACTGAGTAGGCGCCTTTTAGCGTGCCTGTGCACGGCATCGCGGCCAGCACTGAGTAGGCGCCTTCCAGCGTGCCTGTGCACGGCATCGCGGCCAGCACTGAGTAGGCGCCTTCCAGCGTGCCTGTGCACGGCATCGCGGCCAGCACTGAGTAGGCGCCTTCCAGCGTGCCTGTGCACGGCATCGCGGCCAGCACTGAGTAGGCGCCTTCCAGCGTGCCTGTGCACGGCATCGCGGCCAGCACTGAGTAGGCGCCTTCCAGAGTGCCTGTGCACGGCATCGCGGCCAGCACTGAGCAGGCGCCTTCCAGAGTGTCTTTGCATGGCATCGCAGCCAGCACTGAGTAGGCGCCTTCCGGGTGCTGGGCAGAGTGCCGGGCAGTTTGCAGGGGGTACTTACTGCATGAGCACAAGGATCAGTCGGTCCCGTCCCCTGCCCTGTCTCTTCCGCCAGTGGGAGCCTGGGACCGGTTCAGTGATGGTAACTATTAGTCAATGAACTAATTTCTCCTGCCAGCCTTATCAGGTGGGGGCAGCTTTGCCCCATTTTATGAAGGAAATGTGCCCCGACCAGGAATCGAACCATGACCTCCCTGTTCATAGGTAGATGCTCAACCTCTGAGCCACACCTGCCGATCAATGATTCTCTCTCATCATTGATGTTTCTATCTCTCTCTCCCTCTCCCTTCCTCTCTGAAATCAATAAAAATATGTATTTAAGCAAGTAATAAAAAAAATAAAGTGAGTCTCAGAGAGGCTCAGTGACCTGCCCAAGGTCACACAGCGGATGGTGATGGAACCAGGTTTGACCCCACCACCTTATCCCCAAAGCCCACGCTCAGAATCTTCAAACTGTCCAGCCTGGAGGAGGGCTCACCTCGTGGTCAGTGGCCAGAAACTCACTCTGGGGCGGGGTGGGTGGGGGCATCGCAGCCAGCACTGAGCAGGCGCCTTCCAGCGTGCCTGTGCACAGCATCGCAGCCAGCACTGAGCAGGCGCCTTCCAGCGTGCCTGTGCACAGCATCGCAGCCAGCACTGAGCAGGCGCCTTCCAGCGTGCCTGTGCACAGCATCGCAGCCAGCACTGAGTAGGCGCCTTCTCAGTGCTGGGTGTGGGGGTGTGGGGGCCGGTCCTCAGGCCTGTCTGCTCTGACGTTCGGTGAGCTCGAGGGGTCCTGGATGTGGCCCGGGGCTGTGGCATGAGTGGGCTCAGAACCAGAGTTTGGTGGGGACCCCACAGGTGGCCCACGGCGGGAGGGATGTGGCTGGACTGGAGCCCCTTTCCTCACTGGGAGAGGCTGTGTCTGAGCCTTGGACTTAGAGGACGTCTAACCGTTCGGGGTCAGTCATTCAAAAGGCCTTTGCCTGTGTCGGAGAAAAGGTAGAGCCTTTCCCTGCACCCTGCCGCTGACCTGCCCCGTGACGGCCACCAACACTGATTTCTCCGGCCCTCGATGTCCTGCGTCAGCGTCGTCTGTACAGTGGTCACAGGCTGAGCCCTCAGAAAGGCAGCCTGTGATACAGGATGCCAGTGACCGGAGCACGTGCCAGTGTCATTTCTCCCACCTGCCATCTTCCGGCTTTGTCCTCGATGTCCAGGCCAAGTCCCCTCTGGTCACGAGTGGGTCGCAAAGAGCTCCTGACACTCCATCTCGTAGACCGTGTGGCCGTTGGGAATCTCCGTGTGCGCACACGCTGCGGATGTAAAATCTGGGGGCAGGACCCGCGAGGCTGGTACTGAGCAGGGACGCCCTAACTGTCACCCCCTCCGCACCTCAGACACTAAAGGTCTCTCTTCCTCTTGCGACTTTGCAGTGCCGACCTTGACCTTTGCATCTATCACCTCCACTTAAAAGACCTGCTCCAGCTGGACGCGGCGCTGAGGCAGGACGAGCGCTTGGTAGGTGGCGAGGCGGCTCGGCACCCCTCAGGGCTCCGGCACCGTGACCCGGGCTCTGTGCGCCGGGACCCCCAGGAGGCGGGTGTGGGGAGGGAGAGCCAGCACCTCGGGAGGGAGAGCGATCTTAGGAAGAGACACCAAGATGGGAAGGCAGCTCCTGCCTGTGGGTGGGCGCCGGCTTCACTTTACCCAGAGAGGGAGGGAGAAAGAGAAAAAGAAAAGGAAGCAGAGAGAGAGAGAGAGAGGCAGACAGGGAGAGAGAGACAGAGACACAGAGAGGGGGAGACAGACAGAGATAGAGAGAGGGACAGAGAGAAACAGAGAGAAGCAGGAGGAGGGGGGAGGAGAGGAGGGAGGGAGATTCTGTTGTTTAAACCTTTATTTCTGTTATGTTCCCTTCTTTGGCAATAGATGTTTATTCAGATTTTTAAAATGTGCCTCCTTGACCTCCTTCCAAGAAAGAAGCCTGATGACGAATTCTACCAGAAGATTCTTTCAAAACAGGAAAATGTAAGTCTTCAATCTGTAGTTCCAGGTAATTGGAAAATAGCTTATTACAATACTGGAGGCCCAGTGCACGGATTCGTGCTCTGATGGGGTCCCTCAGCCTGGCCTGCGGGGATCGGGCTGAAACCGGCTCTCTGACATCCCCTGAGGGGACCCGGATTGCGAGAGGGCAGTTCTCGGGTGACACACCCCGGAATCGGGCTCCCTCCTCTCTGGTTCCTGGTGCGCCACCCAAGAACCACTGCTGCCAAGTCACCACAGCTCGGCAGCTCCTGCATTGAGCATCTGCCCCCTGGTGGTCAGTGTGCCTCATAGCTACTGGCTGGTCAGATGGTGGCTTAGGTTTTTATATATATAGATACACTTTTAACGTAATACAGAGATACAGGCGTGAGTACAGATGTAAAAACCACAGTGTGGACTAAAATGGGAAAAAATATTGGAGGCAGAGAGGTGAGAAGAATGTCGGTCATGTTCTCTGCCCAAGAGAGTCACTGTGGGCGGGACTTCCTGTTCAGGCTGGGGCGTTTTTAAATATCTGATTTCCCAGAGCTGCAGAAGGAGTGAAAGATGCTGTTTCATGGCTTTCTAAGCCCAGCTTACTTTTTGTGGGGGGTGAGGACTATAGAAGAAAATAATCCATCATTCTCGAGGCTCTGCGTTTAGGGAGAAAAATCGATTTCTATCATCAAACCTTAAATAGGACAAAACCCATAGCACCGACGTTTGGTTAAGAAATATTCCCCGGGGGGAAGAAATTAATATTCCATGAGAATGTGAAAAACAAAAGCATTTCTTATGGCAGAACTTAAGACACATTCAACTTGTTCTTTATTTTCTCTCTTTTGCCTTTTGCAGGATTTGGAGGAATTAGAAAAGGGACTTCGGGCCAGACTGTCAGACACGGAGACGCTGGGCGCCGGCGACTCCCAGTACATCGCGCTGGCGGACGTGGAGAAGAAGGAGAGGGAGAACGCCGAGCAGCTGATCGATAACGTAGGTGATGGGCTTGTTCCTGCGTGAAAGCCGGGGCTTCGGGGCGGCCCAGCTGGGAGGTTGGAGAGAGAGTGGATGCGCCTAGAAACGTGTTTAACACTGGGGTTCCCTGCTGGGTCGGCCCCGGAGCCAGGGGTCCGTCTCCGAATTGAGCGATGGAGCAGGTGTCACTAAGGGCCAGGATTTTCAGAGGGAGGCGTCTTATTTTATAACCGATTCCTCTGGCTTAAGTTTTAGATTGGCCTTCGTGTCATTCAAAGCAGAGGTTGCTCTGACCCTGTGTGGGTGTGGCGGGTGCTGGCTGCCATCTCCTCATCCCCGGGCATCGCTCTTAAAAGCAGGTTTTAAGTTCCAGAGAGGAGGGCTTCCTTCAGGTATTTATCTCTGTTTGGCTTTTGGGTCCCATGACCCGCTGTTCACGTATTCTGTCTTAAACACACGTTTCCTTGGCGCCCAGGCGCTGTGCTGGCGACAGGGATTCAAATGAACTTAGACCTGGCCCTGCCGGAGAGATGCTCAGGCCAGCGCGGGGCCCGGGGAGGGGGAGGGGTGACAGTGACAGGTGAGCAGATGAGGTTTACAAGTGTGACAGATGGGGACACAGGAGCGCTGAGGCACAGGGGAGAGAGGAACTGTTTTACCCCCGGTTAGGAAAGTTTTTGGAGAAGAACGGACCATCGAGAGGCTGCCTGGGAGAGGTGTGGTGCTGGCCTGCAGGCGGCAGAGAAGGCAGCAGGGAGCCGAGAAGCAGGCAGAGGGAGCTGAGCAGAGCCTGGACGAGGGGCCTCCTCTCACCAGGACGGGGAGTCGCTGAGGGTTGCAGCAAAGGGTGGCTGGGTTCCCTCCTGCTTTGAAGGGCTGCACAGGCTGCTGTGTGGAGGCCAGTGTGAGCTACGGGGCTAGTGCAGTGGGGTTTCGTGAAGGCATTTGCAGTGGGTGGAGGGCAAGGAGAAGTGGGAGCCGATAGGATGGGATGTAAGGAGGGGCGGGGGGTGGTGGTGCAGAGAACTGTCTACAGAAATCAGGACCCAGATTGAGAACAGGCTGGGAGGGGATGGTGGGGCGGGGTCTGACCAGGCCCAGGGGGAGGACGCGGAGAGCGAGCTGCCCGGAGGCCCCGAGATGGGACAGGAAGCTTCTGAAGAGGCGCCAGTGCCTCGGGGTGATGCTCTGTCCCAGCCGAGCCCAGCCCCGACGGCTGGCAGGGTTCAGTGAGCCTCAGCTTGTCATGATCTCCACCTTCAGCCAGAGCAGCCAGGTCAGTGTGGGCTTCTGGGGCCACTGACCCCTGACCCCTCCCATGCGGGTCCAGCAAAAAGTGTCCCTCTCAGCCTCAGACGGGCGCCAAGGAGAAGCTCCAGCTGGAGCTGCAGGGACCTGCCCCAGATCCGCTGCCTCTGCCTCTCGCTCGGGGGCCAGGGCCCGTCCCCTGCGCCTGGTCCTCGTCCTCGTCCGCTCCAGCTGTACTTTATCTGGAAGGAAACTGCGTGCCGCACGCAACCTACACGTCATAAAGCAAAAGACGTCGCTGAGACCTGGGGTCACTGTCCTCGGTGCTGAGGCCGCAGGGACAGCCGAAGCCCGGCATTCGCAGCCACTCCCGTCCCAGCGCCGCGCCCGACGAGATGGGGCAGGAAGGAGGGTTTCAAGGAGGACGTTCCCACAGCATCGTCTCTGCCGCGCTCTCCCTGGTGCTTTTGGAACAAGAACTGACATTTCAATGGCCGTTCGTGCTGTTATTTCCAGGACACGTTCAATCTCTTTTAAATCTCTGGACGATTCCGAGAGGGCACTGGAATTCACGCACTCCTCCCCCGCGGGCAGGACTCAGCCTGCTGGGTGTCTCCGCCTTTAAGCTGGGAGGTCCCGGGGTCTGAAGCTCATCGCTGTTCACTGCAGTGGAACAGGAGGCACCGCTGGAGAGAGTGACGCTGCGAGGCGAACGTGCTCCGGGGTAGAACTGTCGAGAATCTCGGTCTGTGAGACGCAGTGATGGCAGTTCCCACGCCTGACCATGTGGCGTTACACTTTCTTAACCAAGTCTCCTCCCCTCCCGCCTCTCCCCCGTCACAGATGGACGCCTTCTGGAGGCAGATGGAGAGCATCCCGCACCACCTCGTGGACCAGTTCAAGTGTCCCAGCGCCAGAGCACGCCAGCTCGGGGCGGCCCTCACGACCAGGATGATCGCCGTGGAGGGGCTGCTGCGGGACTCCCAGGACCTGCAGGCGCTGGTAATGCGGGGGGGGGGGGGGGGGGGCGCAGGAGGGGCACGGAGGGGTTCACACAGAGATGGAATCAGGAAGCTCCAAGTGCTGTAGAGGTTGTCCAAACACCTTCGTATTGTGGATGGGGAGAGACAGCCCAGAGAAAAGCAATGAATTCGTCCTTCCATCATCCATTCAGTCCTATCCAGTCCTTTTTTCTATTCTTCTTTCCCTTCCTTCCTTCCTTCCTTCCTTCCTTCCTTCCTTCCTTCCTTCCTTCCACCCATCCATCCCATCCATCTATCCTTCCATCCCATCCATCTATCCATCTACCACCCATCCATCTAGTCCTTCTATTCCATCCTTTCTTCCTTTCATCCCATCCAGTCCTCCCTCCCTCCCTCCCTCCCTCCCTCCCTCCCTCCCTCCCTCCCAGGTGTGGAGGTGCGGCCAGCTCCATGTCCCGCAGCTCAGAGCACTGTGTCTCCCCCGGCTGCACACTGACATGATCTGGGAGCTTTAAAAGGCACTGATGCTGGGGTCCCAGATGAGCCTGAGTTACTCTGCCTGGGTTGGAGCTCCGGTGACCACGGCGAGCAGTCGGGTTGACGCCCACTGGTGGATGGAGCTTTGGTTTGCTCTCCTGCTGCCTCCCGAGTCACCGAGGGCGCTTCCGGCAATGTCTGTGCCTGGGCCTCGTGCCCAGCGGCCCAGTCTAACCCGTGCGAAGCAGGGGCCCTGGTTCTGCTGGTTGTAAACTCCCCAAACAATTCTGATGTGCAGCTGGGGATGCAAAGCACTGGGGCCGAAGAAGCTGCACATCCACCTCCTAGGCCCAGCCCCTTGCAGCTGTGTCACCTGGCACTGGTTACTTAACCTCTCTGAGTTCCGGTTGCTCTGTTTATAAAAGGGTGGTCCTGGGCCTTGTCACAGACAGGCCCGGGGAAGCGCTCCGTGACCTGTAACACGTTAATCACCAGGGGGTTTCTCTGCAGAGGATTTGGGCTCACCTGCTGTGTGCAAGGCCCGGGGCACTACCCACCCATCTCCCCGCCCTCTGGCCTTGGGAACGCGGAGGTTACATTTCAGACCCGTGCACCTGCCCAGGTCACACGCGGCTCAGAGCCCTCTAGCGGCCGCCCTGCCCCCGGCGCAGACTCAGCTCTCAGACCCGCGAGCAGGCCCTGAGGAGCCAGAGCGACTCCTGCCGCTTCTCCACAACCCACAACCTCCACAACCCACAACCGTCCGCCCCGAGTGTGGTGCAGACCAGCGGCTTCCGCGTCCCCTGAGAGCTGGTTAGAGACGCAGGTCCTCCCCGCACGCCCAGATCCACGGTGCGCGCTAACAGACGCCCGGCGCACGCTGCACACGGCCGCCGGAGAGCACTGTGTGCTTCCGTCCTGTACACAGTCCCGTCTCCGCCTGGGCCCTGCTGGCAGAGGCAGGAAGCGGCCGGTGTGGCGCACCTGGGCCGCCCTGCCTGACGGCGCCCCCGGCCTCGGCTTGGCCGTCCAGGCCCCTCTGAGCTGGACTTTAATTTGATCCGGCTGCTGATAGGGACGCTCAACAAAGGAAAACGACTTTCCTTTTCTCCTTTTTCTTTCTTTAATTATTATCCTGTCAGCACGATATGGATGCAGAAACACACACACACACACACACACAAAACACAGTGTATCCTTAGCTGACTCTGGCCCAAGAATTAGCCAGAAACTTCCAAGTAGGAAGGAGGGAATGAATTATTCGAGTTCTCAGTAGGCTCTTCCTTCAGCCAACATTTAATGAGCACCTACTATGCGCCGTGTCCTGTTATAGAGACCGTATTGCAGACTCGAGCCAGAAACCTGAGCTCAGACCACAGTCCTGCCGCTTCCTAGCCGTGCGACCTCGGCAGTTACTCAACCTCTCTGTGACTCAGTTTCATCATCTGTAAAATGGGATCAGAGTGGCACCTGCTCTGAGAGTGTTGGAGATCAGACAGGACGTTGATCTCACGTGGGAAGTGCGCATGTCCAGCCACATGTCAGCAGGCAGAATGGACAAAGAAGACACCGCAGTGCTGCCTGGGAAGGGGGACGGTTAGCTCCCTGCACCCACTTCCCCCCCCTCCCCCACCCCGTGACGTATCTAGGAATGTGCTGTGATAAACTCTGGAATTTCAGTGCTTGGGCTGGTGTCTGAGCATTTTGGCCTGGGCAGGGGGCCCTGGAACATGGCACTGGCCTCGGGGACTCTCAGAACAGAGCCCTGGAAGAGGCCGTAAAGGTTGTGCTGCCACTAGGAGCCTGGAGGGCCTCCGTGAGCTAAACCAGAGGTGGCTGTCCTGGCCGCCGCCCTGCCTGGGCGCTGCCATGGGGAACCTGGCGCTTATGCTCCTGCGCCCTCTAGTGGCCATGGGCCCTGACTGCTGGCAGGTGTTGCACTGAAGGAGGCGGGTTCCCAGCATTGTCCCTCGGGCTGGTTATGTGGCCTTCCGGGATAGACCTCAGCATCCTTGTCCAGAATCGGGGGATCACCATCCGTGCCCCATTCACACGCTGTTAGAACCCCCACCAGTGCGGCTCAGCCACAGTGAGGCCAGGCTGGGCAGTGGGTGGCTCAGATACGCTCCTGGCGTCAGGGCTCTCCAGTCGGTTCCTTCGATCAGAGCCTGTTGGGCGAGCAGGGCCCGGCCAGGCCGCGGAGTGAGTACGAGGAGGCAGGGAGGTGGCCCAGGAGGAGGCCCGTGTGCGAAGGCCTGGCGGAGCTGCAGGCCGTGTTCTGGGCAGCCAGGAGTCGGCAGGGCTGTGGGGCCAGGCTGGGGACGAGGCCAGGCTGGTCCTGAAGGCCATGTGCCCCAAGCTCGGGAGTTTGGACTCGGTCTGGGGGCAGTGAGAGAGGGTTGGGGCCAGGGGACTCGGGAGCCACGTTTACGTCTCAGAAAGGCCCGCTGCCGTGCGGGGCCCAGTGTGAGGGGACAGGTGGAGGCCGGGAGGCCAGGCTCGGTCCCAGGGCAGGAGTGACTGTGAGTCGGCGGGAAGGGAATAGGGAGGGGGATCTGAATGGGGCAGGATTGCCGGCGGTGAAGGGGCCGGGCTAACTCAGGCCTCCCGAGCCGGGTGGCGGGTGGGGAGGGACGCAGCCCTGCAGCTCTCACGTGGTCCACATGTCCAGCATGGTGACGCTGCTCCTTCCGGTGCCCTCACTCTCATTCGACAGCCCCACTCATTGGGCGTCTCCTCTCTGTGATAGAAGGAGCCCTGGCCCTGTAGTCCTCATTTCCTGCGTGGGGTGTGTGGGGAAGTGTCTTTCCCAGTAGTCCTGCCCTAAGTCACCACCACGCGGCAGAACAAGGTGGGCGGTCCTAAGGTCTGACACTGGGCATCGCCCCCTCCGTCTCTGAGTCCCAGCACCCGGGCTCTGAGCGCAGAAGCCCTGGCTCCTGTGACCTTGACTCTCCCTGTGCCGCGCCGGCCGAGGCCCGGTGGCTGCGGGAGGCGTGGCTGTGATGATAGGCGTGCACTGAACTCCTTCCCGGAAGAGCGACCCTCGGGGGAGCACTCAGTAGATACGAAGCGCTTTGCGTGTGCTCTCCGTGTCTGCCTCGCCACGTCCCCACGAGGGACCACGGGGTCCCCATCTGAGAGGCAGACACAGGAGGCTCAGAGGGGAGCTACTCCTTCTGTGCTCAGCACACAGCGAGGTGTGGGGCCAGGACGCAGCCGTGACCGAGCGCCGCCCCAAGATGGCCCCACCTGACGCCTGGTGCCTCTCCCCTCAGGACCTCCTGGAGAGAACGATGGGCCGCGTGCACATGGCAAAGACGATCGAGTTCCTGAGGCTGCAGATCCAGGAGGAGACCAGGTGCCGGCTGGCCGCCATCTCCCGCAGCCTGGACCTGCTGGTCGCCCAGGGCCGGCTGTCCGCGCGGCAGAAGGAGGAGCTGCTGACCCAGCAGCACAAGGCCTTCTGGGAGGAGGCCGAGCGCTTCAGCAGGGGTGAGCGGCTTCCGCGGGGCCAGGGGGCCGGGCTGGGGGCAGCAAGAGTCCCAGTTCTGCCTTTGGGGACCAGCCCCTTATATGCTCTGCGCTCGCTTGCCTTCCCCGTAGATCGGGGTAAACAGGGCTGCCTCCCTAGCAGGCTCTCCTGCTCCATTTCCTCGTCGGTGATTCCAGCTCACGGGAACCCCAGGGTCTCTCGGCAGAGCCACCAGGAACGTGCAGAGGGCAGGAGGGCGGAGGTGCCCAGTGCCTGCAGCCCTGCACCAGCCATGGGCCCTGAGATGCCGGGTGGGGTGTGCGAGGCAGGAGAGGGCACCCGCCGTGGCCGATTCCCACACACGCCTGCTGCTCGGCCGTCTGGGAAGTGGCAGGTGGGGGCTGAAGACATCCAGGCACCCGAGGCTTAGTCCGGGTCAGACCTTTGGTGGGGCTGCAGGAAGCAACCTGGCCTCCCTGCAGGGCGGGGACCCGCTCTGCACCCGCTTCCTCACAGCCTGGGCGAGAGAGCCCGTTGGTGCTGACCCAAGGCTGAGTGTGCCGGGCCCCCTCGGGTCTCGTCGGGACGTCTGTAGGGCATCTGTGTGCCTAGCGAGTCCCCCAGCAGGTTCTGACCCCCACACTGGCCTGGATCCTGTAGGACCGGGGAGTCTCCGGGTGTCTTAGCTCGGGCCACGGTGACAAGATGCTGCACACAGGGGCCCCGGAACAGCAGGCATTTGTTCTGGAAGCTGGAAGTCCGACTCAGTGTGCCCAGATTTGGTTCCCGGGGAGGGCACACTTTTGGCAGGACGTGGCGGAGCGCGCGCTCACATCTCTTTGAAGGCCTCTCTCCCCGCTCCCTCCCTCCCGCCATCTCTGATGTGGGCCTCCGGGCTCCTGACGCCTTTGGAGCACGTGTGCCCGAATAATGAAACTGAAATAAACTGGGTTTGCCCCTCAGTGGCGCCCCTCTTGGTGCTGGCAGAAGAAGCCAGGGAGGTTCTGCCGGGAGAGCCGCCTGTGAGGTCCTGGCTTATTCCACTTTCAGAGTTTGTGCAGCGAGGCCAAGAGCTGGTCCAGGCGTCGCGGGCTCGCCAGGCGGAGGGCACAGCGCAGCTCACGCGGGCCCAGGAGGAGGAACGGAGGGCCTTCCTGGCGGAGGCGCAGCTGACGGCCAACCCCGAGGAGCTCCTCCAGGTGACCCTGCGCGACCCCCGCTGGCCTGGCGCGGCTCAGGCCCTGTCCCGGCCTCCAGCAGACGGGGGCGCTTCTCGGCCTCCCGTGGGTCCGCCCAGTGACCGAGGCCTCTGAGCCTGCATCCCCCGCTCCCGGTCTGCACACCGGTGACCAGGGCTCCGCGGGGCCGGTCTCCCAGGCCTGGGCAGGGCCTGCAGCACTAAGTCAGAGGACGCTGTCCGGAGAGAGCAGGCAGGGCGGCCTGCAGCACCTCCGCCTTCTGGCTGGACCAAAGCTCAGTCCATGGCTTTCCTGGGGTCCAGGCTCGCTGGTCCCTGCCGTGGCCTCAGCCTGCAAGCCACAGAAGCCCCGTGACCACGTGCCTTACTTTTCTCAGATATAAACCAAGGATGAACGTCCTTTTGATCTGAGAGTTGGGGGCAGGTGGAGAGAACTGTGCATTTTGGGGGGGGGGGTGCATTTTTCTGTCCGATTCAGCTCCTGCATTTACTCTCAGGCTTTTCACGGGGTCCTGGAGCGGCAGAGGGTGACGTGCAGTGACCTGGAGCAAGAGGAGAACTTCAGGGCCACCGAGGCCGTGGCGGCGCTCTGCCAGGTACGTGGCCCCCAGGCGGGCCGGGCTGAGAGCCCTCAGGATCTGAGTGTGCGTGAGGACCGCACATCCTCCTGGGCCCCCGGCCCCAAAGGCGGAAAGTGACTCGCCTTGCTTTCCGAGGCCTGTGCAGACAGTGGCCTGCAGGGGGCAGCGCTGGGAGCAGGGAGACGGGGAGGCATCATGGAGAGAGAGCTGGGGCCGGGTCTGTTTTGGTGGCCAGCATCTCAGTCTCCTCCGTGAAGATGGGGTAGTGAGCTTTCTTCACAGGACTGTCCGGCGGTTTAAATAAGCTTCCACAGGCAGAGCACAGAGGTGCTATGGGCACAGAGTGAGCATCATACAGTGTTATAAGCATTCTCGTCCTCTCTGTCTAGGAGGGTGCGTGTGCACAGGATATGCTCACAAGGTACCTCGTCCTGTAGCCTGGCAGGTTCTTTCCCAGACCTTTTCTTTGGGTGAGGCACCCACCATGATATGGTGGGCACGGGGCTGTGAGAGAGACACCATCATGGTATGGTGGGCACGGGGCTGTGAGGCACCATATGGTATGGTGGGCACGTGGCTGTGAGAGAGACACCATCATGGTATGGTGGGCACGGGGCTGTGAGATAAACTGACGACCACCTCGCGTTCTCAGGCTGCTGAGAGCAGCATTTTTCAAATGCCCGCTGTCTCCTGACCTGTAAACAAACAGTAAGGTCCCAGCTTGGCTGACGCGGATGCCGCTAAATCCCAGAGAGAGGTCTCTGAGCCCAGCCCAGCGCCACCCGCCCGTGGGGACAGGCGCAGAGCCGAGCGCCACGCGGGCCTGCTTGCTGCCCGTCCTGCTCCGGTGTCTCTTGAAAGGCTCCGGGGCGGGTGGTGAAACAGACCCGCCACACTCCGGCTTCGCGGCCGCGGTTCTCACCAGGAGTCGGGGCGGACAGTGAGAGAAATGAACCGTCCTCAGAGAACACAGAGACAGTAGACACGGGTGATGTGCCCCCGCCCCCCGAAGCGTCTCCGGTTCGATTCTCGGTCAAGGGCGCGCACCTGGGTTGCAGGGTCACTCCCCGCCCCCGTCAGTCGGGCGCATGCGGAGGTAACCAGTTGAGTCTCACAGTGACGTTTCTCTTTCCCCTCTCCCTCCCCCCTCCCCCCTCCCTCCCTCCCTCCCTCCCCCCTCCCTCCTCCCTTCCACTCCTTCCGAAAAGCAGTGGAAAAACTATGCTCAGGTGAGGATGAAACAAAAACGTAGTCCCCACAAGATGCCTCACTGACACCAAACGCAGTCCCCAAGACCACCCTCGGCTCTTCAGTTCTCTAGAGCAGCGGGCGCCCGCCGGTGGTCCCTGAGGCCGAAAGGGGGGCGCCCGCCGGTGGTCCCTGAGGCCGAAAGGGTGGCGCCCGCTGCTCTAAAGGACTCGCTGCAGCTGTCCCCACGGCGGGTGGTTGCAGCGGGAGCTACAGACCCAGGTCGGCCAGAGGTCCCAGGCAGAGGCCTCCAGCGCCCTCTCAGGGGCGTGGGCAGCACTGGCCTCCTGACAGCGCTGTTGGCATCACACGCCGGCCACTGCCCACACGGAGGCTCCCGAGCTCGGCGTCCAGTTTTATTGGGACGCAGTCACACAGACGTGGGCGGCCGCCAGTGTGGCCGGCCTTAACCCCGGCCCTCTGCGGGATGGGCTGATAGCAGGCGGCCCCAGGCCCCACCCTGATCACATCACTGTCCCAGCTCCCTGACGGGGCCCAGACTCCCCCGTAACCTGAGACCGTTGTATCCGGGAGGACATTCCAAGAACAGGGAGGTCCCTTCGCAGGAACCGGGGCAAACGGGCCTCTCTCTCAACAAGGTCGGTTCTTGGCTGCCCAGCGGTGAAAGGTTAAGGTGTTTTGTTTTAGGAAACTCAGCTGGGAGCCTGGGCTTCAGGCCTGGGGCTCATATTCAAGGAGGAGGGAGAAGTGGGCTGGTGAGCAAGAGAAGGGAGAGGCGGTCAGGCAAAACGGATGAATAAACGCACGAGGGAATCGAGGAATGAGCGCGCAACTGGAATTCTGGCATTCTGAAGGCGGCGTGGTCGTGTCCGATGAGAAATAATTAACACAAACTCTCAACAAATTAACACAAACTCAGTGGCTAAAGACAACTCGGTTATTACCTTGCAGTCCTGGAGGTCGGACGTCCGAGGGTGGGCTGGGTTCCTGCTGGAGGCTCCAAGGGAGAATCCGTTCCCTTGACTTTCCCGGCTGCTGGGGGCGCCCATATCCCTGGGCTCGTGGCCCCTCCTCCGTGCCAGAGCCAGAGACCTGGTGCTCCCACCTGTTCCCACCATCCCGTCTCCGCTCACCCTGACTCCCTGCCTCCCTCTCACCCGGACGGGCCCTTGTGCTTACATTGGACTCACCTGGGTCTCTTCCCGTCTCAGACCCTAACGTGCGTCTGCAGAAGCTCTTGGACCAGTGGTTCTCAACCTTGGCTGCACTTTCGAATCACCTGGGAATCTTTTTAAAATCCTGATTTCTGGGCCTCATCCTCCGGAAATTCTGTTTCTTTGTTATGGGGTGAGGCCACAACAAGGTGAGAACCACTGTCTTGGACCCTATAAGGCTGCATATTCTGGGGGCTCGGACATGGGCGACTTGGAGAGACCTTATTTTGCCTAACGAGACAGGAAGCACTAGGTTTCCAAAGAGTAAAAGAAATTGGGTTTTGGGGAAATGCCAGAGCAATGGTTTCCTGGGCCGTAGTCTATTCAAGGTAGGTCTGGAAGAGTGAATGGTAGACGTGTGGCACCCTGTGGTCCGTGTCCCTGGAAGGAGGTGTCTGTGGGGCGGTAGGGCGTGAGCCAGTTTGCCTGGTCCTTTAGCAAGGTTAAAGGGTGACAGGTCGTCTCCAAGGGCGCAGAGTCTGAGAAATACAGACTGGCACGTACAGGTCTACCCCATGGCAGCCGGCGAAGGGAACCCCCGTGGCTCTTTGTTGTGACTTAAAGCCACGGGAGCCGTTAATTTATGTTTTCTTTATTTGCAGAAGTAAGACTCGCCAGTGCCTTCATGGTCCTGCATGCTAAGTGGTTATAGCCCCTCCTCCCTTTTAGTCATTTTCCCAACCAGCTGACCTCCCTGCGAAGAGGCGCAAATTTGCAAAGTAGAGAAGAGTCGCTTGGGAAGCAGACAGAGCAGAGCAGTGTGGCCCTTGCTGGCTGTGTACCCACCGTGTGCGGCCCTGTCCGTATCGCCCGACCTCTCTCACCCAGGAATTCTTAGCTGCCCTCCATGTAGACTGAGCACATGAATGAACCCACTTAACACCCAAAATGCCACCCGTAGCCCCCAGGCTGAGCTAACACCCCTCATCTGGTCCGTGATGACCACCCAGGCTGGTCTGTGATGCTCCCATATGGCCTGACCCACGAGACCCACCCCGTCTGACCCAGAGACCTGCCCAGCCAGGCCCATAAGCTCCCCTATTGTGGCCCACCAGGCCCACATGACCTGGCCCACCCACCACGTATCTGGGGTCACGTCCCTTGCTTGTTTCCTTCCAGACATCCCTCAGTTCTGCCGAGATGCCCCATCCCTCCTACCCCAGTGCCTTTGCGTGTGCTTTCTCACTGCCTGATACTCGGTCCCCTCCCTTCCCTCCGTTTTGCTTGTTCTCATTCTTGTCTCAGTTAAACGTCACTTCCTCAGACCAGATTCCCTGGTATGTCCCTAGGGCTGCCACCCTCGTGGCCATCGCACTTGTCATAGTGACCCCTGACCCCCGCTGGGCTGTGCACTCCCTGAGGTCCAGGTCCACATCTGCCTGTCACTGCCATGTTCCTGGCACAGAGCCCATAGCAAGGGCTCGAGAGACGGTTGCAGAGTGAGCCTCTGAGCTGTGAGCATAAGCCACTTTTGTCCCTTGGCTGTGAGGGACCCGCCCCTGCTGTGGTGGAGGTCACGTAACCATGACCACGTAATGTCATGCAGCGAGACACCTCGGAACCCAGTGCTGGAAGCGACAGTGACATGTGCTTGTGGTCTGCACTGGCCGGAGGAGGCCGACCTGGGCCGGACTCAATGGACACAGCGTGCTCCACCTGCCTCATGTCCTCCCGAGGCCGTGGGCTTCCCGGGGATGTCTCCCACTGCAGAGGTGGAGGTCTGGCCTGCACTCTAGCCACGGCACACCACCTCATTTTATGGGCTGACACAGGTCACATGACTGGCCCCAACCCCATAGGACAGGAGGGTCCTCCCCTCTCTCGGGACAGAAAGCCGGCCCTGTGCCAGGTGCTGTGTGTCATTGCAGTCGGCCCCCAAAGCAGGTGCTGTCCTCACAGTCCTCTGCAGGCGCAGGTGCGAGCACTCCCCCCGCCCCAGCATTGCTCCCGAGGCGCCAGGCTGCAGAGGGGACACGGACACGAGTGAAGGCCCGAAGTCAGGGAATTCCTGCCCTCGCCTGGCTCCCTGGGCCTCTGTCTGAGGGAGAGTGCAGGGCTGAGGCCTGGGGCCGGCCTCTCTCCCCACCAGGTACACTCCCCGCCCCCCCCCCCCCCCCCCCCCCCCCCAGCTGCCCTGACCCGCACACGCACAGAGGAGCACCACGAGCCAGTTTGGTTCTGTTCCGAGCGCAGCATCGATCAGTGTCTCCCAGATGAAATGGCGTGAAGGGGTCACAGGGATGTGGGCTGTCGGAGCCGGTGACAGAGGCGGAGGAAGTGACCACAGGAGCAGGCAGGACCCAGCGCGGTCTCATTAGAAAGAGCCTGGGCTCGCGGACCGTGGCGCTTGTACAGAGTTCGCCTTTTGTTGAGTTTTAAACAGCTTGAGAGTCAGGAAGGAGAAAGAAAAAGGTGTGTCCCAGCCACTGCTGTGCGATCACAGCGTCCAAGGCAGGAGGACCGATTTAAAAACCTGTCTCCTGGCAGAAGGCTGGGCCGGCAGAGGCTGGAGGGAAATGTAAACCAGTCCCGTGGTTTCAACCCTTCTTCACTGTGAATTGAAACAGCCATAAATACGTGGGCAGCACAGACGTATGGACTAGCAGATGGTTATTAAAAACCATCTCTGTAACCATCACCCAGATGAAGAAAGATCATGGCAAGGACCCTGGAAGCCCCCTCACACCCCCTCAATCCCAGGATCCTCCTTGCTCACAGGACCCATATCTGGCTTATTTGACGAACATCAGGTCCTTGCTTTTCTATAAACTAGAGGCCTGGTGCACGAAATTCATGCAGGGTTAGGCGCCTAGGCCTCGCCTCCCCTCCCCTCCGCCTCCTTCCCTCACTCTCTCAGTGCCCGCAGCTGCTGGTTGCCCCCCCCCCATGTTCCACACCACCCCCTGGTGGTCAGCGCACATCATAGCAAGCAATCGAACTCCCCGTCAAACTCCCGAGTGGAAAATTTGGATATTAGCCTTTTATATATATAGATGGAACCATGTGACACATGCTCTTGTGTGCCAGGCTGCTTTCACTCAGCTTTATGCTTAGGAGATTCATCCGTGTTGCATGTAGCAGTTCATTCTTCCTCGTCGGTCTGTATTATCCCGTGGTATAAATACATCACCATTTACCTATTCTACTGTTGATGGGCATTTGTATGGCTTCTTAGTTTAGACTGTTATACTTTCTGCTGATATAAACTTTCCTGTAGAAGTTGTTTGAAATGCTTGTGCATGCATTTCTCTTGGGCAGAGACCAAGGAGCGGAATTGTTGGTGAAAGAATATATGTAGCCTGGCTGGAGTGGCTCAGTTGGTTGAGCCTCGTCCTGTGCACCAAAATGTTGCTGGTTTGATTCCTGGTCAGGGCACATTCCCAGGTTGTGGGTTCTCACACTGATGTTTCTCTCTCTCTCTCTGTCTCTCCCTTTCTCTCTAAGCATGTCCTTGGGTGAGGATTTTTTTAAAAAGAACATATATAGGTTCAATCCATATTCTCCATAGTTATTGATATAGCCACCAATTTGATCAGCATTAGTAATTTATGGATATTTTGGTTAGAATTAACATCTTTACAATGTCAACCTTCCAATCCAGAAAAAAGGTATTTCCTTACATTTATTTCAGTCTTATTTAATTCTTTTAATATTATTTTACAGTTTCCACCCTTAGGTATAATTTTGCTATAGTGTTTTGGGTTTGTTTTTTTTTTCAGATTTAAGAAGTTTCCTTTCATTTCTGTTTTGCTAAGGGTGTTTCTTATGCATGGAAATTAATTTTGTAAAATGTTTTTTCCTCATCTAGTCACATAGTCATCACGATATTTTTCTGCTCTACCAGGTATACTGTTAATGTGTCAAACTGCACTGATGCATTGATGTGGATAATGCCATGAAGTGCATACGAATTTAGGTTTTCACATCTTTCTGTTGAGTTAGATCTTTTAGCATTATGAAGTAAACCCCTTTATTTCTAGTCACCCTTTTTTCTCTTAAAGACCATTTTATCTACTATTAATGTAGCAGAAAGTGACCCTATGTTTACTAGATTCTGGTTATACACTCATTCATTCACTTTCAAAAAAAGTTGCTAAGATCCTAGGTGCCAGGGCCTCCTATGTAAACTTGTGCAATTTATGGAACCACCCTTTTACTGTGCAGATGAAGCCTTCGTTTTCTCGGCTGTAAACTTCTTCCATCAGTTTTGGGAAATGTCTAAGCCATCATCACATCAAATATTGCTTCTCCCTAGGCTCTCCCTTCCTTTCTTTGGAGACTCCAATGAAAAATGTTAGATTTTTGCCCTGCCCAGTGTCCTCAGTGGTTAGGGCGCATGCCACGCACTGAATTTTGTAAAGTGTTTTTTCCTCATCTACTAGTAGTCACATTCATCATGATATTTGTCTGCTCTATACTGTTCATGTGTCAGATTGCATTGACGCATTGATGTGGGCAATGCCATTAAGTGCATATTCCGGCCAAGAGCATGCACTGGGTTGCGGGTTCACTCCCCACCCCTCATCGGGCATATGTGGAAGGCAGCCAGTCGATGAGTCTCACATCGATGTTTATCTCTCTCTCTCTCCCTTCCTCCCTCCCTGCTACTCGCTCTCTGAAAAGCAGTGGAGGGAAAAAATCCTTGGGTGAGGACAAAATAAAAAATATGTTGGGTTTTCTCATTGCATCTTCCGTGCTTTTATCTTCTCCATATTTCCCAGTGCTAGTCTCTCCTTACTTTGTTGTGGATTTCCTCCTGATCTGTCTTCCAGCATACTAACTCTCTCTTAGCTGCTTCTAGCTACCATTAAGCCTATTCATCACTATCTATACTAATAAAAGGGTAATATGCTAATTAGACCAGACGTCTTCCGGATGTCATTCTGGACATCCTTCCTGACAAAGCTGGGGCCCAGCCCAGGCGAAGCCACCCAGGGTCCTGGGTGCCTGTGGCCAGCCCAGGCAAAGCCAGCCCAGGTCCCGGGTGCCAGAGGAAAACCAGTGCCGGCAGCTTGGGGAAGGAAGGCCTACTCTTACACGAATTTTCGTGCAACAGGCCTCTAGTTAGGTTAATAAAATTGGACCACATTCTTCAATTCTGAAAATCCTAACTGGTTCTTTTAAACTAAGCAGTGTCACTCCCAGCTCCTTGCTTAATGTGTTAAGCGTGGCTCTGGCCGTCATGAGCACAGAAAGCATCCACTCTTCGGAGTCCAGCCTTGTACTCAGGCTCTCTGGACGACCTGTGGTCTGACGGGAACCCCGCCGTGTGGCTCTCGGTTGCAGGAGCTGTACCACAGCACCATGGGAACCTTCCAGACGCTTGTGGACGTCCTGTTCCTGCAGACGCTGCCCGATGTGACAGGCCTCTCGCGGGCTGAGTGCGACTCCGTGAGGCGGGAGGCCCAGGAGGACGCCGCCCTGCAGCTGGGGAACGCGGATCGCTTCCGCCGACAGCAGTGGAGGCTGTCCCAGGACCTCCTGGAGCGCGAGCAGCAGGTGCGGCGCCTGTGGAGCGGCCCAGAGTCGCTCTTTTTGAAACTTAGGAAGAATAAGGAGCGTTTTGTTCCCTGAGCACCTCCCGGGGTCCTGCTGGGGGCTTGACCAGGGTCCTGGTGGCCAGCCTTTCACCTCAGCCCTCAGGGGGGTTGGGGGAGATTGCAAAGCGCTCCTGTCCCAGGACAGGAAGTCAGCGGTCGATCCCTTCAGCCAATCCAGCGAGAAAGAGCAGCAAAACCCGTTCTTTAGAGAGAAAGGAACGGCAGAAGGTGGCTCCCAGGGCTGTGGGCTGGGGTGGGGTGGGGGCTGCACTCACGGGACACCTGCTTTTCAGTGAGTCTGTTTCACCATTAAAACCTCATCCATATGCCGGAGGTAGAATAATGGCCCCCAAAGATGCCCACGTCCTAACCCAGAATCTGTCACCTCACGGGGCACATGGGCCTTTGCAGATGCCGTTACGGATCTTGAGATTTGGAGCTCATTGTGGCTTCTCTGGGTGGGCCCAGTGCCATCACGAGGGGCCTTATAGGAGGGAGGTGGGGAGGAGGCAGAGGGAGACTGTGCCAGAGCAGAAGCTGGCGTGGTGGGGCCAGGAGCCGAGGGATGCGGGGCTCCGGGCGCTGGAGGAGGCCAGGACAGGGTCTCCCCTGGAGCCACCCCAGGAGCCAGCCCTTGACGTTAGCCCAGGGAGACCCGTGAGCTCTGACCCCCAGAGCTGTGAGATGATGTGTGTGTGGTTGGCTCCTCCTCTCACGCCCTGCATCCAGCTGGCAGGAAATAGTGTCCGTTCCACCTTCACTCCAACCCAGACGGTCGCCCCCTCCCATCGCCCACACGCTGAGCACCCTGGGCAGAGCCACCTCTTGTCACTGAAGGGTGCCCCCCCCCGCCCCGGACTCCCCGCGGCCACCCTGGCCCCTGGCCTATTCTCGACCCCCAGCCAGAATACATTTAAAATACTATAGGCCACTCATTGTTAAGATCTTAAATATATATTTATATATTTTAAATCCGTTTAAACGTCCCCCAACCCATTTAAAATGTATCTTAACCCCCTGGGAATGGAGAAGCAGCTTCCTGTAATTAGCAGCGGTTTCTCCCTTAGTGAGACCCAAAGTGACGGTGCATCTTGTCATCGCTGCACCTTCGACTGGACAAGACACCACGTCGCATCGTGTCACTTCTCTGCTCAGAACCCCCCACGGCTTCTCCTTTCACGGAGCGTAAAAGCCAGAGGCGCCACCAGGCCCCGCCAGGACCCGGGGTCGGGGCCCGGTCACCCTCGCCCTCCACATCCTCTCCCGGCTCGCTCCGCGCCTGCCTCTCCGGCTCCTTGGCGGCTCTGGCTCGCTGGGCACGGTCCTGCCTCAGTCGTCCCGCTTCAGGTCTTTGCTGCCTTGCCCTCCCCAGCACCCCAGTGTCTGCATAGAGCCCGCTCCCCTGGGAACCACCTGGGACTAGGAGGGCTGTCAAGCAGTACCGGGCACCCTCTGTTAGCTCCCTTCCCCTCTCTCCTGAGTCAGTGAAAGTCTGAGACAGAGTAAACTTCTCTGAAACCACTGACTGGCCCGCACAACCCCCAGGGCAGCACCTGGCCCCTGAGCAGCTGGCTGCCTCCCAGTGTCACACCCCTGAGCCTGCCTGGGATAACGGCAGAGAGGTCGGAGGGACAGTGCAGGCACCCCTGGTTGGTGACCTTGGTGCTGTGGCTGGTAGTGTCTGCATCCTCAAAACTCACACCAAAGACCCCATAGGCTTTAGGGACAAAGCCAGTTTACCTTTCAGAGAAACAAGACTAGAATTTTCTGTGTCATGGTTTCCTGGGCACTTTGTTCCTGTAGACGCCTCACTAGCGGAGCCAGAGACTGTCCGTAACAGGAGATGAGACGCAATGCGATTTTGTGACATTAGGTTTAAGTGCTACAAGTCACAATGCCCAGAACGAAGTCTGGCTGCGGTGCTTGGTGTAGGCCTGTTCTACCCGAGTTCTGTGTGCAGCGGGCGCCCTCTTCAGGCAGCTGAGGGTAGCGCCCCTTGAGCAACCACAAATGCTGGAAAAGTGAAGGTCTCGCTCAGGCCTGAGACCCCGGCTGTAAGTCCGTCTGCCTGGGCGCGTGTGCCCCTGGTGACACAGACTAGTCGGGGAGGAGCAGGGCAGGGCCAGACAGGACTCGGCTCTGGAGAAAGACAGGCCTAGATTCAGTCCCTGCCCCACTCTTTAAACTTACTAGCTCTGTGGCCTTGGACCTCGCAGGAGTGTACACAGATGTAATCCAATCAAACGACAAGAAAACGCAGGGGGAAAAAGCTGTTTTTCCAAAACTTGCTAAAATCCATGGGAAAGGAAGAACAACCAAGCGTAGCTAATAGTTTTGTGCACGAGAACATGGGAGGCCCTGCCCTGGCAGCCTGAGGCTTGCTGTGAGTGGCAGCTGAAAAGCAAGTGGTGTGATACAGAAACGAACAGACCACAGACTACAAGAGCATAGAAGGAGGTGCATGTATCTATGGAAACTGCGCACCTCTGGAAACTACCAGATCCAAGGTGGCATGACGGCCAGTCATAGGAAGATAACGGCTAACAAAGGGTGCTGGCACAATCGGTATCCATCCATCCACAGAAAACCAGATCCCTTCCTCACGCCGTAGGAGATTCGTATTAGATGCTTTACCATGCAAATAGGAAAACATGTAAGTCTTTAGAAGGAACTATAAGAGAAAATGATCGTGAAATCAGGGGAGATGTATTTTAAACAAGAAACAAAAGGCAGGTTCCAGCAAAGCAGTGATGGATGAGAGGAGCTTGAGGTGACCGTGTCCCTCTCTCTGGTGTCCAGGTGTGGATGGAGGAGCACGCCCTGTCCACTGTGCTGCAGACACACCTGCGGGACGACCACGAGAACGCCATCCGCTGCGTGCTGGGCCGGCTCGGGGGCCTCAGTGAAGAGTGAGTACGGCTTCCTGAAGGGCCGGGCCCTGTCTCCTGTGTGACACCCACACCAGTCCTCACCCGTGAGGTGGGCACATGGACGCCCGCCTCTCAGTGCGGTGTGACTATTGGGACATTTGTTGGTAGCTCAGTGTATTAGGGTTCTCCAGAGAAGCAGGGCCAGCGAGGGGTGTGTGTGTGTTCATCTATCTATGTGTCTATCGATGCATCTATACCTGTAGAGACAGAGGAGAGGAGAGAGCAGCCGAGAGGTTGCAGTATCTGCCGGTTGGCAACCTGGAGACTCAGGAGAGCCCACGCACATCCCCGTCCGAGCCTGAAGGTCTAGAACCAGGAGAGCCGGTGGGGCCAGCCCGTCAGAAAGCCGCCGGCTCGAGACCCAGGAAGAGCCAGTCTCTCAGTCTGAGCCCCAAGGCGGGGAAAGGTGTCCCAGCTCAAGGCGGGCCGACGGGCATTCCCTCTTGTTTATAGAGGGTCGGCCTCTTCTCTCTTCAAGCACTCACCTGATTAGGCAGGGCCCACCCCATGAGGAAGGGCAATCTGCTGTCTTTGTCTACCATGTCAATATTGATCTACCCAGAAGCCCCAGAGCAGTGGTTCTCAACCTTCTGGCCCTTTAAATACAGTTCCTCATGTTGTGACCCAACCATAAAATTATTTTCATTGCTACTTCGTAACTGTCATGTTGCTACTGTGATGAATCGTCATGTAAATATCTGATATGCAGGATGGTCTTAGGCGACCCCTGTGAAAGGGTCGTTCGACCGCCAAAGGGGTCGCGACCCACAGGTTGAGAACCGATGCCCCAGAGAATGTGTGAGCAGCTGACATAAGAGTAACCACCCGCGGCAGAGAAGCCAAGAGCACTGACCCCGCCCCACCCGCTCTCCCCGCAGGTCTGCACGGTGCCTCCTGCAGGGGCACGAGCTGCTCCTGCGCTCCGCCCTCCGGAGGCTGGCTCTCCGTGGCCACGCCGTGGCCGCGCTGGCGCAGATGCGGCTGTCGGGGAAGAAGCGCCTGCTGCAGGAGCTGCGCGAGCAGCACGCCCTGGAGCAGGGCTCCTCCCAGTGCCTGGACGAGCATCAGTGGCAGCTGCTCGGAGCCCTGGTGAGACCGCTGCGCGGCCCTAGCCCGTCCCAGCCAGGCTCCGGCATGGTAGCCAGGACCCAGCCCTGCCTCCCCGTGGTCCCGGGGGGGGGGGTGGGGGGGGTGATGGCCGCCCTGTCCGGGGGCTGCCCAAAGGCTCCAGTGCATGCTAGGATGAGAATTGTACTGAAAGTGCATTTGAAATCAGAGCGCAGATGGGCACAGTCATCCCTGGGAAGAGGGGGCCCTGTCATCTGAAGGGGTTAACAATCGGAAGGAAGAACGTGTAAGTTACAGGGCTGCGCTATGGGAGCAGCCGGCGTTTTCTGGCCCGTTGGTGAGGGACACGCTCACTCTCACTGCCCCGGAGGCTCCGTGGGAAGCAGGCTGCTCTGCCTCTGACTCCCCTCGCCTCCTTCTCTGACTCGTGTTCCCACGAGGAAAGCCGTCCCCAAGGGCCCATATGCCCTGCTGTGGCTTCGGTGATGTCCCAGATTCCTCCCAGACCTGGATCTGCTGTGTGACTTTTAGAAAGTTACTCAACATCTCTGAGCCTCTGTGTCCTGATCACGCCTAACGTTCAGGCTCACAGTGTTCAGGAAGAATGAGGAAGTGCTTGTGTATGTGATGGCACTGGGCGTGCAGTTGATGCTCACTAAATGCCTTGGGTTGAAGGTACCTTCAGCAGACACCTCACTCGTCCATTGTGCTGGGGTTTGCAAGCCCAGAGGCCCCCACTTTCTGGCCCTTCTCCCTCCCTTCCCCAACCCTCCTGGCCCTGGGCAGGGCAAGCCCACGTCCTGGTCCTGCCGATCTGGTGCAGGGCTGCAGCGTGGCTTCTCCCTCTGCCTGCCCCGTCCTTCCAGGAGGCCCGGGTGCTGGAGGAGACCTGCCGGCTGGAGGAGGAGGCGCAGCTCACGCGGCTGCAGCTGCAGCAGCAGCTCCTGGCAGAGGCGCAGGAGGTGGGCCGGCTCCTGCAGCAGCACGCGGAGCGGGCTGTGGGGCAGGCGCTGCTGGGGCACGCGCGGACCGCCGCCACCAGGAGCCGGACCAAGGACCGGGAGGACTTCAAGGTGCGTGCCAACCCCATCCCTGGGAAACACGAGGGCAAGAAGGATTGGGGAGAGGGGCAGGGGCAGACGAGGGGACGGACTTGGACAGAGCGGCCTTCTGGGCGCTGCACCTGCTATCCCCACCCATCCCCACCCGGGAGCTATGGCCTTGCAGAGGGTGTCCATTATTTTAAGTGGAAGGATGGTAACCGGTAACCCTGGTGGACTGGGCACCCAGCCATCACGTCTCCAGCCACAGGCATCTCAGCATTTCCTCTCCTTCCTGCTTTGGGTCAGAAGCTGTATCACTGAGGAATGCATACAACTCACGTCACCAAGTCCTACTGAAATGACTCCAATAAACGAGCCACTCATCCCACATAACGAGCCATGTGGAGGCGGGCGGGCCCAGGCTCAGAGGCCCTGCATGGCACCACGGCCCAGGCTCTTGCTTTCTGATCCGCATTCTTAGTGTTAGTTTGTTGCCTCATGGTCTCAGAACAGCCACCGATCCTCCGACATCACATCTGCATCCCAGGAAGGGGGAGGAAGACGGCCAAGTCTCTACTCCCGCTGGAAAGGGAAGCCCCGCCCCAGCAGACTGTCCCTAATGGCGCATCTCATTGGCCAGGGTCGTACACCAGCCTGAGACCATACCTGAACACGGAAAATAACACAGGGTGGGCAAGACTAGGCTCACAGGTGCAAGTCCATGAAACACAGAGTTTATTGTGTTAGTAACTAGAGGCCTGGTGCATGAAATTTGTGCACTGGCGGGGGGGGGGGGGGGGGGGCGGCGTCCCTCAGCCCAGCCTGCACCCTCTCGCAGTCCGGGAGTCCTTGGGGGATGTCCAAATGACGGCTTAGGCCCGCTCAGCCGTCAGACGTCCTTAGCGCTGCCACGGAGGTGGGAGAGGCTCCCGCCAACACCATTGTACTCGCCAGCTGTGAGCCCGGCTTCTTGCTCAGCAGCGCTCCCCCTGTGAGAGTGCACTGACCACCAGGGGCAGCTCCTACTTTGAGTGTCTGCCCCCTGGTGGTCAGTGCATGTCATAGCAAGTGGTTGAGCGGCCTTAGCATATCATTAGCATATTACACATTGATTGGTGAACAGCCGACCGGATAACCAGACACTTAGCATATTAGGCTTTTATTATATAGGATTATTATATATTTTCTTTTTTTAGGTTTTTTGTTGTTTTAAATACATTTTTTAATATATATTTTCATTGATTTCAGAGAGGAAGGGAGAGGGAGAGAGCGATAGTCACATCAATGATGAGAGAGAATCATTGACCGGCTGCCTCCTGCACCCCCCCCACTGGGGATCAAGCCTGCAACCTGGGCATGTGCCCTGACCGGAAATCAAGCCATGACCTCCTGGTTCATAGGTCAGTGCTCAACTACTGAGCCTTGCTGACTAGGCAATTATTGTATATTTTCTGTACGAACAACTGAAAACCTACTTTTGCCCCACCCCATGTTATCAACTGGTTTAAACCAACCACGCACTCTCTGCCCGCTCCCTGCACAGTCGAGGTTGGGAGTGGGCGGAGGAGGAGGGCCAGGGCCAGGGAGGTGGGGGCCGCGTGTGACCTGCTCAGTCCTTCCCCTCCTCCCACAGAGGACGCTGCTGGAGGCGGCCGTGGAGAGCGTGTACGTGACCAGTGCGGGCGTCGGTCGGCTGGTGCAGGCGTACGACCAGCAGGTTGGGAGGGCCATGCGGGACCACGCGGAGCGCAGGCTGGAGCACCTGGAGACCCTGCAGGGTACGCGCCTGGGGAGCCCTGCCGCTGGGAGCTGGCGAGCTCGGAGTGCTCAGATTTCACTTTTGGAAATCTTATCTCTTCAATATTTCGTTTCCGTATGTGTCCCCTGCTCGTCCCCAAAAGGCCGTTTTAGAAGGCACTGAGAGAAACGTATGCATGCAGCACGTTGAAGCAGATGGATCGGGACAAGAGCAGTGAGGTGGAGTGGGTGGGCTCTGTTCCGGGGACCTGTGTCACCAGACCCCACTGGGTGGCGACATGGTTTGGCTCTGGCCTCCTGGTGGCCAGAGAGATGGACACGCCCTCAACCCGAGCTGAGACGGGGCCGAGTGAGAACAGGCCAGTGGCCCCTACGCTGTGCCCAAGACCAGGGAGTTTTCCCCGGGGCTCTCGTAAGCGGTGAGTGGGGAGCGGCATGGACGTGTCCCCAAGACCAGCGTAATCACAGGTAGAGCCGCTGCTGTAACGTCCCTCCCTGCACCGGGGCCTCGGGGCAGGCCCGCGCGCTGAGGGCTGCGCTCGGCTTGTCCACGGGCAGAGTCGGAACGGGTCCCCGCTGAACGCGTGGCAGCGGTCGGAGGCAGGCTCCTGTGATATGATTTCTCTCAACCAGCTCAGCTGGCCTGTCCCCCCTTATCCTGGGAATTTGACCCTGGATTCAAATAAAACCTGGGACAAACCCAGAAACGTGCCGGCCCCGCGGACCCTTCACCGGGGTTTTCCAGAGCCAGGGTGGGTCTCGCCCGGTGGGGGACGGCCGGGGCTGGGACACTCGGGACCGGGGAGCTCACTTCCCCTTTCACGGCCTCAGTTTCCCCACCTGTGGGACGAGGGGTCCGTCAGCCCTCCTGCTTCCTCTCGGCTCGGACTTCCCGCTTCCCTGACGCCCAGCCCGAGTGTGGGGATCGCCCTGTCGGTGAATGGAAACAGTGCCACTGAGCTTCACGACCACATTAACGTCACCGTTTCCTCATTCCGCAAATTCCTTTCTATTTAAAACTCGCAGAGTGCCATAGCCCTGGAGGTCACCCAGGTAAACCTCCCTTCAAGGGCTAGAGCCGTGGTCGGCAAACTGCAGCTCGAGAGCCACATGCGGCTCTTTGGCCCCTTGAGTGTGGCTCTTCCTAAGCCTTAGGGGTACCCTAATTAAGTTAATAACAATGTACCTACCTATATAGTTTACGTTTAAAAAATCTGGCTCTCAAAAGAAATTTCAATCGTTGCACTGTTGATATTTGGCTCTGTTGACTAATGAGTTTGCCGACCACTGGCCTAGAAGCTCAGGTCCAGCCAGGAAGGTGGCCTATTGGACAACCCACAGCGAGGCAGGTATGGTGGCTAGTTAAGTGTGGCAGCTAAACTAACAACTAGGGAAGTGAAGCAGCTAGCTAGGCATGGCAGCTAGTTAGGTGCAACTAGTTAGGCATGACAGCTAGTTAGACGTGGCAGCTAGTTAGGCGCAGCTAGTTAGGTACAACAGCTAGTTAGACATGGCAGCTAGTTAGGCACAACTAGTTAGGCATGGCAGCTAGTTAGTTAGATGTGGCAGCTAGTTAGGCACAGCTAGTTAGGTGCAACAGCTAGTTAGACATGGCAGCTAGTTAGGCATGGCAGCTGAGTCAGTGTGCGTCTGTGTGGACACGCAGTCCCGTGCACCTCAAACTCGGAGGCCAGACTCCCCAGATCCTTGGAAAGCAGCCACCTCAGCACCCACGCCCGGAGGGGAACGCTGTCTGCACGCCCACAGCTCTGCATGTCGACCCCCTTCTCCTTTCTGGGGTGGGTTGTGGCCGTGTGGTGGCCTCTCGGTGTGAAATCGTTCTTCTGCCTCCCCTTCCGCCTGGTACAGGGACTCAGGCCTGAGAGGTCGGAGGGAGAGCGTGGTTGCTTTCCCGCGGGGCTGCCTTATGTGACGGAAGCCAGGGCATCCATCCCCCAAGCCCTCCCGGGGGGGAGTGGGACAGGGGGGTCGTGTCACTGGTGCTCCGCCAGCACCCGCCCCGACCCGGCACAGAGTCAATCCCTCCAACGCGTCCGTGATCGCTGTGTGTTACCGTTCTAGGTGAGAGAAGGGACAGTTACAAGCTGCGGAAAAAGCAGGGACTCGGCGACCCTCCGGAGGGCAAGGAGGCGGGTGGAACTCATGAAGCACCCCAAGGCGTCCACCAGAGGTGAGGCCCCACTTCGGGCACGCTTGGCCCGCACTTCCTGCTTCTCCCCGTGGCCTGCAGGCATCTCCTGTCCACGGGGGCCCGGCCAGGGCCTGGCACAGGGCACGCGCCGTCAGTGTGGCCCTGGCTGCGTTCCTAGTTCTAGGTCGCGCCCACAGCCCTGACACAGCACCCCCCCTTCTCCCTCATACCTTGGGGTCCTCCAGAAGCCCGCTGGGGCTTGAGGATTGGGAGGTGGGTTTATGGGCGGTGACCCCAGGAGGCGCAGTGAGGGAGCAGGAAGCCAGGCAGCCGGGGTCTCGGCTGCTGCCTCCCAGGGGCCCGCACAGACCCCGCAGGTAGCCGATGACTCACGGTTCCGCGGTCAGGTGCCTGGGCACTGCTGCTACTTCCCGAGACCCACGTGGCCACATCAGGTGAGGGCGGGCCGGGCCCTGATGGCGGGCTCCGGGTGGGCGCTCCAGGCAGTGGCCCTGCCTTGGAGAACGAGGTCCTGTTTCCTTGTGGCTGTGAGTGGGGGTCCCCTGACCACCTAGCGGCCTCTCTCTGCTCCCTGCACGTGGCCCCCACATCCGGGGCAGCAGGTCCCGGCCACACCTGGGACTCCCTGCCTTCTTCCCCCTGGTCTCTGGCTCCAGCTGGAGAGACCTCTGCTTTAAGGGCCCCGCTGATTGAGGCACCTGTAGCCCAGGTCCTCTCTGAATCCCACAGTCATGCCCTCATCAGGACCACCAACCCCCACGTGGGGTAACCTCTTCACGGGTTCCAGGGATTGTGGCGTGGACGCCTGTGGGGACACTGTGTGACCGACCCCCACGGGAGCACGGCCAGCACCACCTGCGATAAGGAGGGTTTCCAGGGCAACAGAGGCCGGAGCATTGACCTCTGGGTATCACAGCCAGGTGTTCCATAGTGATCCCTCGCCCCCCAGCTTAAGGGGGGGCTCCGGGAAGGCAGGGGCTGTGAGTCTCGCTCACACCTGCATCTTCAAAACCCAGCACAGAACCTGGCAGCCCCGAGATGATTTTATGAAGGAACAAAGGAGTGGATGGGTGGGTCCATGCAGAATGGGTGAACAGATGACGGGGTCTTGTAGGATGAATAGGAGTTTGCCAGGCAAATAGAAAGAAAAGAGCATGAAGCAAAAGCCAGGTGGCATTTTGTGCCTCAGTGCACTTTCTGGGCCGCTGCCTGCGATGCAGAAGGCGGCTTCTGCCTTTAAGTCTAGAAATTCTGCAAATCAGACACAAAGGACAGAGAAGGGGGCAGAGAGTAAGCCTGGAAGCAGGGTGATGGGATTGCAGAGGCCAGAGGACCATGGGCCAAGGAAGGGAGGGAGTTCATACAGCCAGGGGAGGTCTCAGTGCCTGAAAGGGCTGGGGGGAGGGGGGGCGGCGGGACCGGCGGGGGGGTGGGGGAGGAGGCGGGGGCGCCTTCTCAGGTCGGGGACCGCTTCCGGCACAGCTCTGTCCTCCACTCAGAGGGACTCGGCTTCCTGGGAAAGGGGCTTCCTGTTCCTGGGGGGCGGGGGGCGGGGCCAGGGCGATCCTGCAGTGTTAACAAGGAGTGCGCCCCCACCCGGGCTAAGATCGTTTTCTCACACAAAGACATCACCTGCTGCTCAGCCACTCTGCCGCTGCAGGATCCCAGGGACACCTGCCCTTCTGGGCTTCTCCTGTCCCCAACTTTTCTGACCTCTGTCCGGCTGATGTCACCAAGCCACTCAGTACAAATGTGCCCGAGAGATTCCGTAACCCCCAGAGGGAATCGCTGTCGTGGTGAGCCAGCCTGTGGGCGGGGGGCCCTCGTGTGGCCGCAGATCGCGGCCGTTCTCCTCTCGCTGCCGTGGGTCACGAGCCTGCAGGACGCAGCGGGCCCCGGGGGTTGGCGCTGGGCCTGATGCTCCTGGCGCCCGGGCCGCGCTGACGGCCGTTCCCTCTGCCAGGATGCGGGCGCAGCAGAAACGGTTCCTGGCCCAGTTCACGGCCCACCAGCGCACCCGCCTGGACACGTGGCAGCAGAGGGCGCGGGGCCTGGACCTCCTGGAAGCCCAGCTGGAGACGCAGCTGCAGGTACAAGTTTGGAAGCAGGCCTGGGCGGTGCGGGCAGGGCTTAGCGGGTGGCCACAGCAAGGACTGGCCCTGCCATCGAAGGTCAGCGATGGGGTCTTGGTGAGGGGACCCCGGCCCCCGCTGACTCTCACCGCTGATGCCGCATCCGCCTCGCCGAGCCTCTGTGAGCCTGGGGCCCCTCAAGACTGCAGCACCCGGCTCACCAGGCCGGTCCTGGGCAGGGAGCGTCTCCCTGGGCGGGGTCGGCCAGCAGGTGGGCTGCTCCTGTCAGGGCTGATCGGCACTTTAGGCAGTGTTGCTGGGGACTGAGGTTTGTCCTTGACGTAGAACATCCCGGAAGCTCAGCGCTTGTGCTGGAACGTGGGCGTCTCAGCACAGAAAATCCTCATTGGCATGTGATTGTGAATTGTGGCTAGAAAGCGAATTGGCTGCCTTTAAAGCAGCGGTTCTCAACCTGTGGGTCTCGACCCCTTTGGGGGTCGCCTAAGACCATCGGAAAACACATATAATTACATATTGTTTTTGTGATTAATCACTATGCTTTCATTATGTTCAATTTGTAACAATGAGATTGGGGGTCACCACCACATGAGGAGCTGTATTAAAGGGTCGCGGCGTTAGGAAGGTTGAGAACCACTGCTTTAAAGGAAGTCAGATATTGGAGGCAGTTGTGAGCGTGTTGGGCCCGGCACAGCACAGGCCACCAGAGCGGCAGTGACGGCGGTGACAGCGATGAGGATGGAGAGGGCGCTCAGTAACGGAGGGTGAGTGGTGGCGTCCCTGGCTGGGCCACCTGTGCCACCTGATGTCGCCCTCCAGCCGAGGAGGAGGTTCCTGATGGGATCCCAGCTACAGATGGGGAAACTGAGGCTCCCAGAGGTTGAGTCACGGCCAGGGTCGCACAGTCAGGAAGTCGTGGAGCCCAGGTCTGTGTGGTTAAACCACGGGGCTGGCATCACAAAGAGACTGGAGTCAGGCAGAAGCGGGCAAGATCCTGGACCAGCCGCTGCCACCTCCGTGGCCCTCCCTGAGCGCCCCTCACCTCAGTGTTCCCACCTGTAGAATGGGGCGCATGGCTGGTGTGAGGGAGGAGGGACAGCTACCTGGCAGGAGCTGGCTCATGTCAGCTCCCTCCCCCAGGTGCCTCTGCCCTGCTCCTGGCCTCCCTGGTGCTTCGGGGAGGATTCTCCTCCCCGCGGGGCACGCCCGCCTGGCAGCTGCCCTGGAGCGAGTCAGCCCCTCCTGGCGGAGGGATGGGGAGGAGGCCCTGCTGATCCTCTCGCCTTACATTCAGGAAGCAGAGCAGAGCTTCATCGCCGAGCTGGCGGCCTTGGCCCGGGTGCCCCTTGCCGAAAGCAAACCGTCTTCGAGTAAGCGGGGCCTGCCAGGTAAGGTGTGGGCGAGGCTGGGAAGAGGGGGTCCAGTCCTATGTCTCCCACACCTGGCGGTGTGGCCTTGGGAACCGTACGTGCCCTCTCTGGGCCTTCGTGTCATATCTGTACATGAGCAGCCTCCGTGAGGACACCCGGGGGCCCCCTTGCTCTCCATGGGTCAGTGATTCCCCTTCCGGGGCCTGCTGCTCACCAGCTGCGTCCGAGCTCTGACTCTGTTTCCCCATCTGTAAAATGGGGATGATTAACTCCTCTCCTGCTGGAGACAAGTCAGTAGGGTCACCGGCAGTGACAGCCTGCTGACGGGAGAGTGCGGAGAAGGCGTGTGGACAGACACGGCTTCTTAAAATACCGTCTGGGTCCTGGGCTGTGTGCTCGGGGTCCTGCTGCTTCGGGGCCTTCCCACCAGCTGGCGGCTGGAGAAACAGAGGGAACCTGGTGGCCCCAAGTTCAAATCCCGACTCCGCCACGGCGGGCTGTGCGGCTCGGGAGGGCACCTAGCCCGTTCCCTTACCCGGTAAGCGGGTGTGAGACACTGAGTCCCGAGTGCATCCTGGCCCCGAGAGACTCAGATCAGGCTGGCGGGAGCGAGGCCGAGGCTGCACGTGCCTGGGTCACAGCCCTGCCCGGTCACACCCTGCCCGGGTTACACCCTGCCCGGGTCACAGCCACACCTGGGTCACACCCTGCCCGGGTCACACCCTGCCCGGGTCACAGCCACACCTGGGTCACAGCCACACCTGGGTCACAGCCGCGCCCGGGTCACACCCTGCCCGGGTCACAGCCACACCTGGGTCACACCCTGCCCGGGTCACAGCCCCGCCCGGGTCACACCCTGCCCGGGTCACAGCCACACCTGGGTCACAGCCACACCTGGGTCACAGCCATGCCCAGGTCACAGCCCCGCCCGGGTCACACCCTGCCCGGGTCACAGCCACACCTGGGTCACAGCCGCGCCCAGGTCACAGCCCCGCCCGGGTCCTGTGTCTTCACAGAGAAGCCCCTAAGGACCAAACGGAAGAAGCCGGCGCTCCGGGACCGAGGGGACCTGGGGGGGCCCAGCAACGACGAGCCTGCCTCCGGGGAGCACCCCTCAGGATCGCTCAGGTACACAGGGTCCCCGGCTTAGTGCCCGGATGCTCGTGGACCACCTACTGTGTGCGTCGGCCTGGCCAGACGCACATCAGCCCTGACGCGGCCTCTCTTCCATGCTTCACGCAGCCCAAGGCCCAGCCAGCAGGAGGGCGACGCTGGTGCCGGGGAGGACCCCAGGAAGCTGCTGAAGAGAAGGAGCAACTTGTAGTCTAAGGCCTGTCCGTGGGGCGGAACCTGAGGTCTGAGTGCCTGCCCCGCCCCCTGCCTTGTGAGACTGAGAACGGACCCCCCACCTGGGGGGCTCCCCGTGCTCACAGGCCTGGTGTGGGGGGTGGAGATGGATGCTCATGTGCCTGAGACAGTGCGTGTTTCAGACCCTGTTGCTCGGACAATGAGACGCCCAGGGCTGGACGCCGCCTGCGAGTGTGTGTCTCTGTGGCTCCGTCCTCCGTGCTGTGCCTCCCACCCAGGGTCCTGCTGCCGGCACCTGCCTGCCCGGCGTGAGGCTCTCCCTCGCGCCCTGGCCCTCTCTCCCTCGCGCCCTGGCCCTCTCTCCCTGGGAGGCTCTGTGGGAGGTCGGACGTGGCTGCTGTTTCCTGGGAGGAGGCTTTCTCCTCCACATCCGTCGCCGACTCTCTCTGTCCCGGGAACCGTGGCCACCGGCTGCCACGGGGAGCTCACCTGGACCCACTCCCGCCCTGGCTCAGCCAGAAGCAAAGGCCTGGTCACCGAGGGTCTGAGTCTCAGGGTCCCTGGACCCCGACACAGAGGTGCAGACTGCACCCCTCCCTAGGAGGAGTGTCCGCCCAGGGGGCACCGCTTCCCCAGTGGACGGTGAGAAGGCCCGAGGCTTCCAGACCGGCCCACATCCACCCACCAGGAGAGGTCTTCCCACGAGAAAGGAAACGGCTCTTCTCGGCCAAATCCTGGATTTCGACCTCTGCACGTGGTCGTGTTGGGTGAGACCATTCTTGGGGGGCCGCCCTGGGCATTACGGGGTGTTTGGCAGTGTCTGGCCTCTCCCCACCAGATGCCAGGAGCATCCCCCGTGTGACAACCAAAAACGTTGCAGACACTTCCAGATGCCCCGGGCGCATCCCCGTGACCTGAGGCCACTGGGTGGAGAGCTCAGTGCTGCCACGAATCCCCGGAATAAGGAGGGCTCTGGGCTCTGGACGCCATGTCTCGGGGATATTCTAGATCGTTTATGACCCGAGTGTTTATTTCTTAAAACCAGAACTAGACTCTCAGGCAGGAGGGTGGCTCCTTAAAGAAGTGACCCACACCAATGACGGGGTTTAACCATCCTCAGAGCATCCGCCTGTCCCGACGGGTCAGCAGACAGACGGGATTCCCCAAGCCGGCCAACAGCGCCCTCTTGTGGCCAAAGCGCCCCCTTATTCTGCAGCGTCTGGAACACAGCTCCTTGGAGCAGACTTAGAACCTGGTTCACAGAGAAATCATTTCTTTTCGTCCTGTGGGTCCCGCACCGAGGCCTTCGGGCAGCAGGCTCCAAGCCGGGACATCTGATTGGGTGACGGGGTCAGGGTAGAGGCCGCTTGCTGGCGGCCTCACCCCCACCCTCTTGCACTGACAACCGTTTCACTCCCTCAGTGCCGCTTCCTTAGCCCGAGCGGGAGGGGGTGTCACAGGTCCCCCGCCTGACCCCCAGCTGCTGCACGGGCAGCTCGGGCACGGAGCTCTGAGAAAGCGTCAATGACGACACCCCAGGCAGGCCAGGGGCCGTTCCTTTTATTTTCCACAAGCTTTGAATTCAGAAATAAGAGCCACGATAAGTCGGTTATTAAGTAAAAATGGGGGTGATTACAAAGGAAAACTCTGTACAAAACGTTAAAAATCTGGCTGCCCCATCAGCCTCCTCAGAGGGACGAGGGCACGGGCAGCCGGAAGCAGCATCCCCCACGGTCGTCGGCCCTGCATGGGGACGAGGGACCCCGTTCTGAGGGTGAGTCCGGCGCGGCCCGACGCCCAGAGCTGGCTGGGAGGACAGACACGCTGACCGAAGGCGTCAGGGCCAGGGACACGCGCCACGGAGGCCGGGACACGGGACGTGGATGGCAGACGTTGCTCAAAGCTCCCCGCCTTCCGAGAGCTCACAGGTCCCGGGGGTCGGGGGGTGCGGGCTCCTCTTGTGCCCACTGAGGTGGGGGCGATGAGTAAACACCTTCGCGTGGAGGTTGGGACCCTGAGGGCCCGAGGCCGGACCTTGTGTCCGGTTGGTCCTCGTGTGCCGTCAGACGCTCGCACAGACTTGCATACGTAACTTAGCAACATGCATCAACTACCCTAGAACAGCTACGAGGGTGCAAGGGAACCACTCGGGGACCGTGAGCCGGGACAGAGGTGGGAGGGGCGGTACAGACGGCTGGACACACACCTGCGGGGCGAGGGATTTCCAAGCAAACAGACCACACTAGTACCACGGCTTCCTAAACGTCAGCAAAAGGAAAGAGCATCATCCGATGTGTCCCCCGTCAGGACCAAATGAAACACCGGGCTTGGAACACACCCACGGGGGAAGGAATGGACATGATTTTCCCAGAATCCTCCACTCCAGCGCATCCGCTCCTCTGTGGTCAACCGAGGCTGGTGATGTTGCAGCGGCCACCAGGGGGCGCCACGATGCGGTGGCCCGTGCGCCTGGGGTTGTTGTCATCTGTCTGGGCACCTGAAAGAGACCGCCGGTCACTTCTGTCACCAGCGCCACTCGCTGCCCCTGAGGGCTGGGTGCCCCCCACGTCCCCTCCCCATTGTGTGCCGGATCACAGGAGCGCGGGCCCGGCCCTTACCAGACAGGCTGAAGTTGGACTGGTGCAGGTTCCTGAAGGGCGGAGGCTGGTGTTTGGAAGGCGAGGATTTGGCAGAAGGAGCGGGAGTTGCATATTTGGGCGTAGCTGGCACCTCGTACACGGGACCGTCGTACATGCCCCTGGGGACCCCTTGCAATCCAGAGACCTAAACGGGGAGGGGGAGCGCGACTGATGGGCAAGGTGCACGCACACCTTCCTGTTCACAGGCCTGTGGGCGGGACAGTGGCCTGAGGTCGCCTCGGGACATGCGCACACACACACATACACACTACAAGGTGCCTGCTCACTCCACACACACATGTGCACACCCCTCTACAGTCGGCAAAGCCCTGGGACCTCCTGGTCGGTGGTGACTCCAGCCTGAGGTGCAGGCAGGACTGTGCCAGAGCTCCACTGACACACGAGCTCAGGGAGGCCCCTCGGCTGTGACGCCCGCTGGCGCCGCACACGGGGACCTGGGCACGCACCTTGCTCCTGATCCTGACGCGCTGGTAGAGGTGCTCGGGGAAAGGCTTCCGGGGGATGAAGCGGCCCATGCCCTTGCTGACGCTGATGGTGCCGTCCTCGAAGACGATCTTGCCCTGGCTGATGACCACCAGCGGGGAGCCGTGGCACTCCATGCCCTCGAAGATGTTGTACTCCACGGCCTGCCGGCGAGAACCACACTGTGCCTCACGGCTTCTGCACGGCCCCATGGTCCCCCACAGTGATTCCACGCCCCCTCAGATCACAAGCACTTCCCCGGTTCTTCTGGAGACACTTTTTTCAAGGCTGTGTAATATTCCACTGTGTGCTCCTCCATTTGCATGACCAACCCCTCGCTATTGGGCATTTGGATTGAGGGGGGTTTTTTATGATCAAACTAATGTGGTCTGAGGCGTCATGGACGTGAAGGGGCCCCTGGGGTTAGGCATGTGGCTGCGCTGACTAGAACAGACATTTCTGGGTCTTTTCAAAAATATTCTTTCTTGCCCGGCCGGCGTGGCGCAGTGGCTGAGCATCAACTTATGAACCAGAGGTCATGGTTCGATTCCCGGTCAGGGCACATGCCCGGGTTGCAGGCTCGATCCCCAGTGTGGGGTGTGCAGGAGGCACCCGATCCATGATTCTCTCTCATCATTGATGTATCCATCCCTCTCTCCCTCTCTCTTCCTCTGTGTGAAGTCAATAAAAACATTTTCTTAAAGTGAACCGGACAAAATATTTTAAAAAGAAAAAGGAAAACAGCATCTGACTGGATTTGCACCTGGTTAATTACCAGTGAGACCGGGTCTGTTCTCAAGTGAACACAAAGCATTCGCCATTCCTTCTGGGTCCCAGTTTTGTGTTTCTGCCCACCCTTCTATCTACCAGGTTCCCAGATAAATGCCCTTAGGTTTGCCGGATGCATGGAGAGGTCAGAGACACGTAAGGCACAAAGCGCAGAGGTAACTGCCCGCCACGGGCATGGGGCCTGGGACCCGGGAGCGGCCCCTGGGGCTGTGCGCAAACAGACAGCTCCAGGCCCAGGCCTCTCCGCTGCTGACCGTCAGCAGTGGACACGCATCGGAGCAGGAGGTGTCTAAACCAGACCTAACGCTCTCCAGCTCCACAACGGGAGGAAGGTTCTCGGACCCTGCACTTGCCATCCTTGCCTCTGTGCGCGAGAGCCAGAGATGGGGGGGGGGGGGGGGCGGAAGGAACAGCCGGCGGTGCCCCTAACAGCGCGAGCCCAGCTGCCCAGACCCCGTTCCCCCAGGAGGAGGATGTGAGCGGCCGAGCCAGGCAGACAAGCAGAGCACACCCTGGCGGAAGCCCCGCGTGTCATTTCTACCCAGAGGCCCCTCCGTGACCGCGGAGCACGACTCGCTGGCCCGGCCAGGAGTGTCTGGGGAACCAGACTCACCGACTTGTGGCTCTTGGCCGTGATGGTCTTCACCCTGTCGGGGTCCCAGATGACCACGTCAGCGTCCGAGCCCACAGCGATCCGCCCTTTCCTAGGGTACAGGTTGAAGATCTTGGCCGCGTTGGTGCTGGTGACTGCCACAAACTGGTTCTCGTCCATTTTGCCTGTGGCCTGAAGGGAGGCGAGACCCACGGATGAGAAGACCGTCCCATAAGAGGGCCGGAGACGGCAGGCGGCACAGACCCAGCCCGGGGGCGGGCGCCCTGCAAGGAGCCTGGAACGTTCTCTCCTGGCTGAGGGCCCCAGGGCCGGGCACCAGCGGAGGGAAATGAACCGACTGCCCACAGGCGCCTGCGTCCGAGCCTCACGACGTCCCGCCACCCCTGGGCCCGGGGTAACACAAAATAACAGCCTTTGGTTTCAGGTCAGTGAAGCCACCTCACAGGAGCTAAAATGTGGTTACAAACAAAACAAGACAGCCCGGTCGGCATGGCTCAGTGGTTGAGCACCGACCTATGAACCAGGAGGTCACTGGTTCGATTCCCGGTCATGGCACATGCCCAGGTTTCGGGCTCGATCCCCAGTGTGGGGTGTGCAGGAGGCAGCCGGTCCATGATTCTCTCTCATCATCGATGTTTCTATCGCTCTCTCCCTCTCCCTTCCTCTCTGAAATCAGTAAAATATACTTTTAAAAAAACAAGCACGTTTGTCATTCCTGAGGAGGAAGGACAGCTGCCAATGTGAGGGCCCCGGCCGGGGCCACTTCCTCTGCTTGGCCTTGGCCCCCACGTCATTGAGGACGGCGAGCTGAGGACCACGGCACGCTGGCTTTTGACGGCCAGGAAGGGTGCTTCTAGGACGTTCCTGGGGGCAGGAGCGGGGGCCGCCTTACCACCGCCTTGTCCCAGACAACGGTCATCCGCTCCTCGATGCCGTTGACGCCCTCGGGGATGAGGGTGAAGTTGTCCTTGCCCACCGCCTTCTGGGCGGTGCTGTAAGGACAGTGGCCGCTGCCCGTGACCTGCAGGTCCCCGCTGGGAGGAACGAAAGCGGGTGGGGCTCAGAGCTGAGCTCAGGTTGAAGGGCAGATCCCTGCTTCACCTGACACGTGCTTGGACTTGCAACCCCAGGGAGCTGCTGGGAGAGGGCTTGGAGCACATCACGGGCACGTGGGGGATGTGACAAGGCCCTGTGGCTGCGGGCGTCTTGTTGAAGACCGGGAGGAGCCACAGACACGGGAGAAGGTCCTAGGTTAGTGTGGGCTCCGGGCTGGTCTGGGGAAGGAGGGCTCCCTGCCGGCCTCCTCTTCCTCACCTGAGAGAGGGGTCGGCCAGAGGGGCCGGGCTCTGCTGCCCTAAAACGCTCTGGTCTCAGGACAGCTAGGCCGAGAGGGGGTTGGCGGCGGGGTGAGTCGGGGAGTGAGGGCCTGGTTGGGTTCTGCCTGCGGGACATCATGGGGACTCGTGCTTCTCACTCAGAGGAGGGAACTGCAGGTCCCCAGGGGGGAAGGGGCTTGGTCTGACTCAGGTTTTAAAATATCTGGGCGCCCGCTGGGAGTGACTGACACGTGGGGCGGGGGTGGGTGGGTGGTGTATGGGAGTGGGAAGGCCGGTCGGGAGGGAGGGAGAGGCAGCGTGAGCCCAGACGGCCACGCCACGGGTGGGAAAAGGCCCGTGTCCTGCCCTCGGTCCGTGTCCTGCCGCCCGACACAGGCAAGGCTGTGGGCGGCGGCTCTGGGGGAGGGTGGACCCACGGGTGTCGTGCTGCGGGCGGCAGGAAGCTGCTGGCTGTGCCAGCCCAGGCTGCACATCTTCGGGGGAAAGAGAGCTCCATGGCGGGCACACACCCTCAACCCCCATGCTTCCTTCTGACCAGAGCCCCATCTCCTCCTCACCCATCCTGCAAGCTGCTCCCATCCCAGCATCAGGCCCGCTGCCACCTCCTCCCGGAAGCCCCTGCAAGCCTCCTGGCACATGCTCAGCACCCGCCTCCTCTCAGCCAGAGTGGCCCCTGCGCCTGGCTAACGGCACGGAGGCGGGGAGTGGCTATGCTCCTACTGTGTGCACGTCGCACAGCTCAGCCCAGCGGCTGCGTAGGGAACCGGAAATGCCAGCTTTCCCCCACTGCCTCCTGCCCAGCTCTGCGGAGTTTCCACATTCTCCCCACTTCCCAACGCGTAAACCGAGGCAGAGAGACATCCAGGCTATGCGACGTGCCCAGGGTGACACCGGCAATCAGTGGCTGAGGCAGGATTTGAACCCGGTCTCGCCTTCCTAATCCTGGCTGCTCCCCAATATCCACAATGCGGGGTGGGGGGCACACAGGAGGTGCTTAAACAGTGGGAGCGGGCCGGGGAGTAAAGTAGACGCTGGGCCCTGAGGGTGCCGGAAACACTCATGTGCCGAGGCCTCCATGCCGCCAGCCTGGCTCCCCTCCGCCTGCCGCCCCCAAGCCCCCGCCCTCACCAGGCCAGCAGGGAGGTCAGGTAGTCAGGGGTGGTGGGGTCCGGGCTCAGGGGCGGGGAGGTGACGAAGGCCGCCGCCTTGGCCCAGTTCTTGCTCCAGTAGTGGGTGCCGTCCGTGCCCAGGCTGGCAGCGATGGGCTCGCCGAACACGAGGGGGCCTGGGGGCAAACGCAAGCGCGCGGTTAAGAGGGAGTGGTCTCCATGCGGATATGGTTGCAAAAACATAGAGGAGCTCAGGCTGGAGAAATAAACCCGCAAAGGCTTCCCCCTGCGCCGGCCCCGGCTGGACCCCCGCTGCCCGCCATCCGAGCTCAGTGCTCGGGCAGGACTGCCCTCTCCTGGCGCAGGCTGGTCCTCTGAGACCGAGCCTGACCGGCTGCCCCGTTAGAGACCTGCCAGCAGCAGATGCTCGAGGAGGAGTCAAGGTCAAGTGTCACAACTGGGAGGTGATGCCGAGACACACTGGCTGGGGACTGAGGACAGGACGCACGGGGGCAAAGCAGCCACGAGAAGGTGTGTCATCACCGAGTCATGGCTGTGGGCACCTGGGCTCAGAGCATGGGGTCCCCCCACCTTCCAGGGAGGGGCTGGGACAGTCTTCGCATGAGAGACAAACCCAACAGCACCCCGAGGATCACCCCAGACTCCCTGAGGCTCAGACGCCCTCACCCAGGGTCACACAGGGCCCACGGCACCCAGGAATCGCCTAAAACCCGCCTCGCGTCTATGACCTGCCACCATCCCATCTCCCTCTCCCAATGTGCAGGGGCCCGGGGGGCCCAGGCTCCTGGCCGGGCAGAGTCAGTGACCTTGAACCTGCCGGCACCCCTGCCTTGGTCAGAGCCGCCACGGAGGCCAGCACGGGCGCACCTCTCTTCCTGGCCAGGGCGATGATGTCGGCCGCACTCTTGCTCATCACCTTGGTGATGTACACGGGGCAGTTGATCTGGCCGGCGATGGTGATGGCCCGGAACACGGCCTCGGCCTCCAGCTGGGCGACAGCAAATCCGAGGTCACAGGAGGGAGGGGCGAGGGCAGCCACCCCCTCCCAGAGTTCCCCGGCTCTCCCTGAATCAGTCCTCCGACCTTCCTCGAGTGTGGCCGGGAAACCTACCGCCTCAAAGGAGGACACAGTGTAGACGGAAGACAGGAAAGAGCCCTGGCCTGCGGCTCCGAGGGTCGGAGGGCCATCCGTGTGCGAAGGGCCTCGGGTTTGATTCCCGTCAGGGCACATGCCCAGGTTGTAGGCTTAAAACCCATCCGAGTGTGTAAGGGAGGCAACAGATGTATCTCTCTCTCCCTCTCTCTCTCCCTGTCCCTTCCACTCTCTCTAGAATCAATGAAAAGCATATCCTCAGGTGAGGATTTAAAAAAAGAGAGAGAGAGAGAGAGAACATTAATCAAAATGCATTTGGGTGGAGGGCTGGAAGGCAGGATTACCTTTCTACGCTGCATGTTCTGCTGGGA